GAGCACCTTGCCGTGAAAGCGCCCACGGGCCAAGACGTACCTGTTGGCGAGCTCCGGGGCATGTTCTGGTACTTGGATGAGGTTGGTGATCGGAGCGTGAGGGTGCACCATGGTGACGACACCCCGGCACGAGTGCTCGTTGTTGTTGGTCGCGTAGCGAGGCGGGCATTCGAACCACTCACCTTGGTGTTGGACGAGCTGGCCCCACTTGTGGCTGGCCGTCGCGCTGACGTGCGGGTTGGAGAACTTGGTTTCCTGGATGAACGTGACGGCCGACTTTAGCGCGAACGAGCTTAGAATCTCGTGCAGCTTCGCGCCGGCGTTCACGCCGTTGACATTGAGTGACGTTACCTTCAGCGTCGTCGGGTGGAGGGGCTGCAGATTTTCTGTGTGTGGTTGTCTCCCGATTGTCTAGAACGACCTTGATGGTATCGATGCAACGCCAATGGGAAAGCGAGGAAAGGGACAACGTAACGGGGCACCTCCTGCACGTGCAGCAGGAATCCACCGTCTGGACAAAAAGGGGTCGACTTGAGGGATCCGCATTCTTGACACAGATCAAGTGCTAGCGGAAAGGGTGTCCATGGGTGCATCGTACCACCAGATTCTTTGAGACGCGTTGCACGCGTCCACCTTGAAGCGACCTGTTGTCGACTTGCCATAGTTCCCGCCGACCACGCGACGCTCATCAAGGGACACACATACAGAGGCGTCGTGACATCAACGGACGCCTCACCGGCGCCGCGCACCTCGGATCCTGCTTGCGGTCTAGACCGGTGTCATACAGCGGTCTTCCCTTGTTCCAAACCAAGCCGATGCGAGTTGTCACAAGTCCACACGCCAGCACAGATACGATGTTGCTTGGCGTAGATCACCACATCATTTCGGATGTTAGCTTGGTAGTAAGAATGCATAAGAGAGGTCAGTTACTACTACACACACAACCGTCGTGAACCTCCCATCGGCAGTCTTTGTTACCGCGTCATCAGAGGCGTCTTAGTCGCTCGCGCAGTCGGCACCCGCGTCCGGGATGGGCGACGGAAGACCGCCCGAGAGATCGACGAGCGATCGCACTCCATTGACGCGCTTCAGCATGAACGCGTCAAGGACTGTGCCGTTGGCATTGGCCACCCACGTCACGTTGAGCGTATCGCGCGTCGCGATCGCCTTGTTGACGCCATAAATCTTGGCAATCATCTTGATCGACCACGGCGGCGAAGACGACCCGACGGGCTTGCACACATAGTCGCGGCCACCGGCGCCGGTCGAGAGGTACAACACGCCGTTCTTGGTGTCGATTGTATTCTTGACGATCGGCGCCGTGCGCTCGTACGCATGCACATGGCCCGCAATCACCATGTCGACGCCGTGCTGCACGAACAAGTCTTCCAACTTGGCCTGGTTGGCGCAGTGCGGTTCCTTGAGCAGCGTTCCGGAGCTCGTGACATCGTACTTGCCAGACCAGCACTTGTCGGCATCGGGGATCTCAAACCGGGTTGGACCACACTGGCACTGGTGCGAGTCCCACGAGTTGTAGTACGGGTTGTGCTTGATGACGAGGACCCATGGCGTCTTCTGGCGGTCCACCGCCGCCAAGTCGTTTTCGAGCCACTGCCGCTGGAGGTTGCGCTCGTCGAGCCAAAACGGTGTCCCCACAGCGCTCTTGTCGTCACCTCGGGTGCCGGCGTAATCATCGACAAAGACCGCATGGACATGGCCAATGTCGATCGAGTAGTACGTGCGGAGCTTGGCGTTCTGCGCGGCCGAGACCGGGTTGTTGGCACGGTGGATGTACCCGAGGTAGTTTTCAGAGACGTACTTGGCGTCGTTGGGCTTGGTGGGTCCACCCCCCTTGATCGTCTCGTGGTTGCCGCTGATGCCGAGCGTCGGGATGGACGAAAAGACGGGCTGCGCAGCTCGGTACCACGCGTCCCAGTGCTCGTGCTTGCCGTTGGCGTACGCGTAGTCGCCCGCGATCAAGATGCCATGGGGCTTGCTGGCCGCGAGGTTTCCAAGTGTCTCGGTGATGTGGGGCACATCAATGTCGCCAACGATGCCGAGCACGGTTGGTGTGTCGGCGTCCGAGCGCGGCGGTGTCACAAACGACGTGCCAAACGCTGACCCGCACCCCGCAGCCCCGGCGTCGATCGCATACGTGTACGTCGTGCTCACCTCGAGGTTACAGAGCCGCGCCGTGTGCAGAAACGGCGACGTGTAGTTGTACAATGGTGACGTGACGCTGTACGAGTCGATCGTCGTCGAGACGGTCTTGGGCGATGCCCCGGCAGTCGCAAACGAGACGGAGAGCGGGCTGCTCACGTCGCTCGCAAAGGCGACCGAGACGCCGTTGGGGCAGTCGACGTTGGCGTTGGTAAGACCAAGGTGCACTTGGTCGACGGCGGCCGTGACGAGCATCGCCGACGCGAGGAGAGAGGCGAGTGTTGGGAACATGGCAAGAGGAATAATGACCCTTGGTTTGGTCGAGTACGAGGATGTCGAGTGAAACTTTGGATTGCGTTTGTGTCGTACCGGATGGCGCTTACCACGCGTTGGATCGCAACCGAGTGGAAGCCATTCAACCCGAAGTGGCTACATCGTGAAATGGCTACAAAGTGAAACTGAGTTGCCTCTGATCGCACATTGTTTGGCCCACAGTTCCAGCCATGGTCCATGAGGTTTGGTTCCACTGGCCGGATCCCACCCGCTCCAAGTCGAATTCCCGCTTGGATGCGCATCGAGGTCGACGCTGTCCCAGTCCTTCGAGTAGTGAGTACCGGTTGCATTTTTGGGGTGCTGCAGTAGATTCGATGCCATAGCGAGTGACGATGAATGGAACCGAGTTGTCTGCTCGTCGCATCAAAACGAAGTACTAGTACAGCAGTACGACGACGACTCCACTTCAACAGCAATGTGACGCCAAGTTGCCGTTCGTGTTGGGTCGTACCGATGGACACTGCAACAAAAGCCCATTCTCGCGTCTTTTAACAGAGTCGCGGAATCTGCACGGTCGCCCTACTGGTAAGCATCTCTGCAAACACACGCATGGCCATCGCGTTGGTGCTTGTATGAATGGTCTACTAGCATTCGACGCATGCCAACAGCACATTCGCCCAAGTCCGTGACGTCAACAGCACCTACGAAGGATTCACATTGGACGACGATAGTCTTGGAACGAACCCGTCCAATTCACGATCACCGTAGATTCATACTGCCTTGGTTCCGATATCGACAAGACGGCGGATGCAGTCGGTTGCCACCACGGTGGTTCACGATGTGATCCGTGCATGTGAATCTTCGTGGCGCCATGTGCTCTGCCATCTGGCACCTACGGCCTTTCAGCCGTACGTTTAACTGTAACCGGACATCCTGTTGCATCCGGAAATACATCCCGATACACGGCGACGGCGATCGATCACTGGACGAGTAGGCAACCTCATGAGCCGCGTCGACCTGCAGCTCGGCAATCGATTTAGCCTTGTGCGTGCATATACTCCTCCGCCGTTGCAGTAACCTTCAACCCATCGTCGTCAGTAGCCTCTTCGTCTGCTTCCTTCCTCAAGGGATCATGAAACGCCAATCACTTCAATCTGCGTGGTGCAGTACAATGCAAATCAGATTCGTAAGGAGGAAGAATTTCCGCCATCACAATACGCTGTTTTCGAGGTCATTTCTAAATTGAACATGCGCCCCATGATCTATCTATCTATCTATCTATCTATCTATCTATCTATCTATCTATCTATCTATCTATCTATCTATCTATCTATCTATCTATCTATCTATCTATCTATCTATCTATCGCACCGTGTCTACATATCCGATACCATGCCGCTAAGACAACTGGCCCGATCGCTCGTAGGGTAGGGTGTCTGATGACATTGCTCCTCGCAACCAACGATGCCTTTCCAATTTCTTCGTCGGAATGCTTCAATGCACTCGATACAGTACATGTACGTCGTCGTCGGCATAACGTAGCAGTAGCCGACACGCGGACCCGGCAAGCAATGGCTACTTTCGTCCCATCGAGAGTCGACTCGAGTCCACTTCGTTGCGCCAAGATCGTGCATGCACGGTGTGGTAGCACCCATCATTGTGACCTACCCCTCTACAAAAGATTCGAGCCACTCGTGCGCTGTATGGAGCACCACCACCAGATTTAACGCGGCCGGTTTCATGCGACAAGACACTCTTTGGCTACCACAGGACGCTGTCAGCCGTACGTTTTCATACCATGTGTTGGACGTCGCGTCGTCACTCGTGGCGCTAGTGTCGACTCGACACGGACTGCCATGTACGAGATTCCGAGACAGAGAGGGCGAGACCGTTGCCGCGCGGTAGCGCTTCTAGTCCTGGCAACTATGTAACTATGTCAGCACTACGCGTGCGAACTTGCACGAGAAACGAGGTCGTAGCCAGGTCGCAGCATGGGCGCCGCCTTTTTCACCGTTGAGCCGGAAAGGCTACCGCGATGCACGCTACCTTCAATTTACGACAGCTAGCCGGCCATCGCACGACGCACCCAGCTACGATAAAAGTACCCTGACCATCTTGAACGCTCCAACCAGATTCGACCCACTCGACACCTTGCGTTTGTCATCGGCCACCGCCTCGGTTCCCACAACTCAATTCGCCATGTTCCCAACACTCGCCTCTCTCCTCGCGTCGGCGATGCTCGTCACGGCGGCCGTCGACCAAGTGCACCTTGGTCTTACCAACGCCAACGTCAACTGCCCCAACGGCGTCTCGGTCGCCTTTGCGAGCGACGTGAGCAGCCCACTCTCCGTCTCGTTTGCGACGCCCGGTGCGTCGCCCAAGTCGGTGCCAACGACTGTGGACTCGTTCAAGTTCAAATCCAAGCTCTACAGCTACACGTCGCCGTTTCTGCACACGGCGCGGCTCTGCAACCTCGAGGCCAGCGCCACGTATGCGTATGCGATTGGCGGTAGCGACAAGGCTTGCGCGGGCAGCTTTGTCCAGTCGTTTGTCATGCCGCCACGCTCCGACGCCGACACACCAACCGTGCTCGGTATCATTGGCGACGTTGGCTCGGATCACATTGACGACACCTTGCGCAACACGGCGGCCGGTATCAACGGCACGGCCGCCCACGCCATCTTCATCGTCGGTGACTTGGCCTATGCCAACGGCGAGTACGAGCAGTGGGACGCGTGGTACCGCCAAGCCCAGCCGATTTTCTCTTCGATTCCGACGCTTGCGATCAGCGGCAACCACGAGACGACGAAAGGCGGCGGCGCCACGAAGCCAAAAGACAAGAAGAAATTTCTGCCGGAAAACTACCTCGGGTACATCCACCACGTCAACAACCCGGTCTCGGCCGCGCAGAACGCCAAGCTGCGCACGTACTACTCGATGGACGTCGGGCATGTCCACGCGGTCTTTGTCGACGATTATGCCGGGTACCGCGGCGACGACGACGATGTTGTCGGCACGCAACCGTGGATGGACGAGCGCAACCTCCAGCTGCAGTGGCTCGAAAACGACTTGGCGGCAGTGGACCGCCAGAAGACGCCGTGGGTCCTCGTGCTCAAGCACAACCCGTACTACAACTCGTGGGACCGCCACCAGTGCCAATGTGACAAGAAGCGTTTTGAGATCTCGGACCCCGACAAGTGCTGGGCCGGCGAGTACCACGAGGACTCGGACAAGAAGGCTTCGTCTCAGCCGCACTGCGCCAACCAGGCCAAGTTGGAAGACGTCTACGTCAAGTATGGCGTCGATATTGTTGCCGCGGGCCACGTCCACTCGTACGAGCGCACGGCGCCGATCGTCCAGAACAAGATCGACACCAAGAAGGGGGTCGTGTACATTACGACGGGCGCTGGCGGCCACGGCAACGACTGCACCCGCCTCAAAGATGTCCCGGCGTGGTCGACGGCGGCGTACAGCGGTGCGTTTGGTGCCACGCGCATGGTGGCGACGCGTGATGCGCTCAACGTGTACTGGTTTGCCAACAAGAACGAGACGGCTCTGGACGCATTTGTGATGACGAAGGACGGCATTGTGAGCTCGACGCCAAGCGACCTCATGACGACGATTGGGCTGCCGCCGGTTGTCGGTGTCTGTGACCTCGACGACTAGGCCCGCATGGCACGACCTCGTCGATGTACGCAAACAGTGGCTGTGTTTTAAAAGGAATAAAACGCAATTTGCACCACCTTTTGGATGGATGGCGTTGGGTTTGCATAGCTTGCACGAGCGCATGCCACGTCACGAAGCGTTGGCTTCAAATCTCTTCTGTGCGCACTGCGCTTACGATGCGCGTGCACTTGCAAAGGGTGTACTGCATAAGCCATTATGCATCGTTTCGTTTGATTTCTTTCTTGTCCGGCCAGCGGTCAAGGTCATTTTTACCCGTGCCACTGGCACTGGACGAAAGGTGGCAAGCATTCTGGCGCCAATACCACGTGAGGTCGCGCCACAAGTTCGAGCTGGGATCCTAGCCCAAAATTGTCGCTTAGCAAGCTCCTTATCTGATGGATATTAAATACGTTGTGGCAATTCTCAAACGAACAACGGCATAGGCTCTGCGGCTGCACCCCTTTGACGAGCAACCTTGATGTCGAGGCCGTCCATGCCCTTTGATTGGCTACTTTTAGACCAATCAAACGTCGGCTAACTTTTGGATGCACCAGCGGCAGCCTCCAGCGGCTGCGACCACCACGCCTGCCAATCCGCCGCATGACCTCGCGCCATCACGATGGCCGCGCTCGGTCCTGCTACCGCTTCTTCCTCTTCTGATCGCTGTCCTCGTCGCTGCACGATGGCGCTTGGATGGCAACGATGCAGAAGGTACAGGCGCCGTCCCCTGCAAGTATGCGAGCCCGGCCGTCATGTACATGGCACCGCAGTCCTTTCTTCCACGACCGTCGGTAGCCTCATCGCCGCCGCCCTCCATTTCCTCGCAGCGAACCCACGTGCGCGAGGCCATGGCCCTCGGCGCCGACGCCTTGCGCATGCGTGGGCACGTCTTCGTGCTCCTCAACGGGGCCAACGACGGGCTCTTTATGGCCGCGCATGACCTCTCGGACCTGGAATTGATGGCGCGAACCGCGGCGCTCGCGCTCGGTGCGGACGCCGACTGGGTTGCGCTCGGCCTGCGCTTGTACTCGCCGATGGGGCACCCACTGCATTCGGCTGCCGACGTCGACGTTGGTCGTATCGTCCACGTCCTGCTCGAATTCCAGTCGTGGGTCTGGCCCGGCATTGCCATTGGTCATGTCTATACGCTATACGAAGACAATATGTCGATGCACTTGACGACGCTCAGCCTCGCACCGCGCGTGTTTGAACTCTCGGACTTTGTGTCCCAAGACGAAGCAGACAGTATCATTGCCGAGGGCACGCCGCACTTGGCCGCGTCGCAAGTCGATCTCGATGGCCGCGACGGTAATACATCTTGCAATGCTCCCCTTCTCTTGACAGGACGTGTGGTCAGGCATCTCAACGCACCGGACCAGCCGAACGGGGTTTTTGCCCCCCAGCCGCCTCTCACGGCGTATCCAAGCCCGGGCAGCCGCGATTGCTCGTCTGCCCAGCCAAACGTACGCCGAGCAGCTGCATCTCGTGCAGTATACGCCCGGTACCTTCTACAAGCCGCATTTGGACACGTTTGGTGGCAAGGCCATCTTGGCCGACCCGGCGCCGGTGCCAGCCATCGATGCGTACGAAGCGTGGGTTGTCTGGGCTGCAGCGGCGCTCGATGCACTCGTCGCCGATGGCGTCGCCTTGCCGCCCGCCTATTGTCCAAATGACGGACCGTTATACCCTCGCACGACCGAGGCTTTTGCCCACGCACTTCTCGAGGTTTTCTTCGCACATGCAGTCGCTACCAACTACTTTGCAGCGCGGTGCGACGACCCCTTCTCAACGCAACGATAGTATCTGGCTATAACGATATATGGTAGATATGACCTGGCGTGGCAGGACTGGCTGCGACTCAACCTCGACGAGACCATCCCTGGCACGCTCCAGGAGCTCCTAACTGTCCGACCCAACTATTTGGATGCGCTGATCGAGGCATGGTCCAACACGATCAACCGCATCGAACTCATATACACCGCCGCGCGTCGAGAGACCGCCGTCAACGGCCAAAGCCACTACTTTCGGTGGATTCGATGGCTCAAAGAAGCCATTGCGGCTTGCGCCGACTGCCCCGCACTCGTCCAGCCGACCGGCGCGTGGTACCCCAAGTTTGACAAGCGTTTTCAGCAACAGCTCCTCGAGCTTTTCCTTCTCGACGCACCGCGCACGGCGCTCGAAGCGGCCACGAACGCAACGTTCAGTGCCTGGCTGCTGGCGACGTACTACGAGCAAGGGCTGGAAGATGACCTTTTGCTGGACGCGCTCGCGTCCTTTGGCCCCACGCTTCTACCCATTATCATTGACCGATTTGAGCACCGCGTCCAAGACGTCCGGCTGCACTATACGATGCCGGCGCAGTTGCCGCGCCACGCCGTGTACCGTCCCCAGCGCTTCGCGACTGCATTTGTGTACCTCAACGACGTCAAGGCCGGTGGGGCAACGGCCTTTCCGTTCGCCAATGGCAGCGACGGCGGTGACGGCTGCCATGGGCGCGGCCTCACCGTACCGCCGCGTGCCTTGCACGCCGCGTTCTTCTACTCGCAAACACCCGAGCATGACATTGATGTGCTGAGTCGGCACGGCGGCTGCGCCCCTCGGCGCGGTAGTATCAAGTTCGGGGCCAATGCGTTTCTTTGGAATAGCGACGCCGAGGAAGGCACGTCGCTATGGCGTCAGTAGCGCACGGTCGTCAAACGAACAAAACTACGTCGTTTCTCCTGCTTGCAATCGTCTGCATACCAGGCTTGCTTGCGGGGTCGCCGCATCATCTACCACAACCACTATTATAGGTGGACGGCCCCCAAGGCCGAGCACCCAACATCATTGCCGCGCCCACCAGTCTGCGAACGACGCCTGCTTGAAGCTGCGGCATGCGACGAGGCCATTGGCTACAAAAGAGCCAATCGGATGCCGTTTTTTAGAATGCCACCCACGGATTGGCTGCACTCAAAGATTTGCATGTTGACCAATCACGGTGTCGGGCACATCATTGCACTTTCCATTTCAGCATGTTGCGCACGTCGCTCGGCCACCTCACGCTCGATACGTGCATCTACAACGCCAGCGGTCCGCGCACGGGGTCCACGGACGCACTCGCCAAGATCGCATCGTCGGCCGCCGGCGCCGTCCTTGCCAAGAGCGCGACGGTCGACGAGCAGAGTGGCAACGACCTGCCCCGCACGTGGCAAGCCGACAAGGTCGCGAGCCTCAACTCGGAGGGCCTGCCGAACAAGGGCATTGGCTACTACCTCGCACGTGACGCGATTGCGTCGGCGAAGGGCAAGCCGTACCTCGTCTCGCTCTCGGGACACAACTTGGCCGACAATTTGCGCATGCTCTCGGAGGCCGTTGCCACCGACGGCGTCGACGGCATCGAGCTCAACCTCGCGTGCCCCAACGTGATCGGCCACCCGATCATCGCGTACGATTTCGACCAGCTCCGCGATGTGCTCACGGCCGTCCAAGCCCATCCCGGCCTCGCCGCGTCCAAGAAGCTCTTTGGCATCAAGCTGCCGCCGTACTTTGACGGCCCGCACTTTGAGAAGGCCGCCGCCATCATCAACGACTTTAGCTGCGTGCACTTTGTCGCGTCCATCAACACGATCGGAAATGCCCTCGTGATCGATACCGAGGCCGAGATGCCGGCGATCCGCCCCAAGAACGGCTTTGGCGGCCTCTCGGGCCCCGCGGTCAAGTACACGGCGCTCGCCAACGTCAAGAAAATGCGCGACCTTCTGCACCAGCGCATCGCAGTCGTCGGCGTCGGCGGCATTGAGAGCGGCGAAGATGTCTTCAACATGCTCCTTTGCGGCGCGCAGGCCGTCCAAATCGGCACGTGCCACTGGATCGAAGGCCCCAAGTGCTTTGACCGCATTGCGTCCGAATTGGAGGCGATCTTGCGCCGGAAGGGCTACGCCAACGTCGATGCGGTCCGCGGGCAGTTGAAAGAGTGGTCCAAGGAAGGCGCCGCCAAAAGCCGCGCGGCGCGCACAGCGACGGCCCCGAGCGCTGCGACGACGACGACGACGACGACGACATCGTCGTCTTCGGGGATGGACCCGTCGTTGCTGCGGCTCGTGATTGTCGGTCTCCTTGCCGTCATTCTGGGCCTTTTGAGCGAAAAGTACGCTCTGACCAAGGCGTCGTAAACACGATCGTTGAAGAGATTTGTGGTGTCAAAATTGGGCACCTCCTCATTGGCAACCATGGGGACGGAGGGTTGTCAGTCACCTCCGATCCTCCGAACCTAGAAGCCCCACCAACAGGTAGCGACAACACGCACCGGTATAGCTTTTACGATGACGGGGGTTGTCGGTCATTATAAAAGTGGTTTTGCGTGATGGGATGGTCGGCGAAGACAGATACAACTATGTACGCGGGTTTCTGCTGAGGAGAATGCGAGTTGGCTGCTACGGGCGGATGGAGTGCTGGAATTGCGACGAGCCGGTGCGACCTGTGTACAATATTGTAGCAACTGCAACGTACATTGGCTACGCTTCACCTCGCTGTGTAGGAAGGCCAGAGCTTTAACGCTTGCCATGGAAGCTTGCCATGTTGTCTGTCAACCGACTTGACGCGGACACCAAGCCGTTACCACATCGGTTCGGACCGTGTCCCAGCCGCGTAAATTTCAGCTCCATGAACGCCATTGTCCATATGTAATCGTATATGGATCGATCGCATTCTCTATATGGATTTTATACAACCATATCCTGCAGACAGGCGATACATGGCCATCGCTTTCTACGTGCCTACAATTGACCGACAATACCCTCCCCCACCATCGCGTCTCGAATCGACATCGAAGTTCATGTCGTCATGACATTTCCATGTCGTGGAGCGCATTTGTATCGGCGACAAAGAGCGTCGTACCGTCGTGACGCTCGTCGACAACGCATTGTATACGGTGAAAAGCGTCCATACGAAAAAACATATATGGTTGCTGCCCGCGCCTCAATCCATACAAAGTACCGCAGCAGCTGGAGCATGGACAACCCGCTAGCACCTCGCTGATCGCAGAAGCCGATGGCATTTTAGCATGAAGCGCGTCGACGAGCAGGACCCCAAGCGCGCGCTGGCGCTCCTCCTCCTCCTCGTGCTGGCCTCGCTTATGACCATGAGCGTCCTCCAGGAGACCATGACCACCGAAGCCGGGCCGCTGCGCCACGAGCTACCGGATGAGCTGCCCGACGAGCTGCGCCACGAGCTACCCGACGAGCTGCCCGACGAGGCTGTCTTGGTTGTGCCGTCGGCCGAGCCAGCGCCCTCGCCGGTCGACCCCGCACTCGCGTCATCGGCGTCGTGGGTCCAGGCGACGCTCGGGCCCAAGCCATGGCTGCCGACCGACAAGGCCGGCGACATGTACCCCGTGGACCCAGCCGGCAAGATCAAGTGCGTCGCGCTTCGGACAGGCCACCTCGTCGAGCACTTTATCGACCCGACCGACTGCTACACGGAGGACGATCGCCGTGAGATGATCCGCGCGCTGGTCTACACGCTCATCGACGCCTTTGACGCGCATGGCATCGAGTACTGGCTCGACTCGGGCACGCTCCTCGGGTCGGTCAGGCACGGCGGCTTGATTCCGCACGATCTGGACGCGGACTTTGGCTTGACGCACGCGTCGTTCGAGCAGCTGCGGCGTACGAACCTGACGTTTCCATCGCGCTACGAGCTCTTTGTCAACGACAGTCGGTTCTATCGGCGCGGGCCGTACGCGTACCTTCCCGGGCGCTTTACCGATACGACCAAGGGACTGTACATTGATTTGTTTGAGTTTTTGCCGTCGACGCGGATCGAACCCACGACCGATCGCGACGCCGCGACGGCGACGACCCCACATGGCACCGACCCGTCAACAAACACCTCGACGCACCTCGAGGCAACGACAACGACGACGACGACGACGACGACGGTTGCGATCGAAATGCTGGGGCCCGCGGCCTCCAACTGCTGGTGGGCCTGCAAGAATTGCCCCGAGCCAATGCATTTTCTTGTCCCGCGCGACGTGATCTTTCCCCTCGTGCGCTGCAAGTTTGACGACCGAATGGCGTGGTGCCCACGCCAGGCCACCGAGTACCTCCAAGTCCTCTACGGCAACGACTTTATGACGCTCAAACACAGTGCGTCGTAAGCGTGGCGATCACGAATACGTAAGAAATCTAGTTTTAAATCGAGGTCGTGAGTCTTGTGATTATTGGGTCGTCGAGCCAATACTAACATACATGCCAGTTCGAGCTCCAAACGAGCCTGATCCGCAAGAACACGAAGTGGTGTGGACATGCGCCAACATCGGGAAGGTCCGGTGCGACGAGCAGCTGCACGAAGAGGCAGAGCGCGCTGCCTTCCACGTGAAGTGCAAGCGGACCTCGACGGCGGCGTCGAGGCGCGCAAGAAGACCACGCATCCGGCCATCGACCTCTTTGCGCCCGACGCGACTCGAGGAGCAACGCCACTTCCACAAGGCCAGCGACATGCCGGACGATCAAGCTCCACGACTCGGCAAGCGCAAGAAGACGCGGTCACGCATTATTCTGGCTCCGTCACTCCGGCGACTGCAGCCACTTGGAGAAAGGCACCGCGCTCCTCGCGTATTGTGTCGTCCCGCGAAATGCGCGTCTCCTGCGCTGGCTTGGCACGAATAAACGTAATATCTATCTTTCTATTCCACTGCAAATGGGATACATCTACCTGAGGCCTGCGATCGGCTTGCCATGTCCTGGGCTGGCGGCGATGCTCGGTTCGAGAACTGCAGCAAAAACACTGGCGATTGGCTCGAAAGCGACATAGTTGCCGCTCTGATTGGCCACAAATCTAACGTCTTGTCGCTCTGATTGGCTGGAACGCTTTGGCCTGGCGTTGACGCCAATGAGGGAGACCGACGAGGAACACTGCATTGTGACCGGGCGGCACTTTATGGTGGCGTAGGGAATGCTGATGGAGTCTCCTCGAGCTCAATGCAGCAGCGTCAGTGGTGCCCGAGGAGCCTCGGCATCGTCCTTCGCCGGTCATTATTCTTGGCGCTCGCCATTTACAACCATAAGTAACCATATTTTGGTGCACACAGGCCCGCCGCGCCGGCGGATCGACCAAAATGAAGTTTGTAAATGAAATCGCCCATACTTGCCAGAGTGCTAGACCACATTTTGGGGAGTCCAAAATGCTATGTGACGTCGCCGTGCGAGCTCTGTAGCGAGAGCAAATGGCAGCGGCAAATAATTTTTTGATATAGTGTGCTTTTTTGATATACTGAAATACTGTACTAGTACGGGATACAAGGCCTCATCACGCAGCGGTATTGCGCGCACTTTGCCTCCCTCGGCCACATAAAACATGCTCTCTCACATGAACCAAAAGAGACAGCGTCCTCGGTTTCCTCGATTTCGATGCATTTTCAACCGCAATTGCATGTCGAATGCCCTTAAAACTGACGCTCGGCAGTTCGAGTTTGGTGCGAGTGCCCAAGCAACGACGGCACTAAACAAACTGGTCGCAGACCGGGTCGAGATCCATAGCTAACTGTGGCAGCCAGTCTTACGGTCCTTGGATCTTTGGAGCTCCGCGATGTCACGTGAAGAATTTGGGCAATTCTGCCATCACGTCGAAAAATGGAAAATGGATCTGCGCGTGATTGCGCTACGTGCAGCGTCGGAAACAATATGTTCATCGTTCTAGGAGTGTACGGAGAGGTAGACACGGCTGCTACGTGGCGCTGGCACGTCTGTGGGCTGCTACTCGTCGTTGTGCCGAATGGTGCTCACATTATTTAAAACGTAGCTGGTCGACATGTGAAGCTGTGGTTGGTGGTTCAATGGTCACTGCCTCGATAACGTCCATCTTGCGAAGTTGTGTCCAAGGCATTCGAGTGCACGTTAATACCTCAGTAGGATGGAATCTTCGGGATCTTGTCGTGTTGTCCCCTTGAGAGCATAAAAATGTCATTCGATGTGTTCTACTTACTGGAAGTACATGGCCTGGACACTGGGCTTCTCGTGAGTTCATAGCAGCGGCCGAGGCGTACTAGGCGACTATAGATCTGCTTGGTAGGAGCGATGCACGGCATGCGACTCGACGCACGTCACTTTGAGCTTGGAGCTGATGTCTCATGAAATGCATGGCGGAGACGTAGATCCACCAGCTGTTTCTTGCTATACGCCTCGAGCAAGCAAGTGTCGTCTCGTCTTGACGCTGGTCTGCGCTTGATGAAGCGCTTGATGAGCGGAGCGGCGCTGAAAACAACCCAAGGAACAACATAGTCCACGACAAGCGCTGACGTCGGACCTTTTGCGACCCATTACGCAGTGCCAGGATGTCGCTGTTCATACAAACACCAAGTGCAAGAAGCCCGTCGCAACCGCATTTCAGATCGTCCGAACCATGTGTCGCCATGTCGTAGCACCAAAAAAGACCACCATATTTCACAAAACATGGATACAACCCTTGTTCTATATGGATATGTCTCGACCATATTTAACATGACGGAACGCCGTGCGCGCGCCATTGCAAGAGGACGACGAGCGTGCCAGTGGTCGCACACGCCACCCAACGAAAGTGAACTTCTACGATATCGAGGTATAGAATCTACAGTCGTAGCATGACATGATACATTAGCGACAAGCGTCGCGGAGGGTATGCCAACATTTATATATATGGTCTTCTGGCCTACCTCCGTATGGATATCATGGATCTGACGTCCACGTCGTTCGATCCGGTTGAAATTGCTGTCGAACCGCCTGTCTACCAAAGCGCGCGCGGTCCACCATCATTTCTCAAGTGCCACCGATGAGTCTGCGCCATCGGGCGGACGATGGCGTGCGCACGCCAGTGCTTCTGCTCGTCCTAATCCTCGCGTCGCTTCTCTCGATGAGCCTACTCCAGGAGACGCTGACGGCCGAGGTGCCACCGCCACCCACACGCCCGCCCATGGTGCGCCACGCGCTGCTGCAGCTCGAGCCAACAGCAGTACCCGTGCCATCCGTCACCGCGACATGGGCACCACGGACCAACGCCACGCCGACCAACGCCACACCGACCGCCACGCCACAGACACCGTTTCCGACCGACAAGTGGGGCAACATCTTTCCAAAGGACCCGGCCGGCAAGATCGAATGCGCAGTCATTGCGATGGGCCACCTCTCGGTCGAGTACGTCAACACGACCGACTGCTACAGCGTCGAGGACCGCCGGGCCATGCTCCGCACGATGGTCTACACGCTCATCGACGGGCTCGAAGCCAACGGCATCGAGTACTGGCTCGACTCGGGCTCGCTCCTCGGGTCCGTGCGCGACGGCGGCTTGATCCCGTTCGACTTGGACGCCGACTTTGGCTTGACGCACGCGTCCTTCACCAAGCTGCGTCATACCTCCATCGCGTTTCCATCCCGGTACGAGCTCTTTGTCAACAAGAGCCCGCTCTACAAGAAGGGCCCGTACGCCTATCTTCCCGGGCGCTTCGTCGACAAGCACAAGGGGTTTTACGTCGACCTCTTTGAGTTTCACCCGTCCATCAACACGACGCAAGTCAACACGACGTCGATCCTGCACGTGGCCGGTGGCAAGCACGCTACCTTGCGCACCCACGACGCGATTGTAAGCGTCGAGTCGATAACCGCCAACACGTCCACGCACCTCACGGTGACGACGACGACGACGGTCGAGATTGACGTGCTTGCGCCCGTCGCGTCTGTGTGCTGGTGGGCCTGCAAGCACTGCCCGGCGCCCAACCACTTTGTCGTACCACGCGACTGGGTGTTTCCCCTCGTCCGCTGCAAGTTTGACGACCGACGCGCGTGGTGTCCAGCAAATACCCACGCGTACCTTACGATGCTGTACGGCGACACGTACATGACGCCGCAGTAGCATCGTCACGATGATGAGAACCAGCGCTCGTATTTAACCCACCACAGTGTCTTCTTGCACCACTGCGCTACCGCAGCTTCACATATCGTGGTGTCCAACCACGCACCCGGACGGTCAAACGACCGACCCGAGACAAGAGTAAGATGCAACCGCGTCGCTGGACTCGGATCTGGCGAACAGGAAGCGTCTCGGGCATTATCGTTTGTCTATTGCAACGTCTACCCGGATCGGATCTTGATACCGCCGTCCGCGCGACGACGCGACGGTGCGGCCGTGGCTGCGTACTCGAGCCCGAGGAAGCAGTAGCCATCGCCACGCGAGAGCTCGAGCCGGCCCTCGTCAAAGACCACCTCACGGTTCATGTCACCTAGGACGAGGGCACAACATGAGCATCCAAAATAGAGATGCAAACTTGTCTACCGGGCTCCGACTCGAGGGGCACACCCCGACTCTCGACAATCGCCGAGAGCTTCCACTTGGCGAACACATCGTCCGCGACCTTGAATCTACGATGCACATGTCAAAATATCCATGTATATCAAGCTTGCAAATGAAAAAAAGAAGAGTTGACGTACTTGGCTTGGACGCGGCGGCGAAGCGACTCGAAGGTATCGTCGTCGTAGGCCACGACGAGGCCGGCCGTGTGGTGCGGTGCAATGAACGTGTCGTGCGTGTAGCTAAAGTGCATGACGCCGAGCAGCACCGAGTGGCAAAAAGGCTTGCGGGTCGCCGGTATCGAATCCACGACAAACAAACTCGATCCTTGCAAGAGCGAGATCGGCGTCGCGGCCGGCACGATGCGGAGCATATTCGACCCGTCCCGCGTCTCGAGCAGTCTACACAACGCAGCTTTTTCGGTACCACAATACACCACAGTGTTGGAGCATTGTGTACCGCAAGTCGACCAAAGACGTGTCGACCGACTGCCGACGAGCGATTTCCGCCAGCGCGCCTTGGACCGTCGACGTCGGCTCCAAAATCAAGTCGACGCGGCTCAGCGTGTCCGTCTCGAACGCAGGCTCGTACGGCGAGAGGTACACGGGCAGATGCGTCTTGCGCTCGAGGTTGACAATGGACTCGTCGAGGCGTTCGTAGTAGAGCAGCGTCGCGCTGCTGTCCAGCGACGTCATCAACATCGCCTTGAGCTTCATGCCGGACGAACCTACACCACCACAACATCGCATCCACACCGACCCCATCAACACACACAAGTACCCGAGCTCCGGCTGTGCTTGAACGGCTTGGCGCGCGGCCCGTGCGTGCTGGACGAGTGCGGATACAGCCGCACAAAGAGCGGGTCCATGTCCAGCGCGATCGCAATCGAGTGGACCACGTCGTCGTACGAGTCGGTGAGCAAGAGCGGGAGCTGGACCTCGGTCGTCGGCGCGTCGTTCTCAAAGCGCGCGCGAAAGGTCACGTCGACGCGGTTGAGACGGTAGGCAAAGTACGCGGGCACCGTGCGGCACAACGACTCGTCGTCGTCCGCAGCCTCGTCCTCGTCCTCGTCCTCGTCGTCGTTCTAGTCCGCAATAGCATCACCCATTCTAGGCGACAAGTGGCACGCACCTCGACGGCCGCTTGGAAGACGACAATGTCGCCGCTCTGGAGTTCACTCTCGACGAGCGTCGCCGATTCCGCGAGCTTGGTGACGTTTCGGGCTGCACGACTTCGTAGAGTGCCAGGTGCATTCGCAGCGGCGCGTCAAACACGTTTTCTCGGATATTCTGCAGCACCGTCGCGACTAGACACCACGTCAGACATCGAGCTATGCACCGTCTCTCGCACCCGTGTCCGAGCCGTGCGCGAGCAGTGTGCCCATGTACGCCAAGCAGGGCTGCTCACTGGCGTCCGCGTTGTAGTACTTGACAAAGAGCAGCACCGTCCCGCGCGGGTCTAAAATCGGGTTGCGCGCCGCGGCCGCTGCATTGACCTAGCACGCGTTGGGAGCCTGTCGGCATATCGACATCATATCGATGGATCGCACCGCCGCGAGCACGCCCGGCGGCATGTCGTCATCAGGAATCCCATCGTCGTCGACGGCCACGATCGCGTCCTTGCCGTCAAACTCGATCGGCGAAAAGTCCGAGAGCGAGTAGCGGCGCAGCACCGTGTGGGGCAGCATCACCTCGAGGTACATGGCCACAATCTTGTTGACGCTTGCGTCATTGTCATGCAGCGCGCGCTGCAGTGTCGCGTCCAAATGCGCGTCCAGATGCTCGTCCGGACGATGCGTCCGGTTCTCGCGTGCCGTCATTTTCCAGAGCCGAAAATGCTGGATCGGGACACCGGTCTCGAGATGCACGAGGCCATACAGCTGCCGCACCTACCGCCATGCGATCGACGCCTCGTGTCGTGCAAACGAGTCATGTACCGTCCACGCCTTGGGCACTTTCAAGCTCAGCATCGTCGCGGACGTCGGCGGCGACTTGGACGTTTTCGGAAACTCGCAAAAGTCCTTGGACTTGGTAATGTTGTCAAAGGCGTAGAGGCACTCGTCGGTCGCGATCCGCAAATGGTAGTACATGTGCTCCCTAGTACCGTGCACACATTTACGATAGACGGTCACACAAACGATGTTTGTACCGCTGCACGAGGCGCTTGCGGCGGCGCAGCGCGATTTCCTCGTCTTGGAACCGCTCCTTGAGCGCGTCAGGGATCACGGCCGGCTCGGCACCCGACGGACACGCATCCTCGCGCAGGTAGACCTACCCTACAACGTCGTGTACGACGTTTTTGTGTGTGCTTTTTCTACCAGCATATAGGCGCTGCTGCAGCTCAAGACGCGGCTCAGCGGCGACGTCGACGACGCGTCGGCCGACCGGCCATAGCTGCCTTCCAAGAGTCGCTCTTCGTCCGCACTGGAGATGACGTCGTCGTCAAACTTGTACCAGTCCTTGTCGAGACGCGGGCGGACGTAGACGTAGTAGTGGCCATGGTGCACGTCGCCCGAGTGCACGAGGATGCTAATGCCAAGTGTGAATCTCGTCCTTGTGCAGATGCAGACGATCTCTACCTGTGGAGGTGGTAGACGGGCGACGGCGTCGTTGCCGGCACGTATGCGCTCAGGTCCAATCGCTTTGGAAACTCGAATCGGTCGTGGACTTTGACCATGCCATCGCGCAGCGGATCGTATTCGAACCTAGCATGTAAATATCAAGGTATCAACCTATTCGTCGTCGCACCGAAGGCCCTACCGCTTGAGCTGGAGGTTGAGGACGGGCGGGAGGCTCTCAAAGACGAGCCCTTTTTTCGCGTCTTGCTTGCCAAAGTCTTTGGCGTCGTATTGGTTTTCGCCGTCGAGCATCTCGACTTCAATGTACTTTTGGAAGCTCGCGTCGAGGTTGACGAGGCCCTTGACGTCGAGCTGGAGGTCGTAAAACGACTCTTCGCGGGACGACTCACACGGCACATGCACGCACGAGATGAAGCTCTTGACCTTGCCCTCGAAGAGCGCCTTGATCAAGCCTACCCTCGATACATTGATCGTTTTTTTTAAACAGATAGAGCCTCGCACCGTCGGCCGGCGTGCCCTTCATTTTTCCTCGAGGCGATCGCAGAGAATCCGATACAGCTCCTGCACGTCGTGCTGCGTGAACGCGTCCATGTGGGACCACCCAAACGACTTGGTGAGTTCTTTTGTACTCACGGCCTTGTCGGCTAGATATCCATGCAATTGATACATTGATACGCGTCGCCGCGAGAGACGTACCAGTTTCGAGCCGGTAAAACACGCGCTGGAGCGCCAAGACGACGCTCGTCGCGCTGTCGTCGTCGGCGGTCGGCGTGTCGTACACGGCCTTCCGGAACGGCGCCAAGTGGAAGAGCGTCTGGAGGAGCGAGTTCATGTAGCACGTCGCGCCTTGGTTCTTGAGCCCGACCATGCCGGTCGTTGTCTTGGAGTCGTACGAGGATGCCAAGGTGAGGTCGACAACGTCATCGTCGTGCTTGCGGCGTGATGCTTCGTCGTCGTCGTCCTGCTGTGCCTGCATGACGTACCCGGTCGCGAGGTCGACCAAGCGCTTCTCTTCCGCCTGGCTCTCTTCGTCCATGTCGATGGATGCATCGTCGCCAAAGATGACGGACGGATCCAGCCGGTTCTCCGACGTCAGAAACGTCTCGTCAATGAGAAAGTCGTCGCCGACCGTGCTGCTGTTACTCGTCGTGTCGCTGTCTGTGGCCTTGAAGCGCTTGGACGTTGGCGCGTGCGCGCTGTTCCAGACCACAATCTCGATGCGAATGTCACCGTCGGGGTGCATGAAGCCGCTGCTCGGGTCCATGAGCGTGTGCATGGTCGTGAGCTTGACCTCGACGCTCGTCTCGCGCAAGTAGCTGTCCATGACGACGTGCCGGGACGCGTCTCGCGACGGATGCTGCAGCGTCGCCTGCACGAAGAGCGTGCCCATGGTCGCATCGACGCGGTCGATCGCAAGGACCACGTCGCCACTGACGTCGTCCGGCACGCAGCGGAAGGACCATACGTGGCCATCGCGGTCCTCGATGGAGGCGTCAAAGGTCGAGCCCACGAGGCCCTCCATCTGCACCCGGACCCATGGCAGCGTCTCCTCGTCCGGCGTTGGCTCGTCCCGCTTCATGGTCGCAGCTTCCAAACGTGGAGTTGGGAGATCTCTTGGGCGACCAGAGTTTCAGCCAACCACAATCGCGCCGTGCCCATTTCTGGCATATCGGCCAATCATAGGCCAGAACACTAGCCTTTCCACCAATCGGAGCGGCTGTAGGTCGGCAATTCGGTATTCGAGAGCGTATTTTGGCCAATCGTAGGCACGCCTCGTCCGTTGCCGCGCAAAACGAGGCGACCCAGCGAGGCGCGACGCGTACACAACTTGTCCTCAATGTCAAAGACAATATTACATATACTATTATACCATATCCATATAGTGTGTCTATAACATCCTATTCTACGAATCTGTCGCAGACAGCGAACAGACTCCAAGAACCGACCAAGCCCATGAAGCACGCGCCATCCTAACGTCGCTGCTGCTATTACATCTCGTTGCGCTAGGTGTACAAGACGACGCTTCTTCAAGCTGTCTTGCCTCGCAGTACCTGCTGTAGGAACAAAACATTGCAGAAACAGGTCATGCTACCGGCCCATTTGGCCATCGCGCACCAACGAGCCCGATACTATAGAGGTCCTTCACGCACAGCATGCTCGAGAGAGACTCGCGCAAGTCGCTAGGATAGGGCCATGTGCAGTGGTTTCCTGGCGCATGGGCGGACAATGGGCGTCAAGTACAACAGGCGGCAAGATAAATAGAGCCTCGTGTTACATCGTCGCGTCGTCCGAGCAGAGCAAGTTGGCAAATTCGCTGTCCGCGACCGTCACCTGCTGCATCTTGGCGACGGCGTCGGCAAGGAGCGCGGCGAGCATGTGCTTGCACTAGACATGGCATGAGGCAACGGCATGTACGACTCGGGAGGCGGACCATGGTCAAGCGGCCGTGCACCGTCGCCTCGTTGAAGGCGTCGCACGAGCAGTAGTGCGCAAAGCAGATGTGCATGGCGTGGGCACCATGGTGCGACGGCGCCGAGACGCGCACCAAGGCGCGGCCGCTCGGCGTCGCGGTGATGCGCGTGACGCGGTTCTTCTCGACGAGCTCGACCGCAGCTTGGAACAAGGTCATGTCGGGCTCGCTGTGGTAGATGGCCATGAGCATGGTGCCATGCTCGGGGCCAAAGGTGCCCCCGCTACCCTTGACGTCGTCGAGAATGCGCCGCAGGATCGCTGCGCTCAGCTCATTGCTCATGCTGCGGCCAAGAAACCTCTCAGACTTCATGCCCTAGGATGAACATTGTATTCAAATCTAATATTCATCGACGGCTTTGGATCGATCCTAGGTTTGATTGGATAGGTCATAGGATATATCCTTCGATATATGTGCCTAAGTTTTCTTATTGTGCCTCCCTATCGATGTTGCCTACGTAATCATTGACCGATCGAGTTTGACGATATTTCCGGCACCAGTCATTTCGGGAATTCAGCAAGCGCTGGCAAGCGTAGAGGAGCATGGAGTGCGTCGCGTAGGTAGACAGTGGCTACATGGACATGACGGACGATGAGGAATTGTACCTTCCTGATGCTTTACCTGGCCCATGCGCTCGACGACATGCTTCTGAGCATGCGGCACGCCCTGGGTCCATGAAGAAGCTAGGTCATGCTAATCTGAGTCCGGCGACCATCCTATACGTGCAGCTACCGGGCGCGTCTCGACATCCTCCTTCATGCATGGCACACCGTAGGCGACGACATGTGCAGAGGCCGATGCGTGCCCTCGTCGGCGCGTGCGATGGCATCTTTTACAGGCTGGCGCCACCCACATTGCGCCATGTGCCACGGCGTATTGGATGCCACTTGCATCGGCTGCCTTGCCGCATCGATGCGACCATCGGTATCCTCCTGCAGGCAAGGGCTGCATGGATGAACCATGGTACTATCCATGAAGATGGCCCTGAAGATGACCGTGTTGCGAGTTAGAACGAATAACTCTGTCCACTACTACAACGACGACTTCTGGTCGCCTGGCCGTGTTGGTGGGGCGTGGGGCGCATGGCCGCCCGCGCATGGACCATCATGTACTGCATACGATATATATATACACGCCAGACAACGTACGACTAGACCGTCGTGGCGCTCTCCTTCTCTTCTTCGTCGTTGGCTTCATTCGTCCCATCGCAGCGCGCGGGGCGGCGGCACCGTACTGGCGTCGGGCGCAAACAAGATGGAGAGAATGACCACGATCGTAAAGATGAGGATGACGAGCACGAGGAGGTGGACGCACTTCTCGCCGCTGCCGAGCGAGCCAAAGTAGCGGCCGCACGTCCAGCGCTCGGGTGCCTTGAGCGCTTGCTGCTTGCGCTTCAGATGCAGCCGCGCCTTCTCCTTGTTCATCGAGAGTTCGGGGCTGCGGAACCACGGCAGCGGATGGACCTCTTGGATCGGCCGCTGCTTCCCGCCGAGCGAGACCTGCCGGGTCGGGCCTGTCGCGAGGGCCATGGTCGGGGCGACCGGCGCTAAGCTCGGGGCGGCCAGCAGCGGCGAGTGCTCGCGGTTGGCCGTCATCGGAGGGCGAATTTTCGAATGGATATCACTCGGACAGAAAAGTGCGATGGTTTGTGACTCATGGTGAAGAACTCAGTGATTGGCCAAATTGATACGAAATGTCACCGGTGATTGGCGGAGATGGAATTTCGCTGTCCTTTTTAGCGTGACACACGGTAGCTCCACATAAACCACCGTGCTTTATCACGCAGGTATCAGGTGTGAAATTGAGCCCACCCACGCCGATGGCCCCTTGTTGTGAACGGGAATGGTGCGGGGTAGGAGGTGCGTACTAGGGTGGTGGTGTACTCGGCAAGAGGTCGTCTTGCGACGATAAGAGCGATTGCAGTGTGCAGAGCTAAGTTTGTCAAACGGAATGGTGGTGCGTGATGACGTGGGAAACCCAACGGTGACGTTTCCCACATTGTTCACGTTTCCCACATTGTTCACGTTTCCCACATTGTTGACATTTCGCAGTCGGGACGAGAAATGCAGCATCCTTGATGGGTCATTTTGATGGACGGAGGAGGATGCGCTCGCCCACGGCAGGATGCAGAAAGGATCACCTGCTGAGCGACCCACGCAATGATGTAGCTCGCAATGATATGCACCTTGGACCAAAAAGGAAGGGGATACGCTCCGGATACTGGAACCTGGTGCCAATCCGATCTGAGCTCGTGGCAGGCCGTCGTGGCTTCCTCGTCGAAACATCCTCCCACGCGAATCTTGCGGCTCTATCAAGCTGGATACGAATGCTATCCCAGAATTCTACATTTGCTGTTCGCAGGACTGCTGACAACTCCACCAGACTATGTGCTGTGCAGTGTGGGAAGATCGCAACGATCTCGACACTGCGCCTACAAAAGAATTGTGCTCCGATATATCACGATGGCTGGTATCTAATTCGCCTGTTTTTGGCAGCGGCTTCGAGATGCCAAAGGTCCAAAAGTTGGGTGCGAAGCGCATCTTGCTTTATCTAGGGGTCACCGTCTATGATCGCCCAACTCGCACTCGGAGAGATCGATGTCTTGCCGCCCACGCAAGAACCCTGTGGCCCACAGGCATGAGTGCCTCGCGCGTCCATCCATAATCATCGATCATCAATTCGGCTGTGAAGTAGCCAGCCACATTGACGAGCGGGTACATGTGCATGACTTCAACGCGCACAAGGTCCGTGTCATTGGTTGTCTGGCTCCGTGCAGCTCGTGGCTGGTCGGCTTGCCACTCGTCGTGCTCGTTGAAGACACAAATGACGCTAATGTGTACGTCGCACCCGAGCCGACTCGGTGATGGCTGCAAATGCGGGCCCAGAAGGCGACATCGACGTCGCCCTGACCAACGGATCGAGGATCCGTGCCAGCGCCGTCGTCCACTGCGTCATGTCAAGGCAGCAGGTCGACCCAGTCGTCGCCTTGGCAAGCGTCATCACGTGCGGCAGCCCGCAGAGGTACCGGTAGCTGCAAGTAGCAAAAAATATTTGCATCGTCGCCGTGAGCTCCGTGCTGGCGACAATCACATCATTGTCGGTCGTCGTCGAGAAGGATGGAAGCACTCGGTTTTTTAGGCTCGGGTCCACGAGGTGCGCTTCCGCGCCCAACTGCGCCGTCCGTACTAGTAGTGAGAACTCGAGGCAAGCAACAGCTCCTTCTTGCATGTCGTGCAAGACGAGCAAGTGCCGGTGCTCGTTAGAGGTGCCGTTGATGTACAGACCCAAGGAAATTAAATTTGCGAGCCAAATGTTGTCGGGCGCGGAGGACGAGGTCGTGTTTGTACACTTGGATGACCATACACAAAACCGCTCTCCGAGGCGACGACAGGCCCAAGGTCTGTCGCTTGAAGGATCGTCTGGCAGGCTTCGTTGGTAAACTTCGGCAGCGAGGTCGCGGGAGACTCCGAGACAGGGACCGCCTTGCAGATATGCACTGCGCTTCACTGCCGAGACTGGAAATGTGATCATCGCAAATTGCTCTATGCACCGCGACTTTGCCGTTGAAGATATGCAGCCCACAAGCAGCAGAGCAGTCACCACCATCCAACAACACGAACGCCGGAATGCGATACCGTCCTACGAGTAGCATGCATGCAAAGCACTCGCAAAGCTAGCTCGCAACCAAATGGCTCGCAACAGCGATGCAGCAGCAAGGATTTGTACATGACTGAACCGTCGATAGATTAATGGATATAGATAGATAGATAGATAGATAGATAGATAGATAGATAGATAGATAGACTCGCATCTGCCGCGATAGCGTTTTAGGCCACCGCCGGTTTTATCGTTCGAACGATTGGATCTGTCTGTGTTGTAAACGTGGGCATAGGCACTGCCTTGAACTCCGCCTTGCGTTTCCTTTTCTTCACCCGGGCGTCCGAGACAAAGCGCCGTGGCCCAGCGTCGCCTTCGTCGACGTGAGAGGACGCTGGCTCGACGACGCCATCGCGTTTTTCAATGCAGTAAGAGAATAGACCAAGGGAATTGAGCTATTTTCCCTTGAAATATAGGCATGTCTTTCTTGGGCGTCAAGTTCAGGCGCGTGGCGCGATGAGTTGTGTGCCTCATGTCGCCGTTCGTCCATGCGAATGCATTCGATCCTGTTCGGAGCACCTTGTGCCTGCTGCATCCCGAGCCCTAGGCACACTATTCAACATAACTGCTTTTATGTCACACTATTTCATGTCAGCCTCATAATTTGTTGTCCATGGGCCAATCATCATCGGGCTTCTAGACTTATTTTGACCAATTGTATTGCATTCACGTTGGAATTGGTTTGACTGTGAACGAGCCGGCAAGAAGAGCCATTTGCGTGTGGACCCACAGGCGTCGCATCAAGCAACCACGACAACCGACGTTCAACCGAAACGAGCTGCGTCACGGACGACCATTGCCGTTGCATCCCGTTCATCGACGTCGATGCGCGATTCCGGCTTCGTTCCTGCACCGGGCCGAAATCCCAGAAACGATATGACCATGGACTGTTACCATCTCTTCTATTGTACCTCGTTGTCGATAGTAGGCAGCCAGCGACGCAAGGTTGTCGTGCTCACTCGCGTGCAACACTTGCTCGATGCGTCGATCTTGGTGCCAAGAATGGTCGTTGCTATCGGGCGCGTGACCGCCTCTCGACTGCGAACGTGGGTGGCACAGTGTACTCATTCGTCCTCTCCTCTGTCAACGCACATGTATACTCCGTGTCGACGCCGCCACGTCCGTATCCGCGATTCCATCTTGAACGCGACAAACCGCCTGGCGATGCGGATGCTGCGCGGCCACGCTGCCACGTATGCCATGTCATCCCGCCTGTTTTGTATCATACTGCCCAATGGTATTGTACTTGATGTTTGTATGGAAAGCCAGTCGGCGAAAGCAATATCCAGCATCCAGAGCACCACCACCGACACGACATTCGGTAGTCTCTACTTTGCAATCTCTAGCGTCCATGGCACGCGGCAACGACCAAATCGCGGTCTGGCGCATCACCGACGACGATCCGATGTATGTGGAGAAGGACGCCAACTCGGCGACGTGGTGGAAGCGCCGCCGGGCGTGGTTTGTCCTCGCGGGCCTCGTGCTTGTGACGCTTGGCGTCGTCACGGCGATCGCGGTCTCTGCCGCGACGACCGAATCGAACCAAGGCTCGGGCAACAACGCACCGGCTTTCACACCGACGCCCACATCGACGACACCGACGTCGCCGAGTGCCGCCGCCGACGGCATCGCCACATTGCCAACGGCAACGCCACTGACGACGACGCCGACGCCTGAAGAGACAACGGCCGATTTGATGACACCAAACAACAACTCGACGCACACGACACGGAACGTGTCGACACCCAGGCCGTCGAGCACCGATGACGAGGAGGCGTACTCGGGCAAGCCGACGCCGATGCCATCAACACCCAGACCCAGCCATCGCCCGACGCCGTGCCCGTCCACTCCGAAACCGAGCTCCGACGCTCCGACGCCAAGCTCGCATGCGCCCAAGCCACACCCGTCGCCTAGCAGCGCGAGCCCCAAGCCATACCCGTCGCCTAGCCCCGATACGGCCAAGCCACAGCCGCAGCCATCGCCTAGCCCTCACACGCCCAAGCCATCACCGAGCACGGACGCACCCAAACCATCGCCGAGCCCTGACACACCCAAGCCGCAACCGCAACCGCAGCCAGCACCGAGTCCGAGTCCGAACCCGAACCCGTCGCCGTCGTCGCAGATGCCCAAGGCGAGTGTGCGGCTGGTCAACAGCTGCGGCAAGTCGGTCGAGATCATGTACACGCTTCGCGTCGGGAGCGCACTCACGACGTACTACCACACGATGAGTGACAAGGCGACGTTCGACGTCGCTGGCAGCACCTTCCATGGCGGCACCTTTCGCGTCGGCCGATCCGAAGAAGCCACCTGTACGCATTCGCGCCACGATGGTGGTCGAGCTCATCATGTCTCCCTAGTGTTTGAGTGCAGTCGCGACGGCGGCAAGTTCTGGTACGACCTCAGCGTCGTCACCCCCAACGTACTCGACTCCATTGTTTGCAGCGTGTATTTAACCTCTCGGAACGGTGTAGTGTGGCAACGGCCAGAGCTGGGACGAGTGCCAAAAGAGCGGCAAGAAGGGCTACAATGTCCCGATGAAGGTCGAGCCGCAGAACCTCGCCAACAACCACCTCTACAACTGCGGCATGGTCCAGTGCAACGATCCCAAGTGCCCGGACGCCTACCTCTACCCGTTCGACGACGCCAAGAAGATGCGCGACTGCCACTCGGACGAAGGGCTCCTTGTCACCATCTGCTACTGAGCCCGCGCGCTTGTGGCATCATTGGCAGCGCACTCGTGTAGTCTGGACGTCGCTTCGATCCTTCGCGTAACATCATTTTTAATCCGCGTCCAGTGTACGATTTCCATATTGTACAGGGAAACACAGAGAATGGACGAGCAGAACCACCAGCCTTGGTGTCTACCAAGTATGGAGAGGGTCGGACATTTCTCGTTGTCTTGGAGATGGGTTGCGCATGCATGCAGAGCACTTAACATACACTCTTAGCGAGTTGGCGAGGCTAGCTGCATTTCACCAAGTCGGTGAGAAGGCTCTCCCAAGACTTTTCCATGACCGAGGAGGGGCCGTGGCTTGGTCCAGCGCTTTAAGCGTAAAACGTTCTTGCATTCCTACAGCGTTCGAGGCGACGATGGTCTCGGAGACGTCAGGTAGCCACCGACGCTGCCGCTTAGCACGAGAGAGCGTGTGCGACTGTCAGTAGGATCGTTTGTTGACCTCCGACGTCGCATTGACAGCCGTGGCACCAACATCGAGCCGCTACCCTTGCATCGTCACGCGTATGCTGGATCGCAACCGATTTGCCGCGTGTGATATTCTACGCAATGAGGTCTCGCCGGCCACAACGTTGTAGCCGGCTGCCCGCCACACGTTGTTGGCAACGTTGGTTTGTCATACGAGGCAGCAGACTTCCGAAAGCAAGACGTGGCCACGACTTTCTGCCGACCCGCCCCGTCTCGTCACATGCCGCGTCAGAGGTGTTGCCTTGTCACGAAGATATGGCAATCTCAATAGACTCACAACAATCCTGGCGCCTGAAACGAACGCAAGTGACGCGACGGCATCCAAAAGACGAAACGACGCGGTTACGCGGCGACAATTCATATGCCGCTCGGTATCTCGCCGCGACAGCGACTCGAGGCGCTTCTCGGCGTCACATATATGGTCCTCTCGGTGCTTGGCGGTCTTGCGTACCTTTGCGTCTTGGCGCAAAGCTCCAGCAACGCTCTGTGGTGGCCAAACTACAACGCGTCTGGGTACGAAGCCTTTCTCATCGATTTGGTCAACCAGATTCTACCCGTGGACCCATCGGGCTCGTGGGACCTCCGTCGCCCCGACGCGATGGTGCGGAAGACGTACGACGCGAGTGTTGGCGCCATGACGCGCATCTACCCGCCGTACATCCACAGCCTCCTCGTTTCATCGCGATTGACGTCGCCTGCCTTTGTCATTCCAAAGCTGCGGGCACTCACGCCGTTTTGGAGCATGCGCATCAACGTGCCGACGTGTTGGGTCGACTTTAACCAGACGTTTGAAATGGCGCTGACAATCGCGCGCCAACTTCGGTGTGCGCGGCGCTATCGGCACAACGCGGCCGTGTACCTCGAAGCTGTCGGGCGCAATCAAGTGTGGTCCGACTACATGGCCATGTGGGGCACGCCGGGGAGCTACTTTGACGTCGCCGTTCAGCAAGGGCTTAGCGCGTCCGCGGCCGGTCGGACGTGGCTGGCTGACGTGTCGATTGCGTCCCGAACGACAACGATAGCAGACGAAGTCGCATATTGGCAGTCGCACCACCTCACGACCTTTGAGCTCCAATGGCAAAACCGGTGGCTCACAAGCATCTCCGAGACACTCACGCTCACCAATGTGTTTGGTTTCCATGAGGCGCTGCCACTCAAAGTCCATCCGCTCGTCGCGGGCTCGTGGTCGTCCCAGACCATGAACTGGATGCCGATCCAAGTTGCATTCAATGCGATGATCCTCAACCGCAGCATGGTGCGGGGTACAGCGCGGTACTTTGGCATCAACGCGACCGAGTTGCCGGCCATCAATTTCGAGACCTACCGCGGTCTCGCCGACGCCCATGGGCAGCTTGTCGGCCAAGCGGCTTTGTTTCACGCGACGATTGGCCCGTACTTTAACGTCGATACGCGTGTGTTTCCCATGGTGCCCGAGCTATCCAGTGCGTACAACACCTTTTACACGGCACTCTTTGAGCGCCTCGACGCCTCGAAAGAGCTCTTAAAAGCCTTCCAGGCCGTCTCGCCGCTACAGCTGGCGCCTCTGCCCGCATCCTGGCGCAACGCGACGCACTACTTTGGAGGCAATCCCATGTGCACCCACGGTGCCCCCACTGCGTTTGTGCAAGCGCCGTTCTCCTTCTTCGACGACTGCAACCATCTGCGCCCGTTTACCGTCCATTTCCAACCCGTGACATTGCTCTTTGCGCTCCTGGCCGCCAACGCGACGCTGCCCGAGATCTGTGCCTTGCAGACAAACGTGGAGCCTTTGGCTTGCAGCGACGCGCTGGCGGCATCCATAAGCGTTCTAGCGGACCTCGCCTTGCCTGCGTCCGTGCTGGCCGCTATCGACAGGGCACGTCCCGCACTCGATGCCGCACAGATTAGCCTCATGCAGTTTGCCCAGCGACGAAGCGCAAATGCGTCGTGGGCGCTGTTGACAGCACCGCTGGTGTCGCACGCGATGTCGCGCGGCTGGTTGTTTTACGGCTGGGGTCTCTTGCTTGAATGGGCCACCGGGTCGCGCGAAGTCGTATCGTTTGAAGGCAACCACGCGACGCTCGTCCTCATCTCGGATGCGTACACCGGCGAGCCGTTTGTGATGAGCAACAACAAGCCGCTCGACGACGCCACGCGTGTGCTCTACTACCTCGTGGTCTACAGCGCCGGCATGCTTGCGATCATCGGACTCTATAGTGCGCTCTATGCCATCCGCTTGCGCTTCCATCTCCTCGGTCGCAACCTCTTCTTCTTCAACCGCATCGCGGGCTCCATCTGGGTCGGCTGGCCCACGCTCGTCTTGCGCGGCTTGAGCGCGATATTGATGCTCAGCACGTCGCAGCTCTCGCTTGTTCAAGTCGGCGACTACAGGCGGCTCGTCTTTGCACCGCGCCCGCTGTGGCAGACGCTTCTCGTCGCGGGCGAGGCAACGTGGGTCCTGTACGTCGTCACGGACATTCTTCTCGTGAGTCTGCCGCACCAAGAAACCGTACGCGTGTACGGACCACTTGGCAGTCTCGGCGCGTTCATCGTTCTCGTGGGTTTCGAGATGAGCAGCCCGATCCAAGCGACGCTCTCGCTGCAACGCGACTGCACCATGCAAAACCTGGACTATGCCATTAGCTGCACTGCCGGCGCGCTGCTTGTTGGCGACAAAGCCCGTCTCGGTACACTCGTTGGTGCGCAGCTCGTGGTTCTCTTTATCGCCATGGCCGCGACGTACGCCCTGCGGCGACGCACGCATCGCGCCACGGCGTTAAAAGACGTCAGCTTGCTCCTCTCGGGGCTTCCGGCGGCGCTGCTGACGCCGGCGCATGCGCAGACGGACAAGTACGACGCTGTCTCGTGTGTCCTCTGCGGCATTGTACCGTTCACATGGCGAAAGCGTAGAGAGGTGTTTCACTTGATTTCGTGGGGTGTTCTGCAAGATACGATTGCGCGAAGCCACTGCAACCTCTCGCGGGTGTCGGCAATCGGCCTTTCGAGCCGCGCCGCGATGGCTTCGCCATGTATGCACCGGCTCGGACCGCGCTTACCGCGCCGCCTTGGGCTACTCGAGCGTGGCAAATATGTGAAAGTGGCGCTCGGCGGCTGCTTCATGGTGGTTGCCATCACAAGCTCAATCTCGTACTTGCAAGTCGCCAAGGCGAATTTGGCCAACGACTTTTTTTGGGCCACGTTTGAGATGACAACGACCCACAGTTTCTTTGGCAGCTGGCTCAACGAACAACTTGTCTTGCGCGTCGCGGACAGTGCGCTGGACGCGACGCACGGTCGATTGAACCTCCTTGGCACCAACATCGCTACAGTGTCTGCGACAACGACGTATGGGGCAACGCTTGCCTATGGCGAGCTGAGTATGATCGAAGCATCGATCGCAGGCCTTCGCGTCTCGGATGCATGCAACGCGCCCTGGATCTTTACACCGTACTGCTACCTCGACTGGAAGAAAACGTGGCCCATGGCGTACTCGCACCAGCGCCAAATGCGATGTCAGAAGATGGAGTCGAACGCTGCCGTGTACCTCGAGTCGGTGCTGCGCAACATTGACTGGGCGACCTTTGAGTTTTGTTGGGGCAACGCCTTTGAGACAGCATTTGGCGTTGATCTGCGGCAAACCAGCCAGGGTGAAGCCTGGCTGCTTTCAGTGTCGACTGAACGACTACCACTGCAAGCCGAAGCGGCTCTCTGGCGTCAGCACAATCTATCAGTCTTTCAAGTACAGTGGCAAAACTACAAGCGCATTGGAGTCTTCAACAGCTACTCGATCGTCAACGCCTTTGGTATTTCGTACCCTATGCAATTGATGGCTCTCAACGGCAGCTACCGCTGGAGCAGTCAGACAACGTACAAGATGTACTGGTCGCTCGCCAACGATCTCTCGGCGATCGTGTCCAACACCAGTGGTATTGGTGGCCTCAGTCTTATGCGAACGAGTCCTCGGTTCGCCTTTGCCAACACTTCGCTGCAGGCCGTCTTGACGACCAACTTGACATTGATGTCGCCGTTGGCCAATGGGTTAGCCCTTGTCGCAGAGTCCATTGGCCCGTTCGGCGTGATCGACTTGGTGTATGTGAGTGTGCCATCGCTCGTCGTGGAGCTTGTCCGAGACATTCTCAACGACGCACGCGAAGCCATGGCAGCGAATGTGGACGCCCAAAATTTGTACGCATCGATCGTACCCAACACCATGTCGTGTCCGATTCCAGCTGCGTGGAGCGCTTTGGAGACACATGGGAGCAGCCCGCTGTGCCCCGAGTACCTGGTTAGCAAGCCGCTCGCAAAATGCTTTTCGAACCTCGTGGCGTTCTCGTCGCCGTGTCTTCCCGCCGTACCGAGCCCGAGTCGCATTACGGCAACGCGGACGCACTACTTAGTGTCGGCCATCTTGGCGTCCGTGACGCACGCAACGAACCTCAGTGCGGTCTGCGCCGCCGACGCCAGCTTTGTGCCCGAGTGCCGAGTGCTTCTAAACACGACCCGCGCCTTTCTCACGCGGTACCTGGCACCGGCGACGTACGTTCATCGAACGCACCTTGTCAATATTTTGGTGGACGACCTCAACATCTCGTTCATGGTTTACACGCCAACCCTGGCCACCTCGCTGCAGCTTTTGTCGACGCCGATCTTTGACGCGCCTTCCTTTCGCTTCTTTGGGTGGACCTACCTGACGTCGTGGGTGCTGGGCCTGCGCGAAGTCATTGCATTCCAAGGCGATCACGGAACGCTCACGCTCCTCGCAGACGAAGACCCGGAGCTCACGCAAGACGTCCTCGACTGGCAGCTTGCGACCAATGCCGCGCAATACTGGCAGTCGGGTGTCATGTACGTTACGTGCGTGATGCTCGCTGTCACCGTGATCGTGTCGCTGTACGTATTTGCGCTCCGCGGGCACATTGAGGGTTTGAACATGCTCGAGCTCTCGCGGGTGGGGGGCATTGTTTGGGTCGGCCGGCCGCTGCTTTTCTCCGATCACTCACGGCACTCTGCGTCCTCTCGACCGCGTCGCTCGAGCTTGAAACCTCGGGCGTCCTCAGTCGTTTTACAGCGCCACCAACACCGTGGTATACGGTCCTCCTAGCCGCCGGCGAGACGACGTGGCTGGTTGCGGTTGTCAACGATCTTGAGCTCATTTTCACACGCGAACACGCCGCGCTCTTTGTGACGCCCAACAGCATCCTCGTGTGGCTGCTTGTGGCTGTGCTCACATCGCTGCAACCCATCACGGCGTCGCTCACCATTCAGAGAGAATGTCACGTGACTGAAATGGACTACCAAGTGCATTGTCACAGCGCCGAGATTGCCATTGGCAGCGTGCACCGGCTCCTGCAATTGCATGCTATCGTCCTTGGCTGCACGTGCGTGAGCTACTTGGTGGTGCGCATACGGTCCGTGCCATCGTGCCCGACGAACTCGCTTCTGCTCTCAAGTGGCGCCAAGTACCTCTTCTTGCATGGTGGCCGCATCCTTGACGATGTGTACTACATTGACCGGGCGTCAGCGGCGCTCACAGGCATCCTCACGCTGCGCTATGGCACTAGCGTCTATGCACTCGACATCAAGCTCTGGCGACTCGTCGTGACGCCGATCCATGACCGCGTTGTCCATGGCTGGAGTGGCTCGGAAGCCGAGCTCGCTGCCACGTATGCTCTAATCGACTGAAGTCGCGGTGAACAGTTGATTGAACGACCGCCAGAAGCTAGAAAATCAAAATAAGACTCTCGGCGGCCACAGCGATTACGCGCAGAACCACTACGCATGGTGAAGGACTGGTCTCTGGCGATTCGATCGAGGTTTGGCTCGACCAAGTCTGACCTCTGCATCTTGACGCTGCGTCGGGTATCTGGATCGAGGTGTGGATGAGACTGGCGCCAAAAGCAAGGACGTCAAGCAACATGCCCGCGGCCTCTACAGCTTTTCTCGCGTATAACCACCACGTTCGGCAACTGTCTGGTCTCTGGGGCTGGATCGAAGTATGGCTGGATCAAGTCTGGAATCTGGATCTGGTTATATATGTGGACCGAGATCTGGCTGATTCTGGTAACGGGAAACGCGGCATCTGGATTTGAATCGGACGTCAAATCGGGTATCTCGCATCCGGTTACGATCCGGCGACTCCTTGTGGCGCGATGCCATTGGCCACTTGATTTAAAATGTTATGAAATATTGCGTTTTATATTGTATTTCAAAACTCCATATTTGTATTGGATTTGTACGCTACGTTTCAATGCCGTGAAAAACACGCGGTATCCACAACATACTGTCGGGCTGGGACTACTGCTACGTGGAGATGGCGGACGCACCGACGGACGCAAGCTCGTCCGCGTCGCGCTCCGTGGACGAGGTCGCGCGGGACCTCGACGTCGACCTTAGCACCGGCCTCTCGGCGGCGCAGGTCCATACGCGCCGGCTAGCGCACGGCAGGAACGCGCTCGAGACCGACGGCGAAGAGAGCTTGATCAAAAAGTTCCTCGAGCAGTTCCAGAACCCACTCAATATGCTGCTCATGGCGTCCGGCGGTGTCTCCGTGCTCATGGGCCATCTCGACGACGCCATCTCGATCGTCGTTGCGCTCACGATCGTCGTCACCGTTGCGTTCGTGCAAGAGTACCGCAGTGAGAAGACGCTCGACGCGCTCAAGGAGCTCGTGCCGCCGCGCTGCCGCGTCGTACGCGATGGCCTCACCCAAGAGGTACGTTAATATGGCGTGTGTCATCCTCATGTGGACGCGTAGCTCGACGCGTCCGACCTCGTGCCGGGCGACATCATCCTCATTGCCACGGGTGATCGCGTGCCTGCCGACGGGCGCCTCGTCGAAGCGATCAACTTGGACGTCGACGAGTCGAGCTTGACGGGCGAGACGCATCCCGTACGTCGTCGTCTCTTGCTCTTGGCTGCGTGCATGACGACGTGGTCTAGGTCTCCAAGCACATTGCACCCTTGCAGCATGCGCACTCGCATCCGATCGCGGAGCGCAAGAACCTCGTGTACATGGGCACGCTTGTGCGGACAGGTCACGGCAAAGCAATCGTGTACGGCACGGGCCGCTCGACAGAGTTTGGGGCTGTCTTTGAGGTCGTCGACTCGGTCGAAGAGCGCAAAACGCCGCTGCAAGCCCGCATGGACACGCTCGCGAACCAGCTCTCGATGGCGTCCATGGCCGTCATTGGCGTCATCGTGCTTGTCGGCGCGCTCCAGGGCCAGCCCGTCTTCAAAATGCTCCAGATTGGCGTCTCGCTCGCGGTCGCGGCGATCCCCGAGGGCCTGCCCATCTGCGTCACGGTCACACTGGCGCTCGGCGTCATGCGCATGGCGTCTCGGCACGCGATCCTCAAGAAGCTGCCGGCGGTCGAGGCGCTCGGGTGCACCAATATTCTCTGCGTCGACAAGACGGGGACGCTAACCACCAACCAAATGCAAGCACTGGCGGTGTACGTCCTGAACGTCGCCGGAGCCATGTGGCCGCTCGACAAGGCGCGAAGCGCCGCCGAGCTCGTCGCGACCACCAGCCTCTTGCTCACCGGGGTCCTTTGCAACAACGCCGACCTTGTCAACGGCGACGTGGTCGGCCAAGCCACGGAAGGCGCGCTTTTGCTGGCGGCGGCGGCCCCCGAGATTGGCCTGTTGCCTAACGTTCGGCGCGACCACCCGCGGCTCGAAGAGATTCCGTTCAGCTCGGACGCCAAGTTTATGGCCGTCCGTGTCCAAGACCATGGAAGCAGTAGTAGCACGTGGCATGTCAAGGGCATGGTCGAAGCCATCCTTGCCCGCTGCACGCACGTGCAGACCGACCGACTCGAGAACCGGGCGCTCTCCGAGACGGACCGCCAACACCTCTTTGCCAAGGCGCATGCGCTCGCCCACCAAGGTCTGCGCGTTCTCGCGCTGGCCAAGGGGCCGACCATGGAGTCGCTCGTGTTTCTCGGCCTTGTGGGCATCTCGGACCCGCCGCGCGCCGGCGTCGCCGACACGATCGCGTCCCTTGCAGCGACCGGTGTCGTGACGCTCATGCTGACGGGCGATGCAAAGGAGACGGCTGGGGCCATCGCGCTCCAAGTGGGCATTCTCCAGGATGTGGACAACGACCTGCTTTTTGCGCTGGCGCCGAGCTCGACCACCTCGACGATGTCGCGCTGCAAGCCCGGCTCGCGACCACCCGCGTGTTTTACCGCACGTGCCCGACGCACAAGCTGCAGATTGTCCGTGCGGCGCAGGCCATGGGCGCGCAGGTGGCCATGACGGGCGACGGCGTCAACGACGCGCCGGCGCTCAAAGCCGCCGATATCGGGATCGCCATGGGGACGACCGGCACGGATGTCTCGAAAGAAGCCGCCGATATGATCTTACTCGACGACAACCTCGGCACGATCTTGTACGCAATGGCCGAAGCGAAAGGCATTTACCACAACATTACGCACTTCTTGCGGTTCCAGCTCTCGACGTCGGTGGCCGCGCTGAGTTTGATTGCGATCACGACGCTCTTTGGGCTGCCGAACCCGCTCAACGCGATGCAGATTCTGTGGATCAACATCATCATGGACGGACCGCCGGCGCAGTCGCTCGGTGTCGAACCCGTCGACGACGACGTGCTCCAGGAAGGCCCCCGGTCGCCCGAGGTAGTTTACTGTCTATTTTTTTCTCTTTGAAAAAAAGATGTAAACACGGGATGTAGGTACCGATTCTTACCCGGTCGATGCTCAAGCGCGTCCTTGTCTCGGCGAGTTTGATTGTGCTCGGCACGCTGTACGTGTTTGTCGATGAACTCGATGACGCTTGGCACGTCAGTCGGCGCGACCACACGATGAGCTTTACGACCTTTGTGCTCTTCGACATGTTTAACGCGCTCAGCTGCCGCTCCGAGACCAAGTCGGTGTTGGAGATTGGTCTCTTCTCCAACAAGGCGTTTTGTGCCGCCGTCGGCGCGTCGCTTCTCGGGCAGCTCATGGTCATTTACGTGCCGTTCCTCCAAGCCGCGTTCCAAACCGAAGCCTTGTCTCTCGGCGACCTTGTCTACATGACGAGCATCGCGTCCAGTGTGCTCGTCGTGGACGAGGTGCGTAAATGGTCGGACAATCGCCGCAGCCGCTGGCGCCGGCCGCGCGTGTTCGCGAGCAAGAAGAAGAAGCGCTCCAAGTCGTCCGAGTATGTTCTTGCCATCCAAGACGACGACGACGACCTCGATACCGTGGCCGACGAGAGCACAAGTACTGGTGGTGCCACTCTCCTAGCACGACGCACTGATGTGGTCGTCTAAGGTAATAGAATGAGAGATGTACGAAATCGGGGTCTTGATTGCGAGTCGCTTCGAGGATTGGATGGATGGATCGATGGATGGATGGATTGGATAGATCGGATACTACCAGGGATACTACAAGGACATACGACGCAACGACGAGGATCGAGCCACCGACCATTTGTCGCCGGACACAGAGCGGATATCGACAAGCTTGATCGCGGTGTCCTGGCATTGATGACAGAGACTTTCAATGTTTTGAGTCAACTCTCCACTCGATGGACAGGGAGACTATAGGGCGACGAGAGAAACGATGAGACACGCCGACAGTGCAAACTAGAGTCGACGCGGTATATAAGTGTAGTACAGCCAACCAACTAACTACACGTAGATAGGCGAGAGCACGGGCACGTCCATCGCCAGCAATTGTTGGTCGACTTGACCTTCGAGGAGCTTGGCGACCCACGTGTCGAGCACATCGATCGTCACCTCGGACGTTGGCGGCAAGACAGCACACTTGGCCGTGTTGTTGACAATTGCAATCAAAAAGCCTAAGAAATGAGATATTAAATCCCAGAAATCCATCCAAAAAATAATACCGTCGTCAGGTTGAAGGCCTTGCTGCTCGAAAAACGCGGCCCACTGGTCGCGCATCGCACCCGTCTCGGCGTCGCACCACGTGCACGTCACGGGGTCCCTCGCCACGGCCAAGGCAACGTGCTCCATGAGGCGCCATTGCTGCAGTGGGCTGCAAAAGACGGGGTCAGCCCGGACGCAAAAGATGAGCGTGCGCCGTCCCCGGCGCGAGAGATGCGCGTCCGTCAACTCGGCCACATGCGGGGCGTACGTGGCGGCGAGCGACTGGAACGGGCTGGCGCTGGTCGGAACCTTGGGCGGCGGTGAAGGCGCTCGTGGCGGCGGTGGCGGCACCGTTGCAGGCTCTTCTGGCTGAAGCTGGGACCAGATGAATGCAACGAGGAGGCCCACAATGATGAGCACATAGAGCATGGACCCGCCGCCGGCATTCTGGCGTGGCGTCGACGTGTACTGGTACGAGTAGTACTGCTGGTGCTGCTGGTGCTGATGGTAGTGGTGCTGGTAGTACGACTGCTGAGATTGCGAAGGTGTCGATGATGGCCTCTTGGTGAGCGCCTCGTACGCGGCTTGGATCTCGACAAACTTGGTTGTCGCGGCTTCGTCGCCGCCCGTCTTGTCCGGATGGTACTGAATCGCGAGCTTCTTGTAGGCGCGCTTGATGTGCGCTTCGGACGCACCTCGGCGAACACCCAGCGTCTGGTATGGGTCCATCGCGGCCAGCGCGAGGGTGGCCAAGAGCAGCAGCCCGACGCCGACGAGCCGCGCCATGCTACACGAGATGCTGCGGACGATGAGGTGTAACGATGTCCGGAGGGTATGCGGATACTGGCTGGACGCACGCCACCTTAGCCGGTCGTCAAGTGCAATGTGAAGCCCACCTCGCGTCTGTGTACTGACGAGTGTATCGACAGCCAGACCCATTCATTCTAACAAAGCAGGATCAAAGAAGTAGCACGTTATCATACTGCGATGGACCATGGGTCTCGCACATGCCAGTGCATTTCCAAGATGCCACGTTTGCAGTGAGAGCCATGAGCTGCGATAGGAACCGCAGAGACAAGCAACACCTCTCTCAAGCAACGGGAATGGGGTGGTTTGGGTTCGTGGCGCGAATAAGTCCGCACTCGAGTGCGATCATTGCCAACCACGGCACATGAGCTTATCTTGCGTCACAGTCGTGTTAGAAAGTCTTGGCATACGTCGAGACTAGCGTTCTTTGTGCTCGCTCGACAGACCATGAGCTGGGAGGCGATGGGACGGGCTTTTTTAGCTTATCATCACCAATACCGCGACGTAGCCAACGTCGGGGCTCGTATGGTCCTTAACAACCACCTTGACCGCGCGACGTCTGGGCTTCTGAAGCTGGATGCTCACCACGGCTTTGTAATTGGAGTGAGGTGCTACATATAAATATGTACCGTTGCGTGGATGCTGGCCAAGGGAATAAGTAGTTATTCCCTTGATGCTGGCTGCCGTAGAACGTGGCGCTGTCTGGCCCCGTTTTGCCGCTCCAGTCTCTGCCGCTTTAGAAACCTACCTAGTTCCAGATATTCAGCATGCCCAAGCCGCATGCAAGCTGTCATTTGGTCACCAAAGAGGCGTCAATCATTGTGGTAGAGTTGGTGGGCGATAGAGTGTGGCTGGATTGTTGCGTGTGCACAGCCACCCCGATACTCGTACTTTACCTAAACTATACAAAGAGTAATACTAGTCAATGACGCTACGCACTTAATCGACCCTGTAGCGAAATAAGACCAATCACGGCTCTACTTTGGCCGTGCGGGGTTTTAATTGGATAAAATTGCTTTAGCGATGCGTGTCAATGTTGCGGATCAAACCGCATTGCGCTCTTCCAGATCCACCTGGACGGTTGACGTACTTCGAGCTAGCATGTAGCTCCACTAGTAGGTACGTCTAGTGTATGCATATACGAGTTAGTCGAAAATGTAGTCGAGTACTGGACGGGCGGTCTGGTTCTGATAACCTGGCGGGCATCGCACCTGATCACGCGATGGCATTCCTCCCAACCCAATCTCCTGCCGTTGACACCACCTTTCGCAATACCTTTACACGTAGACTGCTGTCGCTTGCCGTCTAGTACGCTGCCGTATACATACTATCGCTCGACACGACATATCGCCTATAAGTCAATGCAATAATGCGTTTGGGTCATCCGCATCAAACCAGAGCGCAATAAAACAAGCGTGGCACGAACCAGAGCCATCGCATGGACGTTGGACGACCCACGACGAGACGCGGTGTGGGTGGGTGCGCGCTTGCGTTGGACGACGCGTGAGTCGCTCTCGGCCGACGACGACAACCCGACCATTTGCTCTTTTTCGAGCTCGAGCAGCGATGGCCGTCGAGTCGCCCATTTCCACGCTCGATGGCCACGGGAAGCGGTCGTCTGTCATCGTCTGGCGCATGACGGACGAGCGCGAGTACATGGAGAAGGACGACGTTGCCGTTGCCTCTGCTCGGCGGCGGCGTCTGCTCGTCGTCGTTGCCGGTCTCGTCCTCGTCGCGATCGGTGTCACGACGACGCTGATCGCGACAACCGGCACCAAAGAGGCCTCGACCGCCTCGGCGTTCGCACTGAGCTCCACCGGCAGCCCGGTGCCGGTCGTGCTGCCGCAAGACACCGATAAGAACTCAGAGGCCTTTGCCGCGATCGTCGGCACACTGCCGTCGACGACCGAGCCGCCCAACGGGTCGCATCTGATCGAGTCAAGCATTTATGGGACGCCAACACCGACAGTCAACGAAATGGCAACCCCGGTACCGACCACCGAGACACCGGCCCCCACGACGGTGACACCGGCTCCGACCACTGAAACACCGACGCCGACGACGGTGACGCCGAAACCCACGACGACGACACCGCCCCCCGCCCCCCGTGTCCCCAAGAATGCGATCCGCGTCCAAAACAACTGCGGCAAGGACATTGAGCTCATGTACATTTTGCGGGTGGGCGACAAGCACCCGGTCTATTACGAGCCGATCAAGAAGGGCGGGTACTACGACATTCACGGCAGCCGGTACGATGGCGGCACCCTCCGCGTCGGGCGGTCCGAGAGCGCGACACGTACGACGTTGCAGTGTATCTACGCCTCGTCTCACGACCGATATGGCTAGTCTTTGAGTTTAGCCATGACCGCGGCAAGCACTGGTACGACATTAGCGTCGTGCCACCGGGGGTTCGTTTGCGCCAGTGCACGCTATCGTTCTCATTACAGCGTTCTAGTGCGACGATGGCCACCACTCGTGGAAAGAGTGCATGGAGTACAACCGCTGGCGCACGGGCTTCAACGTGCCAATGAAGGTCGAGGTGCAATCGTACACCAACCACCAAGGGTTTCGGTGCCGCAACCTCGAGTGTCACCACGAGCAGTGCCCCGATGGCTTTTTGTACCCGGCCGACAACCTCAAAAACATGGACTGCCCATACGACGAGTCGTTTCTTGTCACAGTGTGCTAAAGACTATATTCCCTTGGCTAAGACGCTCTCTTTCAACAATAACCCATTGCACCATACATGCGTTCTGGTCTTGCATCCGCAGCGATAGAACGTCGACGACGAGAAGCCACTGGCGACGTGCTGATTCGACGATGCGTGTGGTGAGCCACACCGCACGACCGCTACGAGAGTCGCCATCAAGCATCCAAGTGACACCAACCGTGGCACCAGGCCGCCAACGTCGATTTAAATCCTTCGGATGGATCCTCTCCCGTCGATAGCACTTATATAATTACACTCTACCACCCAAGGGCATAAAGCTCTCGAGCTGTTCTCGCCTTAAGGACGCCATATATTTGGCGACTTGAAGAGTGGTGCACTCGTAGCATAGCATGCTCTTCAACATTGCGAGAACACTAGTGTTGGAAAAGGATAGAACGGCGTCGAAGCGTCGGGGTTGCGAAATGGATGTCCCAACCACACCACGAGTCCTCGTACGAAGCCCTGTTTGCAGACGTTTGAGCGACATGCCAACGAACCCACCGGCCTTGAGTGCTTCCTAGAGGCCCTGCCACAACTTGGTAAAGATATCTTGGGGCTGATTTCTCGCTAAATACCCACATGTCACAACCAGTCAATCGATCTCGAGAGCTTTTGTGCTCAAAAACGGTTTGTGCAGTTACGCTGTCGGTTGCAGCGACGCTCAGCGCACTTTACGTACCCAGCTTGCGTCATCGATGTCTTCCGTGGTCTCTACTGCGCTTGGCCTCCTCTATGTACTCGCGTCCTTAGCCTGCTGCGTCTATTACACGAGCCTCTTACAGCCCAGCTTTGCCAACGACCTCTGGTGGGCTGGCTACAACGTCTCGGGCTACCAAGCTTTTCTCATCGATCTCTGTAACCAGTTTCTCATGACCAACGCCAACGGCTCGCTCGATGTGCTCTCTGCCTCGGCCATCGTGCCCAAGACGTACTCGACCATCGACGCGTTTACGTCCATCTACACGCCCTACATGCACGACGTCCTCCTCGGCGAACTCACGTCCATCGAGTACGCTGTGCCGCATCTCCGGACGCTCAGCACCTACTGGTCCATGCGCATGAACGTGCAGCACTGCTGGGTTGACTTTAACAAAACGTTCGAGATGGCCCACACGCTTCTTCGGCAAGAACGCTGTAAGCGCCGCTATAAAACCAACGCTGCCGTGTACCTCGAAGCTATCCTGCGCAACCAGCCATGGGACGCGTTTTTGGCAATGTGGACCAACAACTTTAACGCGGCAATCCAGCGTGGGCTTGAAGAAACGACAACAGGTCGCTCGTTTCTGGCACAGATGGCGACAGCGGCCAACACTACGTCGGTGGCCGACGAGCTCACCTACTGGCGATCGTACAATGTCTCTCACTTTGAGCTGCAGTGGCAGAGTCGGTGGCAACCCGGCGTCTCCGAGACCATTGTTGTCTCGAACGCTATAGGAAGACAAGAAAATTTTACGCTCAAAGCGCTCGACCAAGTCACGGGTCCGTGGTCGACCCAAAACATGTTTTGGATTCCGCTCAACGACCTTTTTAACGCGATGCTCATGAACCGGAGCATGGTACGGGGCACGAGCCGCTACTTTGGTGCCAACGTTAGCTCATCCTTGCCCGCCATCAACTTGGAGACGTATCGAGGCATGGCCGACAACCGCGGCAACCTCGTCGACAAGGCGTGGGTCTTCCACACCTTTATCGGACCATACCTTAGCATTGACATTCGCTACAAGCTGCGGCCAGCACCCCTTGTCACTGCGTACAATCGATTTCAAGATGTCGTCTTCACGCATCTCGCGACGTCGGCAACACGATTTGAATCGTTTAGCAGTCTTCAGGTCGTTGTCTTGGCACCGACGCCGCCTCGGTGGATCAATCACACGTACTATGGCGGTGATCCGGCGTGCGTGGCAGGTCGCGCCGCGGCGTACGTTCAAAAGCCCTTTGGCTTTTACGACGACTGCTCACAAGTAGCCCCGCTGACAGTGCAGCCATCGCCGATGGCTTTGCTCTTCGCGCTTCTGGCGAATTACAGAGACGCGCCTTCTGTCGTAACCATTTGCGCCCTCTCGTCGACGCCAGGCACTTGTGTATCGGCGCTCTCAGCAGCGTCAAGCTGGCTTGGGAGCTGCCGATTCCAGATGACCTCTTGTCGATGCTCGAGTCGTTGCCACCGATCCTTCACGCCACACAAGCTGGTTTTATGCAGTTTGCAACATCCGCAAATGGCTCGTGGGTGCTCTTGCAGCAGCCGCTGCTGAGCGCTCGGGACGATCCCTGGACGTTCTATGGCTGGTGCTTTGCGGCCGACTGGGCCACCGGGCTTCGCCAAGCCGTCTCGTTTGAAGGCGACGTGTCGTCAATCGTCCTTCTCTCCAACTTGTATACGAGCCAGCACTACGTCACGAGCAACCAGCCACTCGAGACTGCCACCAAGATGGTCTACTACATCGTCATGATGACGTCTTTGTACCTTGTGAGCGTCGGCGTCGTCGCGCTCCTCTACACATGCTACAGTCGGTTTCAAGTCGTCGGTATCAACCTACTGCGGTTCAACCGGCTCGTCGGCTCGGTTTGGGTCGGTCGGCAGCTCATGTTCATCCGCGGCACGAGTGCTATCTTGCTGCTGAGCGCACCGCAGCTTCAACTGACCTCCTCGCTTGGCTACACGCGCATGACGTCTTGTCCTCGGTCGTGGTTGGAAGCCGCCGTGATTGCAGGCGAAGCCACGTGGTTCACGTACAGTCTCCACGACCTTTTCGTGCTCGTTTTCACCGACATGACGCGTTTATACGCGCCGCTGAGCGCCGCGCTGGTATGGGTGTCGCATGTCGGGCTCGAAGTGGCCGCCCCGTTGGCGTGTCTATTGAGATTGATCGACGCTGCGTCGGGCAGGACATGGATTTTGGCCTTCTCTGCACCGCAGGACGCATCTTTGTTGGCAGCAGCGACCGCATGCTATTACTACTGGTCCTGCAAGTCGCCTCTGTAGTCCTATCAGTGGTCATCACGAGCCTACTCCGGCGAGTCTCGCGCACCAATTGGTGCGTTCGCGAGACAGAGTCGCTTCTCACTGGCTCGGCGCATGCTTTTGCAGCACCGATAACGTCGCTGGCCGAGTGGACGCAAGAGGTCGACACATACGACTGCGTCACGTGCCTCCTCTGCGGCTTTTTGCCCATTACGATTGGTGGCGACCGCTACCTCTTGGACCTTCCGCTGTGGATTCTAACTGTGGACTCGCTCTCGATCTCCCGAGTCCGATCTATACTGCCGACGAGGCGTCCGCAGCCAATGGATGTACTGCCAGTGACGAGTCCGCAGCCAATGGACGTGCTGGACGCCAAAGCACCTCCGAAAGCGTTCGTGTCGTGGGGCCGTCGCTGGCGCAAGACCCTCGCCGTCCTTGGTCTTGGCTACGTCATCATGGCCATTGCAGGCAGTGTCTCGTACTTTGAGATCTCCAAAGTCAACTTGGCCAACGATCTGTATTGGCCCAACTTTAACGTCACCGGCCACCACGCGTTTTTTGCCACCTGGCTCAACGAGCAGCTCGTGCTTGGCTTGGACAACCACAGTATCGCACTGGATGATCCGAGCATCAACCTCCTTGGGTCGTTTGCGGCACCGACAGCCTACGTCTCGACCGTCCACAACTATGGCACTTGGCTCCAGCACAGCGAATTGAGTTCGATCGAAGCATCGATTGCGGGCCTTCGCGTCTCGGATGCATGCAACGCGCCCTGGATCTTTACACCGTACTGCTACCTCGACTGGAAGAAAACGTGGCACATGGCGTACTCGCACCAGCGCCAAATGCGATGTCAGAAGATGGAGTCGAACGCTGCCGTGTACCTCGAGTCGGTCCTGCGCAACATTGACTGGGCGACCTTTGAGTTTTGTTGGGGCAACGCTTTTGAGACAGCCTTTGGCGTTGATTTGCGGCAAACCAGCCAGGGTGAAGCCTGGTTGCATTCAGTGGCTGCCGAGCGACTGCCATTACGAGTCGAAGCAGCCACATGGCGCGAGTACGGTCTATCAACCTTTCAAGTACAGTGGCAAAACTACAAGCGCATCGGCGCCATTAACAGCTACACGATTGTCAACGCTTACGGCGTCGCCTACCCCATGCCATTGATGTCCCTTAACGGCAGCTACCGCTGGAGCAGTCAGACAACATACAAGATGTACTGGTCGCTTGCCAACGATCTCTCGGCGATCGTGTCCAACGCCAGTGGCATTGGTGGTCTCAGTCTTTTGCGGACAAGTCCTCGGTTTGCCTTTACAAATACCTCGCTGCAGACCGTCTTGACAAGAAACTTGACGTTACTGTCGCCGCTGCCAAACGGCTTGGCGCTTGTCACTGCCACGCTTGGTCCGTTTGGCGTCTCGGACATGGTGTATGTAAGTGTTCCAGCCGTCGTTAGCAGCCTCTTCCGCGACATTCTTCAAATGACCCGACGCGCTTTAAGTCTGTCGCTGCAAGCGCAAGCGGCCTACGCCTCCATCACGCCTCTTCCACAGTCCAGTCCAGTCCCTAAAAAGTGGCTACTGCCGCCTTTGAACCAGTTTGGCGCCTCCATTTTGTGCCAAGAACTCGCAACGAGTCGGCTCACGTCCGCAGGCTTGACCAGCATGCTCTCTTTCGACATGTCGTGCTCCTCAACCGCGCCGATTCTGGCCAAGATCGTCCCGACGCGGCAACACTACATCGTGTCAGCGATTCTCTCGGGTCTCAGCGCGTCACCACCCAGTGACTACCGCAATATGTGCTCGTTTGACCCATCGAATATCGCCCTCTGCCTCGTCTACCTCAACCAAACGACACGCTTCCTTCAGACCTACATGCCAACAGCCAATGCGTCATTTGCGTCCATCGCTGCGTCAACCAATGCATTAGTCCACAGTCTGAACATTGAGTTGATGATCTATGCCAAAGTCAACGGGTCGGCGCCACTCGCACTGCTCCACACCAACCTCCTCGACCCAAGCGAAGTCGGCTTTGGCTTTTTTGCGTGGACGTACCTCTACGACTGGGTACTCGGCCACCGCGAAGTCATCTCGTTCCAAGGCGACTCTGGAACGCTCACCGTGCTCACAGACATCAAGCTGCCGCTACTCCAGCAAGTGCAGCCGTGGCTCCTCACGACCGACATTGCCGCGTACTTTCAAGCGGCTGTCTCCTTTGTGACGCTCATGATTCTCATTGTCGCCGTGACAACAACGTTCTACATGATTCTGTGCCGCGGGCACTTTGTTGGCACCAACATGCTCAAGCTCGACCGCGTCGGGGGGATCGTCTGGGTCGGCCGGCCCCTGCTCTTTCTTCGCTCTCTGACTGCTTTAAGTCTTCTCTCGACGGCGCCCCTCGACCTTGCGAGCTCGGGGACCGTCGCGTACTTTACGGTCGTGCCGACCTCGACGACCAAGTTGCTCTTGGCGGCGTGGGAGGTCACGTGGCTCGCCACCATCGTCGAAGACATTGCGCTCGTCGCGACGCGTGAGTACGCTCGGTACTATGTGCAGCTCAACTGCCTCGTGCTCTGGGTCGTCGCGTCGACCTTGTCCATGACGCAGCCCGTGGTCGTCGATAGCGCCATTGAGAAACTGTGCCGACTCGACGAAATCGACTTTCAGAGTGTGTGCCGTAGCGGAACGATTTTGATCGGGCGCGTGGACCGCCTGATTTTGCTCAGCGCCTTGGTGCTGAGCAGCAACGTGTTTTGCTATGTGGTGAGCCGGGTCGTGCTTGGGCCGCGCGCCCCGTGCCCCGCGACGTCGGTGCACCTCGCAGCGAGTGCAAAGTACTATTTTAGCCACGACGCTCGCATCCGCGATGGTGTCTACTACCTCGATCGCGCCTCGGCCGTGCTCAACGGCTTGCTCACGCTGCGCTACAAGCAGACCATGTATGCCCTCGACGTCAAGCTCTGGCGCATCTTTGTCGTACCGAGCCAGCAAGCGCATGACGAGTGGCACATGAGCTATCCACTGCAAAATGCACTGTAATCCATATTCGTCGATGGCTCGACCTCGTCTGCATGCGATGGCGTTCATGTACAATAAGATGGAGCAAGAAGGCGACGTGAGCTGCAGCGAACGGTAGCGGAGCGTTGGCCTCGAAACGCCGTAGCTCTTGTGTGTTGACAGCCCACAAAAACGCAATTCACGCATCGACGGGCCTTGTTGGTTGGGTCGGCGACCTGAAAATGTGATGCAATGTGTTTGCTCGTTCAAGCGAGAAGTTAACCTCTTCTCCAACGACTCATGTTCCTTTACAAATCCTGCCCTGTTCAAAGCCACAACCTCACTCTCAAACACACGATTCACATTCAACTCATCCCTCAACTTACACCACCAAAACCTCTCCTCAATCTGTACTCTCTCTCATTCACATAATATGTGAATGGCTACACTTGTGCCAATGGATGATGATGATATTATCCTCATCATCCATTGGCCCACGTGTAGCAAAAACATCGTATTTCTTGGAGTCGAGGCGTTGTCGACTCCACGTGCTACTGGACATACCCACATGTAATACCACACCAATGGTGGTGATACGATTAGCATGGGACTATTTCGTCGTCGCATCAAGACAAAGCAGCCGCACCACCAACCGCGGACGTTCCCCGTGAAATCGTGCGGGCTCACAACCATCCACGTCCTCCCTCGCCGAGAAAAACACGTTATCGAGATCGATTGACGACATTATTCACGAGCAACCGAGCCGCAAACGACAGCGATCGCGACGATCGGGACGGGGTGCAAGCACGTCGGCCACGTCCGATTCGACGTCGTCCGGAAGGTCGCAGACGACAAAGGGCACGTCACGGACCAGCGCGAGTGCCCGCAAGAACGCACGCTTGTCGTCGTCGTGCGCGATATGCAGCGACACGAGGAGCTCGCGGACGTGGCGGCCCGCGGCGACGAGCTCGGTGAGCACGTAAAACATGTCTGTCATCCGCAGATTCGACGCACTGGGCGCCACGTTCAGCCAAATCAAGTGCGGTAAGCGTGGCACGCCAGCAAGCACCGCGGCAACCGCCGAGCGGTCCATGGGTACCTGCTCCAAGCGGAGGTGGTCGAGCCGCCGACACGTTGTCTCGAGCGTGTCCATGAGCCGCGCTGCAAAGTCCCACGTGCCGGGTGTGCTGCACCAGAACGCAAGATAGCGCAGGGCCGGGACGCATGCGAGCCCTGCAAGGAATGCTTCGGCTTGGTCGTCGCGCAGTTCATTGACGACGAGGGAGTGCAGTTGGTGAAACATTGGGGCCGCTGCGGGAATTTGCACCAAGCGTGGAAAGTCACTGCATGCCAACCGCTGGAGGCGCGTCGACCCGAGTGCGGTCGCGAGGTGGCGGATCGTCGCGTCATCGAGGACGGCGTTGGTGCCGAAATCGAGTTTCAGCAATGACGCGGGGAGCTGGCGGCCGTGAAAGCCTGCGAGGTTCGCGACGCTTAGAATACTGAGGTCTTGGAGCGTCGTGCTGGCTTCGAGCGCATCGCAAAATGCGATGGCAGCACTATCGTCCATACGAACGACGTTCGACACGTGGAGGGACTGTATCGGCGCGGCCCGTAGCCACGCCGCCAAGACATGCCCGACCCGCGGCGTGGCGTGAGCGTCATCTAGATGCAGTGCCATGTTTTGGAGACGCGGATGGGCGACCGGGTCGGCGAGCACGGCCAGCAGATCGTTGAGTTCGACAGAGTCGTCGTCGGCATCGTCATCGCCCGGAGCGTTGATGTTGAGGGTGCGTAGATTGGGACACTGGCGTAGAAGCTCGGCGATCGCGCGACCTTGGCCGTCGATCTCAAGGGCCTCGGTCATCTCGACGTCGACCGAGACGATTGAGGCGCCGAGGTGCGGCACGATCGATGCCAACTGCCGCGAATACTCGATCGCGCGATTAGGATCTGCGGGCGCAACGGCAGTGTCTTGCGCAAGCGTGCGAGTACGCGACGCGGCAAGTTCGTGTCGTACCGAGTAATATACGGCCAGGCCACGTCGACGTTGGTCGGTGGCGCCGTCGCGAGCTGCAGAAATGCTGCGAGCGCCGGCGTCCAGACCGATGGCGGGACCGCATGCAGAAAACTCTTAAAGTCAACAGCGTTAGAGAGCGACGTTGCTATCGCCTCGACGACGTGCAAAGTGATCGCTCCTCAATGGAAACGCAACCCATCTAACAAACTAGCAGATAGGCTAATAAAGCACAGAACTGAGGAATTCGCTCTTCGCATTCGGCATGAAGCGCTGGCGTCTCGTCGCTGCGCCGACCCCATCACTGCGGCTATCACTGCGGCTCGTGGGCACTTCGGCGTAGAAGCAGATCGGTCACGATTCGTGACCGATCGATACAGGATCAACATGCAATATCGTTGGGAGCGGCCATAACAGCTACGAGAACGTAGGCCTTCCCCTTCTTCTGGGATAACGCAAAAAGGAGCTGATGGAGGTTAGCCAACTCGATTTCAAAACGTTTTGGAGCCGCAACCGTCGGTACAACGACCAAATAAATTCGTTGCATCGACTTTCGCGATCCAAGTGGCATGCGCACCTCAAGTGTACTTGGTGCAACAACGAGCCTCCTCTATGTACTCACGTCCTTAGCCTGCTGCGTCTACTACACGAGCCTCTTACAGCCCAGCTTTGCCAACGACCTCTGGTGGGCTGGCTACAACGTCTCGGGCTACCAAGCTTTTCTCATCGATCTCTGCAACCAGTTTCTCATGACCAACGCCAACGGCTCGCTCGATGTGCTCTCTGCCTCGGCCATCGTGCCCAAGACGTACTCGACCATCGACGCGTTCACGTCCATCTACACGCCCTACATGCACGACGTCCTCCTCGGCGAACTCACGTCCATCGAGTACGCTGTGCCGCATCTCCGAACGCTCAGCACCTACTGGTCCATGCGCATGAACGTGCAGCACTGCTGGGTTGACTTTAACAAAACGTTCGAGATGGCCCACACGCTTCTTCGGCAAGAACGCTGTGAGCGCCGCTATCGAGCCAACGCTGCCGTGTACCTCGAAGCTATCCTGCGCAACCAGCCATGGGACGCGTATCTAGCGCTCTGGGCTGGAAATGGGCTTCGCTTCAACGTAGCCATCCAGCGTGGTCTTCAAGAGACTATGGGTGGTCGCTCGTTTCTGGCACAGATGGCGACAGCGGCCAACACTACGTCGGTGGCGGACGAGCTTGCCTACTGGCGGTCGTACAACTTGTCGATATTTGAGCTGCAGTGGCAGAGTCGGTGGCAACCTGGCGTCTCCGAGACCATTAAAGTCTCGAATGCACTGGGCATTCAACAGAGCTTTACGCTGAAAGCGCTCGACCAAGTCATGGGTCCCTGGTCGTCCCAAAACATGTTTTGGATGCCGCTCAACGACTTGTTCAATGGAATGACAATGAACCGGAGCTTCGTCCGAGGCACGAGTCGCCACTTTGCGACCAATATCAGTGCATCATTGCCCGCCATCAACTTGGAGACGTATCGAGGCATGGCCGACAGCCGCGGCAACCTTGTGGGCAAGGCGTGGGTCTTCCACACCTTTCTCGGACCATACCTCAGCAGTGACATTCGCTACAAGCTGCGGCCAGCACCCCTTGTCACCGCGTACAATCGATTTCAAGAAGTCGTCTTCACACATCTCGCAACGTCGACAGCGAGATTTGAATCGTTTAGCAGTCTTCCAGTCGTTGTCTTGACACCGACGCCGTCGCGCTGGCAGGCCAACTACACCTTTTACGGGGGTGACCCGATGTGCATTCTTGGCATGGGCACATCGTACGTCCAGCAGTCGTTTGATTTTTATGACGACTGCTCGCAAAAGATACCTCTCAGTGTCCAGCTGCCGCCCATGTCCCTCCTCTTTGCTCTGCTCGCAGCGTCTACAACCTCAAGGACCTTCTCGATCCACGCCATCTGTGCACTCTCCACCACTCCAGACCCGTGTGTATCGATGCTCTCTGTAGCATCAAGCTGGCTTCAGGAGCTACCCATTCCAGACCAGATCCTGTTGATGCTCGAGTCGCTACCACCGGTGCTTCAGGCCACAGACACCAGCTTTATGCAGTTTGCCAAAGCCTCCAATGGCTCGTGGGTGCTCTTGCAGCAGCCGCTGCTGAGCGCTCGGGACGATCCCTGGACGTTCTATGGCTGGTGCTTTGCGGCCGACTGGGCCACTGGCATTCGCCAAGCCGCCTCGTTTGAAGGCGACGTGTCGTCCATCGTCCTTCTCTCCAACGCATATACGAGCCAGCACTATGTCACGAGTGGCCAGCCGCTGGAGACGGCGACACGCATGGTCTACTACTCTGTCGTTGCGAGTTCGGTCTGCCTTGTCAGTGTCGGTGGACTTGCATTGCTCTACACGCTTTACAGTCGCTTTCACATCACGGGCCGCAATCTGCTCTGTTTCAACCGGCTCGTGGGCTCGGTCTGGGCCGGCCGCCAACTTATGCTCATGCGCGGGACCAGCGCCATCTTGATTTTGAGCACGGCACAACCAAAACTGGTGGCACAATTTGGCCATAGCCGGCTTGTCGCGAGTGCGCGCTCAGTCTGGGAGACGGGTATCGTGGCCGGCGAAGCCACGTGGGTATCGTACTGTCTGCAAGAGTACCTTGTGATAGCGCTTCCAACTGCCTTGACGAGGCTCTACGGCCCATGGACGAACGCGCTAACGTGGCTTACAATAGTCGTATTGGACATCTCGTCGCCGGTGCAGACGACTATCGAGCTGAACCGCGCTTGCGTCGGTGGTGACATGGACTATGGTCTTCTCTGCACCGCGGGGGCCATCTCGATTGGGAGCTTGTCGCGTCTGCTCCTTCTATTCGGCCTGCAGGTCGGCCTCGTGCTGATTTTGATCATGCTTATTTATGGCTACCAGCATGCGTCATGTTGCATGTCTTTCGGCGGTGAATGCGAAGCCAACGACAAATATGACGATGCAAGCTTGCTCATGTCGGGCATGTCTCGAGCGCTCGTCGTCCCCGAGGAGGCAACGAAGCACTTGTATGATGCCGTGACCTGTGTGCTCTGTGGCCTCCTTCCGCTTCGGCTGCGCGGCCGCCGGCGTATCTTTGACCTCAAGCTATGGAGCTTCCTTCCCGACACGATATCGACGACGAGGCATCACACGGTGTCGCCCGAGCACTGCATGGTCGTCCCGGCGCGCCCAATACAAATGCCGCCCCCGCCGACGTTAGACTTGATCAAAACTGCCGTTGACAGCAGGCGACGCTGGTCTGTCGCGTCAGCACTCCTCGGTCTTTTCTATATGGTGTGTGTCATTGCGAGCTCCGTCTCGTACTTTGAGATCTCCAAAGTCAACTTAGCCAACGACCTGTATTGGCCCCATTTTAACGTCACGGGGGCTCATGCGTTTTTCGCCAACTGGCTCAACGAACAGCTCATCTTGCGCGCCTCGATACAAAACATCGCACTGGATGATCCGAGCATCAACCTCCTTGGGTCGTTTGCGGCACCGACAGCCTACGTCTCGACCGTCCACAACTATGGCACTTGGCTCCAGCACAGCGAATTGAGTTCGATCGAAGCATCCATTGCGGGCCTTCGCGTCTCGGATGCATGCAACGCGCCCTGGATCTTTTCACCGTACTGCTACCTCGACTGGAAGAAAACGTGGCCCATGGCGTACTCGCACCAGCGCCAAATGCGATGTCAGAAGATGGAGACGAATGCTGCCGTGTACCTCGAGTCGGTGCTGCGCAACATTGACTGGGCGACCTTTGAGTTTTGCTGGGGCAACGCCTTTGAGACTGCATTTGGTTCGGATCTGCGGCAATCGTCCGAAGGTGTGGAATGGCTGCATGCCGTATCCAGCGAGCGCCTGTTACTCCAAGACGAGGCAACCAAGTGGCGTCAGCACAATCTATCAGTCTTTCAAGTGCAGTGGCAAAACTACAAGCGCATTGGAGTCTTCAACAGCTACTCGATCGTCAACGCCTTTGGTATTTCGTACCCTATGCAATTGATGGCTCTCAACGGCAGCTACCGCTGGAGCAGTCAGACAACGTACAAGATGTACTGGTCGCTCGCCAACGATCTCTCAGCGATCGTGTCCAACACCAGTGGTATTGGTGGCCTCAGTCTTATGCGAACGAGTCCTCGGTTCGCCTTTACAAATACCTCGCTGCAGGCCGTCTTGACGACCAACTTGACATTGATGTCGCCGTTGGCCACTGCGTTAGCCCTTGTCGCAGAGTCCATTGGTCCGTTTGGCGTCACGGACATGGTCTACATCCGCGTTCCAGTTGCGGTTAGCAGCCTCGTTCGCGACATTCTTCACATGGCACGCTTATCTATGGGGCAGTCGATCCTCGCCCAAGCTGCCTTCAACAAGATCACACCTTTGAGCACATCGTACCCGACTCCGAAAAAGTGGGTTACGCCCAAGTACGGCTCGTTCGGCGGGTCCCCTCTCTGCCAAGAGCTCATCTCGAGCAAGGCGGTCTCGAATGGGTTTGCTTGCATGCCATCCTACGACCTACCATGTCTGCCGACGTTGCCGGCACAGAGCAAGGTCCTTCCAACACGGCAACACTACATCGTGTCAGCGATTCTCTCGGGTCTCAGCGCGTCACCACCCAGTGACTACCGCTCCCTCTGCTCGTTTGACCCATCGAATCTCGCCCTCTGCCTCGTCTACCTCAATCACACCATGCACTTTATTCGGACCTACATGCCAACAGCCAATGCGTCATTGACATCCATCGCTGCGTCAACCAATGCATTAGTCCACAATCTGAACATTGAGTTTATGATTTTTGCAAAAGTCAACGCGTCAGCGCCACTCGCACTGCTCCACACCAACCTCCTCGACCCAAGCGAAGTCGGCTTTGGCTTTCTTGCATGGACGTACCTCTACGACTGGGTTCTCGGCCACCGCGAAGTCATCTCGTTCCAAGGCGACTCTGGAACGCTCAATCTCTTGACCGACCTCCAACTCCCGCTACTCCAGCAAGCGCAGCCGTGGATGCTCACCCAAGCGTTCGCCACGTACTGCCGCGGCGGTGTGTGGTATGTCACATTTCTCATGCTCTCCGTCTCGGCGCTCGCTTGCGTGTATGTGCTTGCATCCCGCGGGCACTTTGAGGGACTCAACATGCTCGAGCTCTCGCGGGTCGGCGGTATTGTCTGGGTCGGCCGGCCGCTTCTCTTTCTTCGTTCCCTGACAGCGCTCTGCCTTCTCTCCACTGCCACGCTGGAGCTCCAAACCTCTGGCTACCGCAGCTACTTTGCCGCCGTGCCCACGCCGTGGTACACGATCGCACTCGCGGCCGGCGAGGTCACATGGCTCGTCTCGGTCGTCAACGACATTGCTCTTGTATTTACCAAAGAGTACTCGATGTACTACACGACCGCCAATAGCCTTCTCGTGTGGCTCATTGTCGCGAGCCTCGCTGGCGCCATCCCCGTCGACGCCACGCTCGCGCTGTCGCCACATTGTCAGTTTGTGCAGTTTGATTTTCTAATCGCCTGCGATGCCGGCGAGTTGGTGATTGGGCATCTGAGCCGCTTGCTTGCGCTGATTGGTATCGTGATTGCGTGCAATATTGTCTGCTACAGTGCCGTCCGGCGCTGCATGCATCGCCCGAAAGGCTGCGTGACATCGCTCTTGCTCTCGAATGGGGCCAAGTATTTGTTTCTGCACGACGGTCGCCTCCGTGGCGACGTCTACTACCTCGATCGAGCCTCCGCAGCCGTCGCCGGCATCGTCACACTGCGCCTCGGACGTGTTTTCTATGCCCTCGACATTAAGCTCTGGCGGCTCGTTCCGGTAGCACTCCCATTGACCAAGCTCGAGAGCCCGCTGCTTGACGCCGCCTTGCCCCTCCTCAACTCACCGCTGTAACAATCGAGCTGTCGAAACAACGCTGGAATTCTATGCTCACCTCGCACAGAAACGTCAAGTGCACCCGATGCTACTGGCCGACGTCGCTCCATGAACGTGTTTCGCGTTATCTTCGTTGTTACAAAGAATTCGCATACGTAGAGACGAGCAATTTCCTTCTGCTTCATTCGCTCGCCGGGCCGTGGCTGCGCAGGCGGCGGCGCGGGGGTGCATCTTGCTCTTCAGTAGTCGCCCGGGGCGCATGCAGCCGCGGGTGAGGCCCATGACGACACGCTCCATAAATTCTTTCCAGGCTTCGCGATCGGCGGCAAAGCTCCGTAGTTTGTTGAGGTCCTCGAGAAACGCCAGCGACGGAGGCGGCGTCAACGACTGGAGGTCGCGGTGCAGGACGATCGGCAACGTGATCTTCTTGGTGCGGCTTCAAAAAATACACGGGCTGGTCGACGAAGCTTCCGGAATCGGACGGAGTGTGGTGAGACAGACATTTTGCCGACAGAGATGCCGACCCAATCCCCCTGGTTTTATTCCCTGAGCATACTAACGTTACCTCTCGACTGCGAGAGATACCTTGACACATTGCAGTTTCCATCGTCTCGGGCCGAGACGATGGGAACTGCAATGTGTCTAGGTATCAAGTATCGAGGAATCCAGATATCGAGGGATCCAGTGTCAAGACAACACTCCTGTGTTTTATACAAGTACAATATGTACACTACGTACCTTTCGAGGCCACGAAAGAGGCGGCGCGTCGTATGTCGGCTCGACTGCAATCGACTACTTCCAGTACAGATCTTGCACAGCTGTCTGCATCGCCAACGCGAAATATGTAAAATGTAAAAAAAACAGAAATATCAAATGTCCTCGTCGATACCGACGAGCTTAGTTGCGCTGGCGCGTCGTCGCCGTCACGTTCGGGTTTCCGAGCGTAAAGAGGCGGGGCGCGATGCTCATGGCCATGAGCTCTTGGAAGAGCAGTTTGCACGAGTACGGGATGTGCACCTGCGAGATCTGCGTCTTGTTGCGGCACGTGCGGCACTCGAACGTCATTTTGCGCAGATTCGCAATTGCAATGATGCCGCAGAGGTCGCACACATGCACGCGGTACGCATCCGAGTTGGCAAAGAGACGGTCCATCAAAAAGTTGGCCGACCCGTGCGAGATGAGGCAGTCGCGCTCCATTTCACCCATGCGGAGACCGCCTTCGCGCGCGCGCCCTTCGAGCGGCTGGCGCGTCAGCATCGTCACGGGACCCCGCGACCGCGAGTGGATCTTGTCGTCGACCATGTGCTTGAGACGCTGGTAAAACGTCGGTCCGATGAAGATCTGCGCCTGGAGCCGACGCCCCGTGTGGCCGTTGTAGAGCACTTCGTTGCCGTGGCGCTGGTACCCGAGGCTATGGAGCGTGTCCGAGATCGCTTGGACCGTCACGTCCGTGAACGGGGTCGCGTCACCTTCGTCACCCGTCTGCGACGACACCTTCCCGAGGAGGCACTCGATCAAGTGGCCAATCGTCATACGCGACGGAATCGCGTGTGGGTTGACGATAATGTCGGGGTTGACGCCCTCGATTGTGAATGGCATGTCTTCTTGGCGGTACGTCATGCCGATTGTGCCCTTCTGCCCGTGGCGCGACGCAAACTTGTCGCCGATCTGCGGAATGCGAATGTTGCGGAAGCGCACCTTGGTAAACTTGAAGCCTTCGGCGTTGGTCGTGAGCATGACCGAGTCGATGATGCCGTTCTCATGCGTTCGGAGCGTCGTTGACGCATCCCGCTTCTGGTGGCGCATCTCCATGCCGTTCTCATCGGACGCGGGCAGCGGCGACGTCTTGCCAATGATAATGTCGCTGCCCGAGACGCGTGTGCCGGGCGCGACAAGACCGTCGTTGTCGAGCTTGTGGTAGCTGCCGTGCTTGAGGCGGAGGCACGTCGCGCGGCTCGGCTTTTCAAACTCTTCGCAGTTGAGAAAGCCCGCGCCGCCGCCCATGCCATGCGGCGACTTGTTGCGCTCTTGGTCGACGTAGCAGCGGTAAAACGTCGACCGGAAGAGACCGCGGTCGATCGCGCTCTGGTTCATAATGAGCGAGTCTTCTTGGTTGTACCCCGTGTAGGTTGCAATCGCCACGATCGCATTGACGCCACTCGGCAGCTCTCGAAAGTGGAGGTACTCCATCGCGCGCGTCGTCACCAGCGGCTTTTGCGGGTAGTTGAGGATGTTGGCCATCGTGTCCATGCGCGCCCGAAAGTTGCTCGTGTAGATACCCTACGCGCATCAGCATCAGCGATAGAGTCGAAAGAGAGGATCGTTGTAGGTACCATGGCCTGCTTGCCCATGGCCGACTGGTATGTGTTACGCGGACTCTGGTTGTGGTCGGGAAACGGAATGATGCTGGCGCAGATGCCGAGGATCATCGACGGGTGGATCTCGCAATGCGTGTAGAGCTGGCGCGGCTGGAGCAAGTCCTTGGGCTCCATTGCAATCATGCACACCTCTTCTTCTTCCGTGTCAATGAGCTCGACGACGCCTTCCGTGAGGAGGTTGTGCCACCGAAAGTTGGTGTGCTTGTGGTTCTGGAGCTTGACCACGTGGTTCTTTTGCAGCAGCAGCTGGTTCTGCTCGACGATGAAGAGCGGTCGGCACACACGCCCGGCGTCCGTGTAGATGCGCAGCTCCTTCTGCATGAGGTCGCGGATCACCGACACTTCGGCGTCAATGTCGACGCAGCGACGCAGCGACCGCAGCGTCTTGACGAGCTCGTTCGGCTCGCGATGGACACCGACCCAGTTGCCGTTGACGAAAATCTTGGTCGCTGTCGGAATGATCTGCGGCTTGATCTCCTCGAGGTTCTCGGTCGCCCACTCTTCGAGAAACTCGAGAATCGGCGCCTGGGGCGACCCGACCGAGATGTACGCCATGAGCGCGAGGTTCTTGACAAGACCGACGGCTTGGCCCTCCGGCGTCTCGGCCGGGCAAATCATGCCCCAATGCGTGTTGTGGAGCTGGCGCGGCTTGGCCTGCTTGCCTTCGCGCCCGAGTGGCGTGTTGAGCCGGCGCAAGTGACTCAACGACGACGCGTACGTGAGTCGGTTGAGCACCTGCGACACGCCGGCTTTCGACGCCGTCTTTTGCATGCCCCAATTGCCCGTCGCGAGCGAGTAGCGCAGGCCGTTCGAGATGGTCTTAGACTTGATCGCGAGCGAGAGCTGGAAATCGCGGCCCGCGTCGACGCACTTTTGGAGGTATCCTTTCACGTCCTTTGTGAGCTTCTTGAAGAGGATGCGGAAGAGCCCGCCAAGGAGCGGCCCGGCCAGATCGAGGCGTTTGTTGCCATAGTGATCGCGGTCGTCTTCGCCGATGCGGCCGAGCGAGCACATGAGCAGCTTGTGGACCACGTAGCCGAGAAAGTACGCCTTCTTCGTCTCGTTGTGGTCCTCCACGCCAACGTGGGGTAGCATCTCCTTTTGTAAAATGTCCTGCGCATACCGGAGCCGGTCGGCTTTCGAGACGTTGATCGCAGACCCGCGGCGACCGATAAAGTCGAGGGCCACCTCTTGTTCTTGGATCACAAACGCTTCTTCGAGCGACGGCTTGAAGCGCTCCATGAGCTCAATGTCGGAAAAGTCGTAGCAAATGTGCTCGAGGATCTCGCGGTCGGCGACAAAGCCCAGCGCGCGGAAGATGATGACGACCGGAATGTCTTGGCGGATGTACGGGATCACGGCGCGGATCTGGTGGCCCGAGACCGCCGACTTGCCGCCCGACTTGGTGTACATTTGCACGTACATGGTCGAGGTCGGGCGCACGCCATGCTCGACATGCGACCGTGTCTCGCACACCCACGAGTACTTGGAGACGGAGGATTTCTTGAAGCAGTAGACGTGGTTGTTGCTCATGCGCTCCTGCGCGATGAGGACCTTCTCCGACCCGTTGATGATAAAGTAGCCGCCTTGGTCGTACACGCACTCGTTGAGCTCGGTGAGCTCCTTGTCTGTCTTGTTGGTCAAAACGCAGTACTGCGACCGCAGCATGATGGGCACCGACCCAATGAATTCCTTGGGCGTGTGCTCGCGCTCGTACGGGTCCTGCTCCTCAATGGGCACCGTGCCCGCTTGGAACTTCTCGCACGTCACGTCCACATAGAGCGGCGCAGCGTACGTGAGGTTGCGCAGCCGCGCTTCGTGCGGAAACATGACCGACGTCGAGCCATCGCTCTCGGTCATGGTCGGCTTGGAGAGGTAGATCTGGCCAAACTGGATCTGGTAGATCGTGTCCGAGACCTTGGTCGCTTTCTGGCCCGGGTTGTACTGCGCTTCGGGCGTGATGCGGATCGAGCGCGAGTCGTCGATGAGCTCCTGCATCGTGTTCTGGATGAACTCGTCGAACGAGTCGAGCTGCTGGCGCACGAGGCCCTTCTCCTCGAAGTAGGCCGAGATGACCGCCCACGCGTCCTCCTGCGAGACGCCGGCGTCGCTCGTCAACTCCATCTTGTCTTGCAAGTTGCCAAGTCGATGGTCTGCCACACGCCACAGCAGACCCTTGGCTATGTGATACCCTCTCACATTGGATATATTGGCTTTTGAATCAAATATTATATCGAGTTTAAGAGAAGCGACCGCTTGAAGCGAAACGACGCGGCGAGGCCAAGCGTGGCCAAGGCCGAGCATGGCAAGGCAGGTGGAAGGCCGAGCATGGCAAGGACGAGCTCGAGCATGGCAAGATGCATGGCGCGGACGAGCATGGGTACGGACGTTTGTGGCTCTTCCCATGGGCTCTGCCCGCATCGTGGTTGAAGGATCATGGACGTCGAGAAGGTCATCATGGCACGGACGATGGCAAGAGTATGGGCCAGGGCGATGGAGGTTATTTGTCGTGGCGTGGAGACTACCGGTACGACTTGCATCGACATGGGTCATGGGCCGACGCGAAGCCTACATAGGACGAGACGCATGATGGTGGTGCGAGCCCAGCGGGCGATGCCGATGCCGAGAGCCAGCAGCATCCTGTAGTACATGGATGGGATGGCATGATGATGGTGTAGATGCAAGATGACAGCCGCGATGCCAGCAGGAGCTGTCGGTGCTTTTGCATGGTCGCTGCAGTGGTCGAGACCACATGAACATGGATCGTGCGACGACGCAGCTTTGTGGCCATGCAGGAATGGCATCATGCAAGAGACCAGCAGTGCACTCTGCGGCATCGACAAGGCTGCTGCTGCACCGGATGCGCGCCCACCGAGACGGCGGCTCTGTCGAGGCGAGCCATGAGGTACACGCAGGAAGCGATATTCCACTGATGAAGATCTACCGCGTTCTCTTCAAGAGTCAAGAGACAAGTCGACTGCAAACTATAACTCTATATTCAATTTCGTTCGAAGACCGACGTCAAGCTTACTGCTGCTGGCACTGGACGCCACGGGGCTGGCCCCGGTCGTCGTCCGAGTCGTACGCTTCGCGCTGGGCCTCCTGCTTGGCGGCCTCCGCATCAAAGTCGCCGAGGAAGCACTCTTCCGAATCGCTGTAGCGACGGACGGGCTCGGGCAAGGCAAACACGCTCTGGAGCGCGCGGACCTGGTCCGCCGACACGGACGTCGGGAATTCGATCTTGAACAAGATGACGAGCTGGCCCTTCACGAACGGGTTGCCGTGCTGCGGCATGCCTTCGCCGTGCACCGCCTTGAACTGGTTCGGCTTGATGACCTCGCCGGGCTTGGTCTTGACGTGCAAGTGGCGGCCATCCAGGTGCTCGACGATCGTCTCGAAACCGCACAGCGCCTCGACAAGCGTGATCTTCTTCTCCATGATGAGGTTGGCACCCTTGCGCTGAAAGGTCGCGTGTTCCTTCTCCTGGACGACAAAGACGATGTCGCCGGCAATCGTACCAGGCGCCTGGTCGGCTTCGCCCGTGAACGTGATACGCTGGCCGTTGCGCATGCCCTTCTCGATGTGGACTTCGAGGACCTTGCGCTCCTTGGAGACCTTGTTGCCCTTGCAGCCCTTGCAGCGGTCCGCATCGCGGATCGTCTTGCCTTGGCCACGGCAGTCGGGGCAGACCGACTGGACCTGCTGGACCATGCCGGGCGCGATCTGGCGGTGCTGGATGCGCATGCCACGGCCGTTGCACGTGTCACACGTCTTCTCAGCGCCCTCGGCGCCACCGCGGCCGTCGCAGCGGCCACAGAGCACATCGCGGTTCACGGCGAGCTTGACCGTCTTGCCGTTGTACAGATCCTCGAGCGAGACCTTGAGCGGGTGCGTGAGGTCTTCACCCTTCTGCGGGCCACGCGGGCGGCCACCGCCACGGCCGCCAAACATTTGGCTGAAAATGTCGGCGCCGCCGCCGCCGCCGCCGCCCTGCTGGAGGCCCTCTTCGCCGTACTGGTCGTAGAGCTCGCGCTTCTCCGGGTCCGAAAGCACCTCGTACGCGACCGTAATGTCCTTGAAGAGCTCCGGGTCGCCGCCCTTGTCCGGGTGGTTCTTGAGCGCAAGCTTGCGGAAGGCCTTCTTGATCTCGGCCTCCGACGCCGTCTTGGCCACGCCGAGCGTCTCGTAGTACTTGGAGTTGTCGACGTTGCCGCGCGGCGCGCCATGGCCGTGGCCGCCCTCGAAGCCGCCGCCGAAGAAGCTCTCAAAGCCGCCGCCCCACATGATTCCTTCGCGTGGGTTTTGTGGAAATGGTGACCGGCGTTGGGTGGTCATCGCGGGCCAGGATTTCCCACACGTGGGATTTACACGTGAAATACTCGAAATAGTGTGCGGCGTCGAGAATCCGACTTGATAGACAGCGTCGCTCTTGTTGGAATGCACCAACGAACGCACTTGATAGTACGCCCGACGACAACGGCGACGAGGTCACGAAGATGTACTTGTTGTTTAGAGCGTGATAATCGTACGCCAGGCACCTCGTATCACGGACGTCGGCAGCGAAAAGGTGCTTGGATGTGATGTGCGTATGGCCATCGACTCCAGCAAGAGGATCCTGGGATCCCTTCGAATCTGCATAGTGCGCACGTGCATATCGTCGATGAGGTCCTCGCATGGCATTGGCATGTATTCGACCAGCGCTTCCTTGATCGTAGTAGCGGTTTGTGGCTCCACTTGCCACTGAGAATCTTACCGACCAAGTCAGTCCACGGGAGCATCATCGATCAAGCACGATTCTTGCTAGAAGGAGACGTATGGATACGAAATATTGCTCAAGACGCTTTGCGTCCCGCCACTGGAGACCTCAATACAAGCAATGGATCGCAAAAATTATCAACCCGTGATTGGCATCGTATTACACTATTTCACATCTCTGGTCCATCAACAAACCAGCGAACGTCGTGTTCAGGGCCTATACAGTTGGCCGTTGATAGCATGGGCATTTGTATCCAGCAGACGTCGTCTACTTGCCCGTCCGCAACGCAGTGCTCGATGTGTTGATGCTGCTAATACTTTGTTCGCGTCCATCGGCCAAGGTCGCGTCGTTTGACACTATTTGAAACCAACGCCCAGCCCACGTGAGAAATACCCATTTCGCACTAAGTGCGCCTGCGGCCAGCCTCTGTGGTCGTGCACTCTTGCGTTTTGTATGGTTGATTTGCTCGATTAAGTGCGACTTTCTTTTTCGACGCGATTTGATTGGCTGTCGCTGGGAACGGACGCCGATTTTTCGCGGGAACGTCTGCGCCTGTCTGCGTGCCACCGGCCTGAGCCTACCGGTAGTTTAGACTTGGTAGGAATGGACTCGGGAGGTTAGGAAGTTACTCCTCAAGCCTCGGACAATCGACCTCTCGCGCTAGCACACTCGGAGATGCGGGTCGAGAGCAGGCGAGTGTGAATCGACTGTCTGTACGACGTGCAGCCTTCTGCAGCGTCCAGCCCGGTTCGATGCGCCGTTCGGTCTCGACGAGCGGGCACCAAGGGCACGAAACACAATTATGGATTCCCTTGGCGGCCACGGTCAAGAGGAAGCCATCCACGTCGTGGAATGTGATTGATGTAATAGATGATTAATACTACGACGAGCTACGACGACGACGCGCAAAGGGCAGGCTGCACGACATCTTGAATGAGTCGGACGACTTCCATCGCGCTTGGGCGGCGCTCGGGCTCGTAGTCCAAGCATCGCATCGCGAGGTCGAGCACAGCGGGCGGGCACTCGACGCTGAACGTGGGTTTGGCGCGCTTCTGCGTTACGAGCTTGATGACGGCCATGCCATCGAGCTTGCCATTCTTGCCAATCTAGAAACACGCCAAGACGATCAGTGTCCAGTCGTCATACTACGAGTATTGGGTCTGCATACCGCTTGGTCGGCGAACGGGATCGCACACGTGTCGAGCTCCGAGAGCACGACGCCGAGCGAGTAAATGTCGGCGCGGTCGTTGTACTTTTTACCCATAAAGACTTCGGGGGCCGCCCAGAGCGCCGTACCGACGCCGGCCGTCATCGTCTCTTCAAACTGACGCACGCGCGAGATGCCAAAGTCGTTGATCTTGGCCGTCCAGTTGGCATCCAAGAGCACGTTCTTGGACTTGAGGTCGCGATGGATGATCTTGGGCGTGAGGCTGTGGAGGTACACGAGGCCTTGGGCGATGTCGAGCGCGATCTTGATCTTCTCGATGGGCCACGTCAGCGTTGCCTTGCGCTTCTGCAAATGGTAGAAGAGATCGCCGTTCTTCATGTACTCGGTGAGGAAGCAGAGGTTGCCGTCCCGCGGGTTCCACGAAAAGCCGAGAAAGTCCAGCACGTTCGGGTGCTGCAAATGCAGCATGAGCTTGATTTCCGCGACAAAGCACTCGATCTCCTTCTTGTCGGCCTTGCGCTCTTCCAGAATCTGCTTGATCGCGACATAGCGGCCTTTGAATTGGCCGAGCCAGACCTCGCCGAACGCGCCTTTCGTGAGCTTGCGCGTGTACTGGATCAAATGAAAGTCGACCTTCATAGCGAGCATCTCTTGGTCCATCTTGAAGGGCGGCGCGCTGGCTGTCTTCTTGGTCGCCACGCGCTTGAAGTCGTCTTCCGAGTCGAGCACGTAGCCCGACGACGGCATGTTCGTTGGCGGCGGCGGCTGCTGATGAAAGTTAAAGGTGCGCTGATCGTCGTCGTCGCCGCCGTCCTCGGCAGCAGGCTCGCCGCGGACGCGAAAGGCCGGCGGTGGCTGCGTCGGCTGGGCGCCATAGTAACGCGCCTCGCGCCGAGCCTCGCGCGTCCGCCGGTGCCAGACAAAGTAGCCGACGATCAGCAGCAAGATGACACCGGCAACGACGCCGAGGATCGTGTTGAGCGTCGCGCTCGACATGCCCTCGTCCAGGCGGCGGCGCAAGAAGCTCATGCGCATGCTCGACTGACTTGCGGAATGGCGTCGCTGTCCCACCCTGCCACGTGACTCACAATGGCAATTAGCTTGCGATTTGTATGCACATACAAACCGAAGCATGAAACAAGCCACCATACGAACCGGAACTGGCTCACCCATCGATCGACGTTCGCTACATGCACGATCGCATCTATTATACATGGCACCTTCCGACGAGGACAGACATGGCGTCTCTGTCCACTGGTCGAGCGTACCGGTACTAGATCACTAGGATGGTACTAGATGCACCTCCCATCGATCCATGTGGACCTTGATTCCGACGGCGAGCGAGATTCGCTCCATGACGCGCCCAGATGATAGAAGCCCAAAGCTGGTGCAATCGAATGGCGCTCGACAATCCAGTGTGGGCGACGTGGGCCAATGCTGCGGCGTAGCATTAGCACGTGGATGGCTCGCGTTCGCCGGCACTGAATCGTCGTCCATGGGCGCTGGCGTTCGATGGAGTTTGACGGTCGAAGATCGCGATGGCCTGTCGCAGCATGGCCACGTCCACGTCGTCGCGCATGGAGTCAACAGTCGTCTTCCATGGCGCTTCCTATTTGCAGTGTAGCATCTCGTGTCGCGCTCCTACATTGTATACACTGGAGCTAGGGTCAAGCGACGAGACTATAACTTGCGAGTTGGCTCGTAGCGACGAGTGAACGAGGCGTGGATTTTTATAAAGCTTGGGGTATTTCTTGACTGTTAATTGGTGGCGGCTACACAGGGATTCCTACTGCACTAGTACGGTTCGTAATCGAGCGCGGGTCGGACACGGTCCTTCAGGAGCACGACGACTTCGGCGGCGCTCGGTCGGTTCTCGGGCTCGTAGTCCAAGCAGCGGAACGCGAGGTCCCGGACCACGTCCGGACAGCTCGGGCTAAAGGTCGGCTTGGCCTTCTGCTGCGTCACGAGCTTGATGACGGCCATGCCATCGAGCTTGCCATTCTTGCCAATCGCTTGGTCGGCGTACGGGATCGCGCACGTGTCGAGCTCCGAGAGCACGACGCCGAGCGAGTAGACGTCGGCGCGGTCGTTGTACTTCTTGGCCAAAAAGACTTCGGGGGCCGCCCAGAGCGCCGTACCGACGCCGGCCGTCATCGTCTCCTCGAGCTGACGCAGCCGCGAGATGCCAAAGTCGCTGAGCTTGGCCGTGCAGTTCTCATCCAAGAGGACGTTCTTGGACTTGAGATCGCGGTGGATGACCTTGGGCGTGAGCGCATGCAGGTACACGAGCGCCTGCGCAATGTCAAGGGCGATCGCGAGCTTGTCCTTCTTCCACGTCAGCGTCGCCTTGCGCTTCTGAAGGTAGACAAAGAGGTCGCCGTTCTTCATGTACTCGGTGAGCGCGCACAAGTTGGCGTCCTGGTTCCACGAAAGGCCGAGAAAGTCGACAATGTTCGGGTGCTTGAAGTTGGCCATGAGCTTGATTTCCGCGACAAAGCACTCGATCTCCTTGGCGTCCGTCTTGCGCTCTTCCAGAATCTGCTTGATCGCGACGTACCGGCCTTGGTACTGGCCAAGCCAGACCTCGCCAAACGCGCCCTTGCTAAGCTTGCGCGTGTACTGGATCATGCTATAGTCGACCTTGGCATCGAGGAGGTCCTGGTCCATCTTGAACGGCGCTTGCTTCGGCGTCGGCTTCTTGGCCTTCGGCTTGTTGTTGCGGTAGCCGTCATAGTCGTCGCCATGCCCGTCGTCGCCGCCCTGCATGATGTAAATGTCGTCGCCTTCCGCCTTGGGCTGCTGGCCCATCATATTGAAGTTGATCGTGCGGTTGTTGTCCGCGTCCATGTACCCGTCGCCCGTCTTGGCTTGGCTCTGCTGTTGCCGGCGGATGCGCCGCGCCTCTCGCCGCTGGCGCGACTTGCGCTGCTGGTGGCAGTACAAGATCAGGATCACGAGCACGATGACGCCCGTGACCGTGCCCAGCGCGATGTTGAGCGCGGAGCTGCCGCCGCCGCCCGAGGACGCGCTGCCGTCGAGGCGCCGGAGACTGGACATGGCGCAAGTTGGATTCTGGACATACAAACCGCAAGAGGTTTGGTAGCGACCTTACTGACTTGATGTCCGCATAAGTGCGGCTAGTGCACTTAGTGTTTGTGTGCAAAGGGTAGAGCCGGAGCGCACTTAAGCCGTGCGCACGACTTGCCATACAAACCCCAAGAAGTTGCCGCTCCTGCGATATGACAGCCGCATTTCTCGGGACGGCTCCATGCTTCGACGCGGACAGATGGCACCGGACTGTCGAGGAGGACGATGCAAGGGGTAGGGATATCGATAGATAGATATATGCACCAAGGTTGGCCACCGGTTTCAATTCCGAATTGGTGCCTTCTGTCACCCTTGACATAACCCCAGCGCGCCAGCGGTCCGAGCGGGACGTCGAGGCGAAGGCGGTCGGTGATCTTCGTGGCGGCAACCACATCGCCTGTCGCCGCCGACGCACAGCATGATGCGCGCGATGTCACGAGTGCGTGCAACGTGTGCTGCGCGTCGATGGATTGCCAAGTTGTCGTCGCTGTAGGATGTTTCTAGCAGCAAATTGACCCTGCAAGCTCTTCCAACGCGGCAGGGGATGGCGCCCACGTGGATCCAAGCTGCTCGACGCAAGAGGAAGACACCACGTCTCGTTGGTGGTTGCTTGGATGGCGATTCGAAAGGGCAAGGTCGTCTGCGTGCACTGCGCCGTTGACGTAGCCTCCACCACACCCGCATTTCCAACGGCATAGGCGCGTGGCAACACCAACCAACCGCCCGTTGATCACGTTCACGACACAGTGGTGTCAAGGTGTCTAACGAGTTGATTCTTCACCCCTCCTCTTTGCCACAAGGGTCGCTTAGATGGCCTTACGCACGCGACTTCGGAAACCAAACACATACAGCTTGTTTTATTTCCTTGGTGGAAACCGAGTCTGGCGCCGTTGCCTGCGACGAATGTGCTCTGTATGTTCTCGCCTCGTGCAGCGAACGAGCTCCTCGTGGATATCCGACCTTGCTGCTGCTAGAAATGCTCGTTCGTGTGACGTGGACCGTCGTGTTCATTCTCGCGCTGTGTCGCTGAGTGAGTCCACGCTGCACTCCATACGAGTACGATATGTTGTCGACACCGTGCTCTGCACCTGGCTGGCACGACGATAGAGATGCCCTCTGTAAAGAATATACTTGATAGACCAAGTGCGACCGCTTCTAGAGAGTGAAGACGGGGACAATACTGCGGCGTTCGAACTCCGCACTAACTGCATGTAAACCAGCAATCCACCGACTGGACAAAAAGTGGTCGACTAAACTTACAACGACCATCTTCATCGTAACAGCATCGACGATCGAGCTGTTGGTGAACGCGGATTCCTTTCGAGTAACACTTGTGGACCTCATGTAGCTGGGCCGCGCGATAGCTTAGCTCACTACGCGAAGCGTTGTCCCGGTGCGCGCAAGGGTCGTTTCGGAGCCGCCCGAAACGATGTGGTCACGCGATTTCCTCAAGAGAATAGCCGAGCCACAGAGTGTTGCTGCGTCACCGATTTGCACGACGTCGTACAGTAGAGCGGTCACCACTCCATCAGCGACGGTAGGCAAGGATACTGTTGCGCGTCAAAGGCGAGAAATATCGGAAAGAGCAGCAGCGCCGGGGCTCGAACCTCGCTCTACTTGGGGGTCTACCAGTGTCGAGACCGAATCTTCCGTTCCGACGATGGCGAGGATCTGGGTAGACAAGCTGCGAGCGCCCCTTGTGTTGAAAAACGCTGCCGCTCCATCCTTGTGGTCGTATCCCGTAGCGCACCGCCTCTCGACTCTCTCTCTGCCAACGCGTTGGCACCAAAGACCATCGTCCGTCCTTTCCGTTTTCCTCCGACGACCCAAGTCGACGACCAAATTCGTAGAAGGAATAGATACCCATGGTCCAAAAAAGTGCGTCGTCCTCTCTGTCCCATCCCCATTGTTGTTGCCTCGTCCAACGTAATGTAAAAAAGCCACGTCTGCTTTGCGCATCTAATAAAAGGTACCGCGTCCGTCGCAGTAGCGCTTCGTCATGGCGTGGCATCTTTGGGCGGCGCCAAAAACCGACCAAGATCGGGGGTGCACCAATCAGACGCTGGTATGCCGACGTGCACCAATCATTGCTCGCGATTGCGTTTCCTGGCCAATCGAAAAGCGCGACACCGACACCGGCGACCAATCCCGTGCCGCGCGTCGTCTTCTGGAAATTTCCACGCGCAGCTTCCAGAAGCCAGGATCTATACAAATCGCAAGCCATTCGGTGTGCTGCAAGGCCATTGGGCGGCAATCAGATTCCCTTAAACACCAAGTTGCTTACGCCATTTTCCGTCTCGACACAGACTTGATACTCGGTCGTCATGTGGGGCGGTGGCTTTGAGAGCTTCTTTGGCGGCGATGGCCATGGCCATGGCGCGCCGCGCGGCAACGTCGACAACTCCAAGTACTATGAGACGCTCGGCGTGGCCAAGACAGCCTCGGAGGTGGACATCAAGAAGGCCTTCCGCAAGCTTGCGCTCAAGAACCACCCGGACAAGGGCGGCGATCCCGACCTTTTCAAGGAGATTACGGTCGCGTACGAGGTGCTCTCGGACCCGGAGAAGCGCGAGATCTACGACAAGTTTGGCGAAGAAGGCCTCCAGCAGGGCGGCGGCGGTGGCGGTGGCGGCGCTGACATCTTTAGCCAAATGTTTGGCGGTGGCATGCGCCAGCCGCGTGGCCCGCCGCGCGGCGAGGACCTCACGCACCCGCTCAAGGTGTCGCTTGAGGATCTGTACAACGGCAAGATGGTCAAGCTCGCGGTAAACCGCGATGTGCTCTGCGGCAGCTGTGAAGGTCGTGGCGGCAAGGCCGGTGCGGAGAAAAGCTGTGGTACGTGCAACGGCCGTGGCATGCGCATCCAGCACCGCCAGATTGGGCCCGGTATGGTCCAGCAGGTCCAGTCGGTCTGTCCCGACTGCCGTGGCCAGGGCAAGACAATCAACGAGTCGGATCGCTGCAAGGCGTGCAAGGGCAACAAGGTCACAAAAGAGCGCAAGGTCCTCGAGGTGCATGTTGAACCTGGCATGCGCCACGGCCAGCGCATCACGTTCAAGGGCGAGGCCGACCAGGCGCCTGGTACGATTGCCGGCGACATCGTCTTTGTCGTTCAGGAGAAGGAACACGCGACCTTTCAGCGCAAGGGCGCCAACCTTATCATGGAGAAGAAGATTTCGCTTGTCGAGGCGCTGTGCGGCTTCGAGTGCTACATTGAGCACCTGGATGGCCGCCACTTGCACATTAAAACCAAGCCCGGCGAGGTCATCAAGCCGAACCAGTTCAAGGCGGTGCACGGCGAAGGCATGCCGCAGCACGGCAACCCGTTCGTGAAGGGCCAGCTCGTCATCTTGTTCAAGATTGAATTCCCGACGCAAATGACGCGCGAACAGCAACGCCTTATCATGTCGGTCTTCCCGCCTGCGGCCGCGCCGCGCCGCCTCTCGGAGGCGGAAGAGTGCTTCCTCGGCGACTTTGATGCGGAGGCCGCCAAGCAAGAGGCCCAGCGGGAGGCGTACGACTCGGACAACGACGACCGGGGCTGCCCCCGCTCAGTGCCAGCAGCAGTAACGAGCTATAGACGACTGTTTTTTTCTTATTTACAAACACGACGGCCCTTGCTACCTACCATCAAAGGCCTTTCCGAAGGCGGTTGACAATATGACGTGGCAGCGTAGGGAGGCAGAAGCGGCGGCCAATGGATCTTCTTGCTGTGTGTGGATCGAGATTGTTGTAGATGAGCAAGCTGCAGCGCACCGCCAATGGTAGCTAGCCCGAGCCAGCGTCGAGCACCGTGTCGCCATGCATCATCATACCCCATTCATTATCTACTTCGTCTCTAAGAACTAGCATTCTTATTGCTGCTGGCACTGGACGCCGCGGGGCTGCCCCCGCTCATCGTCCGAGTCGTACGCTTCGCGCTGCGCGTCCTGCTGCGCGGCCTCGGCGTCGAATTCGCTCAAGAAGGCTTCCTCAGCGTCGCTAAAGCGCTGGACGGGCGCCGCCGACGGGAAGACGCTCTGGAGCGCGCGAGCCTGGTCCGCCGACACGGACGTCGGGAACTCGATCTTGAACAAGATGACGAGCTGGCCCTTCACGAACGGGTTGCCGTGCTGCGGCATGCCTTCGCCGTGCACCGCCTTGAACTGGTTCGGCTTGATGACCTCGCCGGGCTTGGTCTTGACGTGCAAATGGCGGCCATCCAGGTGCTCGACGATCGTCTCGAAACCGCACAGCGCCTCGACAAGCGTGATCTTCTTCTCCATGATGAGGTTGGCGCCCTTGCGCTGAAAGGTCGCGTGTTCCTTCTCCTGGACGACAAAGACGATGTCGCCGGCAATCGTACCAGGCGCCTGGTCGGCCTCGCCCTTGAACGTGATGCGCTGGCCATTGCGCATACCCTTCTCGATGTGGACTTCGAGGACCTTGCGCTCCTTCGTGACCTTGTTGCCCTTGCAGCCCTTGCAGCGGTCCGCATCGCGGATCGTCTTGCCCTGGCCACGGCAGTCGGGACAGACCGACTGGACCTGCTGGACCATGCCGGGCGCGATCTGGCGGTGCTGGATGCGCATGCCACGGCCGTTGCACGTGCTGCACATCTTTTCGGCGCCGTCGGGCCCGCCCTTGCCGCTGCAGCCAGCGCAGACAACGTCGCGGTTTACCGCGAGCTTGACTGTCTTGCCGTTGTACAGATCCTCAAGCGACACCTTGAGCGGGTGCGTGAGGTCTTCGCCACGCGGCGGGCCGCGCGGCTGGCGCATGCCACCGCCAAACATTTGGCTAAAGATGTCAGCGCCGCCACCGCCGCCGCCGCCGCCCTGCTGGAGGCCTTCTTCGCCAAACTTGTCGTAGATCTCGCGCTTCTCGGGGTCCGAGAGCGTCTCGTACGCGACCGTAATGTCCTTGAAGAGCTCCGGGTCGCCGCCCTTGTCCGGGTGGTTCTTGAGCGCGAGCTTGCGGAAGGCCTTCTTGATCTCAGCCGCGGTCGCATCCTTGGCCACGCCGAGCGTCTCGTAGAACTTGGAGTTGTCGACGTTACCGCGGGGCATGCCATGGCCATGGCCGCCCTCGAAGCCGCCGCCGCCGCCAAAGAAGCTCTCGAAGCCGCCGCCGAACATGCTCGCCGAGAAAAAGAAATCGAATTGTATCCCAGCCGTCACCTCAAACGGGGGGATCCGGATACACGTCGATCCGGTTACCGTTGCGAGATAAAAACACTCAACCCACTGGCATCAAGTTGACGGCCATGTAGACTGCCACGTGTCCCAGTAGTCCAGTCCAGGAACGCGCGGTGTGCAGCAGTCCTCGTGGTCGTCACCGAGGTCGGCGGCGCTGCAGGTCGTTGTACCGACGTCGTTGCCTGGCGTTCGTTGGCTGTGCACTCGTTGGCTTCTTGGGTGTGATTGTGGACGGCAGCGCGTACTGGCGACTGCTTTGCATAAGCGCAGCAGAGTGGTCAATGTCATCCGTCAAGTCGAGTTCGAGTGGACGTCAAGCGGGTTGGGTCGTGATGGCAGAAACGTCTGTCTCCTAACCATTCGCTGATGGACCACGGTTCGTTCGCAGGATTGCTTCATGGCACATCCAGGAGCCCACCATTCTAGGGAAGCGAAGAAAGATCGAACGCTGGCGGCAGAGCTGACGCCACTGGAGCAACAGAGCTCGCGCCAGAAGTATCCAAGAGAGAAGTACGTTTACACTGTGACCAGCACACAGCACGGTACAGAGCACGGTACACGGTTCTGTCTGACATGCATGGAGATGGTGGACACCATGCGCAAGCAGATCCAAGATGATTCAGCGAAGGCAACACGCAGGGTTGGGTGTTTTCATCCCCTGCTGTCGCAGTGCCTGTCCAATCTAACGCTGTTATAACGCGCGGCGAAGAGCCAGCATCGGGCAAGCCGCCGACGTCGCGAAGATCGCGATCCCGTCGAAGGGCGTTCTTGGTTCTTGGCCATGGAACCGGACGCCGCGTCGTCGCGCCTCGAGGTGACGCTTCGCATCATCGCAGTGTGCACTAGCACCGATTACATGGTCGGTGCTAGGCAGGTTACCAACGGCTACTTGCGATAGCTCCACGGCGGACACGGCGCCAGCCGTGTAATGGCCTCCAAAGGTTCACACTCCTCCTGCGTCAAGCGTCGCATCACGCTGCGTACAAGAGGTGACATGGTTGTATCTGGTCCGACTGTCGCGTGGGTTCGTCGTTGCGTGCTGTCAACTCGTTCGCGTGGATGTGGATGCTTCCATCCAGGACGGTTCGAAAAGCTTTATGCAATTCGCGCGCTGGATTCCAGCTTAGTACCCTGGACGTCTTCGGTCTTGCTTGTCGTAATACACGAAGCGCTCGAGCTCAGCCAAGGCGTTGGGCGCGGCGAGTGCAAGGCCGCCGCCGCAGAGCGCGCCGAGCCCGTTGGCGAGCATGTCGTTGACGTCAAAGGTGCGCCAGCCCGAGGCGCCTTGCAGAAACTCGATCGCGACGCCGAGCAGGGCGAACGCGAGCAGGAGCGTCGGCACGGCCCGTCGGTGTACCAACTGCGCCCACCACAGTGTCAGCAGAAAGTACGCGAGACCGTGGCCGACCTTGTCGCTACCTGCGACAGGCAGCGCTACGGGGCGGGGCGTCAACGAGAGGTACAGGAGGAGGGCGACGCCACCGACGCCGACGCCGTCTGCAGCACCATCATCTCGTCGTCGTCGTCGTCGTCTCTGCCGTTGCGGGCAGCTAATGAATTGAAACGAATCGACCAGCTGGTTTTCAAGAACGAGCGCCAAGTGGTCAGCCAAGTGGCGGCGATGATCAAGCGGAACAGCTCGTCGTGCGACGGTGTCGCCGCAGTCGCCATCCGCATCGCAGCCCCACCACCCCACCTCGGCATGATGTCACTGCGGGCCCTTGCATCGAGTACCGACAACGACGACGACGACCACGCAGCGCGCACGCGCCTCATCCTCCTCGTTGCGACGGGCATCATTCTGCTCGTCTTGCTCGGGTACCTTCTCTGCCGCCGCCGCCGCGCCAACAAGCACGCGGACGTGAGCTTCAACGAAGGAGATCTCTACGCGCTCGAAGACTCGTCGGCGCTCAACACCATGACGGCGTTTCCGCCACTCGACCCTGCGATCCTGCCGTTCAAGATCGAGTTTGAGCGGCTGCTCTACACGCGCAAGCTCGCGAGCGGCGCGTTCGGCGAGGTCTGGCTTGGCCAGCTCGACGGGACCTCGGTCGCGATCAAGCAGATTTTGCCCGAGCGGCGCCATGATCCGGTCGAGGTCAAGTGCTTCCTCGCCGAGATTGGCCTCATGGCTCCGCTCTCGCATCCGCACATTTTGACGCTTGTCGGGTTTTCATGGAGCCCCGAGTACAATTTATGCTTTGCCACCGCGTACTGGAAGCACGGCGACCTCTTGAGCTGCCTCAACCGCCTCCACGACGCGTGGTCCTGGCCCATTGAGCGCCTGCAGATCGCTCTCGGCGTCGCCAAAGGGCTCGTCTACTTGCATGCGCGGACCCCCAAGGTCATCCACCGCGACCTCAAGAGCCGCAACATTTTGCTCGACGACCACTTCGAGGCCAAGATCACCGACTTTGGCGTCTCTCGGTACAAGCGTATATATGTCCACTGCAACATGCGGACCGCCGGTGAACGATTAGGACGCGTGCGTTTGAGGAGACGATGACGGCGGGCGTCGGAACCGCGCTCTGGGCAGCCCCCGAAGTGTTTCTCGGTCGGCGCTACGACGACAAGGCCGACGTGTACTCGTTTGGCATTGTGCTCTCGGAGCTCGACACGGGCAACATCCCTTTTGTGGACCACCCGGTACGTCGTCTTGGTCGTATTCGCCCCATCTCTATGCTCATGCTCGTAGGTGTTTGCGAACGGGCGCAAGGTCGACCCCACCACGGTGCTCAAGCTCGTGACGATGGAGCACGCGACGCCGACGTTCTCACCGTCGTGTCCGGCGGCCATTGAAGCACTCGCCAAGCGCTGTCTCTCGTTTGAGCCGAGCGCGCGACCGTCCGCCCAAGACATTGTTGCGTTCCTCAGCCACGCCGAGACCGACCTCTTTGCTTTCTGAGTCGTGTAATTTATGAGTGTACTACTGCCGACGCAGTGTTCGAGTCACGGACCTACTCTCAAGTAGCTTGAGAAATCCAGTCCCGACTTGGCCTCCGTATACGATACAGTGGGCGACTTGGTTGACGTGCTGCATAGCGTCCGTAAAGGCCCACCGCGTCTTCTCTTCTTCTTCATTCCGTTGCATTCGCTTCGCATTCGAACCGCGCTGTCTCTCTAAGGGCACGAAAGGATTGCAGTGGAATGCTGCACTTTGCCATTTTCAAACCCACGACGTAAGTCTCGATGGTGCTCTACTACGCCAAGCGGTGTGCGACCGTGTGGGAGAAGCTCGGCTTTCGGCGCGTGTACGTCGCGCTCGAGGTGCTCTCGGACGCGCGCGTGCTTATCTGGGTCAACTCGGGTGACGAGTACAACACGGATCAAATCGTCGACGCGGCGTGGAACCAGCGCTGTGGATTGCGACTGCGGCTACTCGACGACGGCACCGTCGTCAAGAAACACCTCCTCTTTGACTGCCAAGCCGACATGTTTTACTTCCTCATGGAGCTCGGCATGGAGCCGGCGCAGAACGGCGGCAAGGTCCGGCGCGGGTCGTTCACAAATCCAATTTTGCAGAGCCCAAAGCGCAAGAGCAGCCTCCGCCGGTGAAGCGGTCGTGTACATTTAACGGGTCGTCTCTGCCTGCGTCTCTGCCACACCCGGCTCGTGTCGAGGACCATCTGTGTCGAAAGCCGCATCCAACGCTAATTTATCATATTTCCATGTGCTGCAACTTGGGTCCTCGTTGGGTGCGCACCAGACGCGTATGATTCCAATGTACCAGGTATTAGAAGTTCGGCAGCCACTGTGTATGTGTAGTACATACCAGCACGTGGCCACCCACGACGCGAACGACAACAGCAGCCGCAGCTAGCGGCAGCTTTTCTTCGTGCGCCTACTCATATTTGCGGCCTCTACAGGCTGCATCCATGGGCTGCATCTCATCATCGGATACTCTTTCTTTCATCAAGAGAGGTGGTGGTGCGTCAAAGACACGCAGACTGGATTGCCCAGCGTTGCCGTCGTTCTACACGGTACGGTACTGTCGTCGTCGTCGTATAGTGTACCGGTAGCATCTCGCCTGAGATTCGTGGTTGACTACCACGCGTTCGTTTACATACATAGATCGGTCAAGAGCGGTCCCTCTACGACGAGGAACTGTATGAATACCATCAACAGGAAGAGCCCTCTTGGCACTCGTCTTTTTAATATGTACGTAAAAATAATACCGTACAGTGGTCCAGGGAGGCAGCTTGAAGAAGGTGCGCAGAATGGTTCGTGGTGACGGCATCGCTGGACACTGCCCTGCATTGGTGCTTGGTCGTCACGTTGACGTGAGGCTTCGTACACGGTACTACAGTGTAAGAAGTACGACGCTGCGGGAAGCCGCTACTGCTGGAGGCGGCCGGAGGACATCCGCGTCGTCGCCATTACAGCAAGCGCCGACTCACCTTTTCGAAACCGACGTCGACGCCAACTCTCACGAGCTTGGATCTCGTGTCAACTCAACACGCCACGCCGCTGTCTCTTCCATCTTGGACCAGATCAGCGCATTCGATGCCACCACCACCTCTATAGGTGTATGTAGTACGGCGATACAAAGAATGCAATCAGCTGCCGCTCCTATCGCCCGACCTCGCCGCACCGTGCAGCCGCTTGACCCAACCTACGCGAGGGTGGGAAGCTATGGCGACCGTCTCGAGTTCAGTATGGTCGGTACCAGCTGGCACCGTTCTTCTCTTGCGCTTTGTATGCTCGGGCCGTAGACAGGCGACCTGGTTTCAAGCGTGTGAATTTTTATTGTTTTTTTCGCTCGGTGAATTTAAAAAATACACCACTAGGTTTGCGCCACTTTGCATTTTCCCTCGTCCACCACACTCCACATCAACATCAACATGGTGGTCTACTACGCCAAGCAGTGCGATACCGTCATGGAGAAGCTCGGCTTCCGCGGCAAGACGCTCGCCATGGACGTCGACTCGAGCAAGGGCGCCTTCACGTGCATGAACACCAACACAACGTATGCGATCGACGACATCCTCGAAGCCAAGTGGACCAACAACATGAACCTCAAGCTGCGCATCCAGAAAGACGGCGAGCTCCTCAAGCAGCGCCTTGTCTTTGAGTGCCAAGCCGACCTTTACTTTTTCCTCGTCGAGCTCGGCTTCCAGCCCACCAAGCACGACGGCGAAGTCCGCCGCGGCTCGTTCTGCGCCTCGTCGCTCTCGTCGTCGTCCGGCTCCAAGTCGTCGCGCCGCAGCATCTAAAATGGCCGACGACGATCTCCATCGCCATGGTAGCGATCCCGCTGTACTCTAGAAGAATTATTATTTAACATATCAACAAATGCCAGCAAGGCGATATCCACCGCATATGAAATGCACTGCCATCTTTCTCCAAGAGCAGCTTCTACCAGCAAAGGTTGACAAGCAACCGTCCACCACCCTGTGTACTAGACTGCCGCGATCGAATGCGCATACTACGACGACGCCACGACACTTGAGAGCAACAGCCGCCGACGACCAACGCCGCGTGATTACCAGGGTGCCCACCGATGGTCCCACGGTGGCCTGCAAACGGGCGACGAGGCGGGCTCAGAAATCGCATCATCCGGCAAGTGTGCGAGTCATCATCGCGCAGTGAGTGCGCGCCCGGCTCGCCCATTCTGCGCGTTGGACCAACGACCGTGCCTCCATCAACACCCACCACCAAAGCCTTTGGTGGTGGGTGTTGCCGTACGCTTTGGCGAAGGGTACGGCAGCGTGTTGAACCGCGACTTGGTGCTGATGATACTCGCAACGGACCCAGAAAAACGAGCCGAATAATTCACAACACATCCAAGTCAAGGAGGAGGAGCTGCTCCGACTTGCAAAGCAGCAAGTGCATGTCGCTTCTCACGCCTGTTCTTCTTCTTCGCGGCTTCTCGGTTCGGGACCAGCCATGCAGAGACAGCTACTACTTGCTACTCTACCAAAATTGCGCCATTCGACGACCAAAACACGATGGGTGTGCACTACGCCAAGCGAAAGGAGTCCGTCCTCGAGAAGGTCGGGCTCCGCACTGAATACGTTGCTATCGACGTGGACGATGGCACGATGACGTGGCTCAACTCGCAGCGCACCTTTGCCCTCACCGACATTGTCGCCGCGTCATGGACCCAGGACCGCCTCGTGAAGCTCCGCATCGAGACCCTGGACGACTCAAGTAGTAGTAGCAGCAGCAGCTTTCGCTTTCAGTTTGATGACGACCACGACCTCGATGCGTTCATGGCCGACGTCGGTATCCACGCATCGTCGCCGAGCCGCGGGTCCTTTAGCACCCGCCGTCGAAGCTCATGTGGGCGCCAAAGCCTCCTCGCGCTGCTCTCGTCCAAATCCTAGAGTTCGTTCGTTCGTGCACGCTCATTTCTTAATGCTAGTATTCTTATGCCACATGTCGTGATTGCGCTGGAGCGGACGACAATCCGGCCAGCTTGGACTACTTGGAGAGCCAGCCCTTGTCGGTCGCGTCGGCAAACATCTACGTCACGATGGCTCAAGTCGCAGGAGAGAGGCGAGAGGAGGCGTACGTTGATGAGCGCGTCCTTCTCGCCCGGCACCAAGTCGGGGTGCCAGAGGTCAAAGAGCAGCACAACGCGCTCGCCCTTTTGGCCGTCGTGCCACACCTCGTGGTCGTACGCATCTACAATGGAACAAAGGTGGGCGGAGGTCGCGCCGTCTACACGCTACTAGTACCGTCAAAGACCATGCACTCGCCTTCCTTCCACTCCTTCGTCTCGTCCGCGACGCGGATACCACAGTTGGGCGGGACAAAGAGCGGAAAGTGGCAGCGGAGCCGGATGTTGCAGGGCGCCGAGTGCGCCTTGATCGCGCTCTGCGGCTGCAATGTCGAGAAGAACGCGTACGCAAACGGAAGCCCGGTCATGAAGCCCGGAATCGCGTTCAGAAGGCGCGTCGTCGTCGGGCAGTGCGTCTCAAAGAGGTCGACCTTCTTGCCCTTGGTCACGTAGCTGAACCAGTCCCACTGGCCTTGGTGGAGCGCGTGCTCTTGGCCTGCAAGGACGTAGTCGCTCTCCTTCTGCGCATGGCGCAACGCGACGTACTCTTCGCGGATCGTGTCGAGGTTGTCCGTGAACGACTGCGTCCACGGAAAGTCCTTGGCTTCATGGAAGGGCTGCGCCTTCAAGCCCGGGAACATGAAGAGCGTCGGGCTCGGTCGCGGCTTGGCTACGCAAGCATGTGCCATGAGCCCGAGGTCCCATCGCGCTTAGGAAGCACCCGTCGTCAAGCAGAGCGCGCTGCGGAGGAGCGCTGCCTTGGCCATGCTCGTCTCAAAGATTGGTCCAGCCCAGAAACCTTGGTATGCTAATGTAAAACGGATATTTCATTCCACATACAATTCCCAAGTACAGTATATTTATCTATTTAAATATTAAGCATTAATGCTGCATACCTACTTCATGTATGAGGCAATACTCATATTAAAATTGTGTGGAATTGCGAGGTTGCAGTGGACTTATGAGGTCCAGGATGGTGGCAGCCGGGGCCGCCCGAGCCTGCGCTGCGACAACGACCAAACAGCAGCAGCTCGACCAAGAGACACATGATCCTTCATCAGCAAGCTTCCGAGCTGGCTCTGCCATGCAACTGCAAGGGCCCGCGACATCTTGCAGTGGTTTGGAACGCTTTGCAAGGCAGCCAGCGCCATGTCGCAAGCGATCCCGTCCCATCCATGGCATTGCCGCGCCTTGCGAAGCACATGCGCAACAGCCAGTAGACATGCTACCATGCACGCGCGAGATATATATGGTAACATCAGTTGTATTTGACCGATATTAGCTCGTTCGCAATATCACCGGGAGGTAGAGAGAGCGAAAGCGCTTAGGCGACGAGCGTCGAGGCCGTGGCGGATTCGTACTTCCAGTTGGGCGAAAGCTTGCGGTTCGTGCGGTAGTAGCGAGCGAGGCGGTGGATGCGCGACTCGATCAAAATAAGGCGGAACTTGGAGTCCTTGTCCTGGCGGTTGCGCTCAAGGTGCTTGCGGACAGCGACAGCCTTCTTGATGAGCTGGTACAAGTCCTCCGGGAGGCCAGGGGCAAGACCTAAAGGACGCAAACGACACCAACCCCGCATGTTCCATTCACACAATCAACATGTTGTGTGGCAGGCAACACCGTGGCACGACGACAATGGAGAGAGAGATGACGTGGCACAAGAGGGAGAATGGGTCGACGCAGATGAGATCATCGTCAAGACCGCTCAATAGCGTACCGTTCTTCTTGAGGATGCGGAGCACCTTCGAGCCCGTGATCGACTTGACCTGGGCAATGCCGTGCGAGTCACGGAGGATCACGCCGATCTGCGAGGGCGAGAGACCCTTCTTGGCGAACTTGCACACGTGGTCCTCGACGTCCTCGGCCGTGACCTTAAGCCACGACGGCGGCGTGCGCTTGTAGGGGCGAGCGGACTTGCTCATGCCCTTGCCGGCGGAATGCATGCGACCCATGGTGATGTACTTGTGTTTGACGAACGAAAAGTAATTCGGCTACGGAGCTGATGCTCGCCAGCGCCGGGGCACAGCCAGTGAACATTTGCACCAATGGCATCGAGGTAGCTTTTGCAGCCAATGGCATCGCAGTACAGAATTCTTTTTGACCAATGGTATGGCATGTGATGGTGCAGGCCGCTGGCACCAATGAACGACCGGGATTATAGCTGAGCCAATCCGAGGCTGCAGAAGTAATCCATTATAGCCAATCAAACATGGGCATGGGCTGGGCAGATACGTGCGAGCCACTTCGAGGAGTGGAATGTGCGTTTGACAACTTGATATCGTACGCACGACTTCAAAGCATGCAGTGTCAAAGAAGAAGGACCTGAAGTCTCTTGAGAAGGATGGCCGAGAACTCGATTCCAATATCAACATTTTAACCAATCCATGAATTCAATTCATATCCAATCGCGTTGCGACAAGGCATGTTTTCTGCCAATCCAAATCGGCTTGAGAAAGCAACGCTGATTGGTGGTTTAGAAAACAAAAGGATCATTTTAACCAATGACACATCAAAAGCATTCAACCAATGACAGAGCGCTGGGCCCGCCCAATCCGATGTCGCACTGGCGATTGGGTAATCATCATCGAGGGATTATGGCGAGGAGGATGCAGTCAACGGCAACTCGACACCGTTGCGGTCACGGGCGCCGAAAGACAACGCCGCCATCCCGCGCCCTCACATTCATTTTACAGCCATCAACACAGACGAAGCAACGTCTCATCGCCATGGGCCGCCCTCCTAGTCCTCTAGGCACGGCTGCATGTATATGGGCCAGCTGCCAGTCACAACGGCCTGCAGGTCACACCCAGGCGGTATAGTGCCACGTACTCGTATTAAATTTACACGGCCAGGCGACCATCCTATCGTGGCCCATACATACTCATGCATGCACGCGCGTCATTGCGGCGTGCGTCTGAGGGACGCATCCGCCTGATGAATGCTAATGAACATCCTCTGGATAGCCTGTCGCGGGGCCGTTGACGCACCTCTGCGTTGCTCGAGGTGTACGGGCTTCGCAGCGAGCTACGGCATACCACCATGTCGTCGGCGCGTGGCGTAGCAATCAACAGTCGCTTCATTGCCTCACGAACTTGGTATGCATCCTGTACGGCGCGGCCCACGACGCCGATGCTGTGGCATTGCCACGCGTCGTGTGATGCGCTCTACTTATAGCCGTCCTCGCCCTGCAAATGTGCATGGCTTTCGCAACGCATGGGTCCGTTACATGCGCGAGAGACCGGTGCATGCAGCGGTGTCGTACATGGGGCCCAGAGGGGCCCACAAGCCGCTGCCCTCTGCCCCAATGATTGCCATGGACTTCGCTTTGCATCGCCAAAATTGGAACAAAAACACGAAAACGTCGATTCCTCTGATATTTGATATCCATTTACAGAGGAATCCTTCAACTGCCGCGGGAAGCCCTATCCGCTGTCGACGTCTATATACTGAAACCAAGTCATTTCGGCAGGCTGCCTCCGCCACCACTGGCTCACTTTTTGATTTTTTCGACGTCTTGAGAATCATGCTCGCTCGCCGCTTGACCTCGAAGGCCCGCGGGTTTGTCGCGCCCGTCAACGGTAAGCCACCGCCGACGTGATGGACGACGACGACGCTCATCTACATGCCCATGTAGCCCGCTCGTTCTCGGCGGCGCCGTCGAAGGAAGACTTTTCGTCGCCGGACCACTACTTTGACGACGAGGTCAAGGCGCAGGTCGGCGACCCGTCGAAGCGCGCGTTCACCTACTTTATGATGGGTGGCGCCCGCGTCGCGTACGCGACGGCGGCGCGCCTCGCCGTGCTCAAGTTTGTGGGCACGATGTCGGCGTCGGCCGATGTGTTGGCGCTGTCGACGGCCGAGTTTGACTTGTCGTCGATCGAGGAAGGCTCGACGATCACGGTCAAGTGGCGTGGCAAGCCCATCTTCATCAAGCACCGCACGGACGCGGAGATTGAGGAAAGCAACAACACCAACTTGGCGGAGCTCCGCCACCAGGAAACGGACGCCGAGCGTGTCCAGGACCCCAAGTGGCTCGTCATTCTTGGTATCTGCACCCACTTGGGCTGCGTGCCGGCCTCGAACGCTGGCGAGTACGGCGGCTGGTTTTGCCCGTGCCACGGTTCGCACTACGATGTCTCGGGCCGCATCCGCAAGGGCCCGGCGCCGCTCAACATGGAGATCCCGCCGTATAAGTTTGTTTCGGCCCAGCGCGTCCTCTTGGGTTAATACCTCAAAGCGTTTGCGCCCATCCCTCTTCGTTCCACCACAATTAGATCCACTCCTTCTTAATACCAACCAGCCCTCTCGGTTATGATCTCGCCGTGTTGCTCGAGGCTGCATGTGTCGTTTAAGAGTCCTCTTGTACGTCTTAGCATCAGCGATCGGACGTATTCAGCCATGCATGCACACAAGGCCATCTCATGGGCTACTTGTACCACCGGCGACCGCACCCAGCACACTATAAGCTCTTAGACGAGTGCTCAACTCATCGCATATCAAAGATCTAGCAAGGCCACCGTCCGTCATGTGGACCTCGCTCGACTTTCCGACTTGAAATTGTACAGGTTGTCGAGGAGCCCATGGATCGTCGACGTGTTGTCGCTCATGATTGCAGCATGTGCTTTTTGGCGCGACGCGCCGGAGCGATACCTTGGTTCATCTCTTTCGCGTGCTCCCATTGCCACAGCCCACGACGGCCTCTCGATCCACAGCATACTGCTGCGGAGAGATATAACAGCAGCTTCACACCGCACCACAATGTACATTCGTGGTGCTCGATCGAGCAAGTGTCGTCGTCGTAGTCGGCCCAGCAGAGTGTCGTCGCCTGCGATGCCCTTCAAATCACCTAAAAAATCTCCCGATACCGGCGACGAGAAGAGCGTTGACGTTAAAGGAGAGGCTTGCGCCGCGGCAGCACGGGGGGCATGTCGGGTGCCGTATTGAGCTTGGTGTACTCTGCGATGAGCCACTTGTTGGACTCGAGCGCTTCGTCAAACATGGCTTGGTCCATGTACTCGAGGTAGTGGTGGACGTGGGCCTTGCGCTTGTAGAGCTTGAGGAACCGCGCCTGCATGCGCTCAAACGTTTCGCTAATAGGTCGTCGATCGTCGTCAGTTTGACACTAGAATGCGACGTGGATGCGTACACGATGCAGCCGTGGTTGGAGAGCGAGAGGACCGACGGGGACCCTTTGACACTCTCGAGGCTCGGGACACTGCACAGCCCAATCTTGAAGCCGTCTTTGTTCCAGTAGATGAGCCGCATCTCAGCCTTGAGTTTCTCCAAGTGGCTCTGGACGTCCGAGACTTGGACGTTGCCGCGGAAGAGAAGGCCACACGCCAACATGACGCCATGCGTGCGGGGACTTGTCTGGATGAGCTGGTTCTGCGCGTGGAAAATGTCGGTAAAGAGATGTCGGAGCCGGTGCGTTTGGTAGGCCGGCGACGTCGACTGCAGCGGCGAGAGACTCGAGAGGAGGTAGTGCAGCTTGGGGAAGGGCACGAGGTTGGTCGTGATCTCGTTCAGATCGACGTTGAGCGAGCCTTCAAAACGCATCGAGCTCGTCAAGTGGGTGAGTACACGCGCCACGATGCGGTTCATCGCATCAAACGACGACGACGTTGACGACGACGACGCAGGGACTTTCTAGCAGGTGCATCCTGTCACCGCGCTCGAGATGTTACCAGTCGGAGGTACCGCGAAGAGCGCTTCATTCTCAATCGGCAAGACGCAGTCCGCGTGCTCGGTGAGCTGGTGCAGCGCCAGCATGCTACGTCGATGCGATAGCACCCAACCGCATCTTTGAGTCGTCATGTACCTGTTGTAGGGCGACGTAATGACATCGTCGTCTTCCGATGGAAAGATGGCTAGTACATGAAAAGATGAGTCGGACGCGGTCATCGCGACTGTGGCGACCAGTCGTGAAGCGGTAGGCTTCCGGGTAGTGGTCTTCAAGCAAGCTTAAAATGTACGTGCCAAGGCCCGAGCCGGTCCCGCCGCCCATGGAATGCAACACAAAGAACGACTGGAGGGAATCTACGCATGTCAGTCGTCGCTTGTAGACGGACCGGCGTACCGCAGAGCTCCGTGGCGTGCTGGAGCTTCTCGAATAGCTGTCCTTGTACTGTGGCCCATAGAGCGCATACCCATGTGCTACATCAGCATCGCGATGATCCTTCTGTATGTAGGCCGTCATGGATGGTGGTGGGCGCACCCCAATTGTTGCCCGAGCCCGAGACGTCGGTGAGAAACTGGGACGAGTCAAAGAGCTCGCCAAGCGGGCCATGCAGCGTCTCGGCCACGGGCCCTTCCTCCATATCGATGAGAAGCGCGCGCGCGCGGAGGCCCTTGATGCGCTCGTGCGGCGGCAGGTCCTGGCCGTGGGTGTCGACGTTGCGGAAGAAGGTGCTCATGCTATCGTCAAAGCGGGCGTCCTTGGCATGCTAGCCAGCGCTGAGCACACAGGCTGGAGCGCCATGGCCTCGTACCTTGGCATGCTCGTCCAGCGCCATCTTCCAGAACTGGCGGCCGATCTGGTTGCCGCATTGCCCGACCTGGATCGTGATGAGCTCGCGGGGCATCTTGTTTGTCTGCCGTATCCGTATCCGGACACATGGCTTTTTCTTTTCTGTTCTTTTATTATCGGGTACGTTCTTTTATTGTCTTGCACGTTCTTTTACGAGGAAGCGTTCTGTACCGAAGCGTTTTGGGTCGGGTGCATGCAAGTCTGAGAACAAGGGAGGACGGCAAAAGAAGTGGGACGTTCAATCCGCGCTGGTCGAAGCCTTCGGCGTCTTCCATCTTTTTTCAGGATATAGTAGTACCTGCCTCTGAGTTGCTACAGAACGATCAACCGCGCGCTTCTGAGAAGCGTACTCGAACCATATACACTGCGAATTTGATGGCAGCAAGCGGCAGGTTCTCGAACGCGGACGAGAGATCCACACTCACCAGTGTGGCGGAGGCACTGTGCGGTTAGGGCTGGCGGGTGTCTCGGCGGACGGCGCTGTGTCCTGTCATGGCAACACTGCGGACAATGCGACATGGCGCGCGAGGTGATTGCGTTCGCTTGGCTACCGCGCTGCACCGCTGCTCCGACGACACTCTACATGCTACTCGGTGGTGTTAGGTGCAGCCTTGGTGCCGGTCCCACCGTGGATCGTATAGTTTGATCGTGGCGTCGGATGATGGTGCTTCGGAAATGATTGATTCGGACGACTTTGCTTGCTCCCATGCGCATCAACATTCGATTGCAGTCCTTCTCGCTTCCATGTCTTCTTGCTGGCGTCGACGCAGCGTCATGAATCAAAGACTTTCGAAAAAGATCATCGCAATGCGCCTGTATGGTTCAATCTTTAAGTCGTTGAAGCCAACGCCCCCTTTTATCCGGAATATACGGATAAAGATCCCGCCCCGACCAATCCCAACACAGAAACGCGCGCCTTCTGCACACTTTTGGTGGGGGACCGAACGAGTGGAAAGCATCAATCTCGCCTGCTACCTGGTAGTACGACGTCGCCGGTAATTTTTCAGACGAGAAACCCAGTCAAGTGGGTGGGTTGAAGCCACGCACGTCCATAGCACCTGGAAAAAAGCAGAAAGAAGATCGCGTGGCGGTCCCACGGCAGCTCACTTTCTGATTTCCCAAACCGGAGCAACATGGACCAGTACAGTGTACAAGCGACGCTTGCTGACGCCAAGGACAGCGTCGTCTTGCGCTGCGTGCGCCTCTCGAACGCAACGACGTACGTCATCAAGCGCACAGTCATCTCGCGCGACACGAAGGCGAGTCTCATTAGCGAAATGCAAGCCTACCGCGCGCTCCAAGGGCCCATCCGTACGCGTCATGTCGTCCGGCTCTTGCACGCGTTCCAAGAAAAACAGCACCAGCATCTCGTGCTCGAGCACTGCGCCAACGGCGACCTCTACCACGCCCTCCAGACGTCCCGTCCCGGCGACCGGACGATGTGCGCACACAAGTACTTTTCCCAAATCGCCGCCGGCCTCGGCTACATCCATAGCTGCGGCCTTGCGCACCGCGATCTCTCGCTCGAAAACGTTTTTGTTGACGCCAACGGCAATCTCAAGATCGGCGACTTTGGCCTCGCCATGCCGCTCCATGGCATCTCGACCCACGCCGTTGGCAAGTCGTATTACATGGCGCCCGAGATGCACGGACCACACGGGTACAGCGCGGCCAAGGTCGATGTGTGGTCGTTGGGTATTTTGCTCTGGATGCTCTTGACGGGTGTGCCGCTGGTTGAGGCGTCAAGCGACGACGACCAAGCATTTGGGTACTTGAAGCGGTGTGGCGTGCGCGGTCTCGTGGACGTGTGGAAACTGGAGATGCCGAACGACGCAGTCGAGATGCTCGAGATGCTGCTGGTCGTCGACCCGACGCGGCGACCTGATATGGCGACCGTCCTGCAGCACTCGTACGCGCTTGCTGACTAGAGGACACATTCAATTTAGCTAACTTAAGTCGATATTTTTTTCTTTTTGCATCGTGTTTTGTCAAAGCATCCGGATACAATGACGTGGCAGACAGGGAGGCCTCGAAGCGTCGCGGCTGCGCTGCCTTTCGCATGAGTGGCGCTCGAATGCATCTTGTTGAAGACGACCCAAAGACATACGAGCAGAATCAACGACGAGAGAGTTTAAGAAACGAGAGTGGGAGGTGTCGTCGTCCGCTTCGAAAAAGTACCGATGGACCTTGCCATGTGCTTGACGTGGCAGCACCACACGGCAATCTATCTGGAGATGCCGGATAAGGATCGCGAGTGGGAGCAATTGCAAGGGTTCCATATTTGGGAATCGTCGTAAAGTCATCCAGACCACGCTCGACATGACTAGAGCGTGGTGTTTCGCAGACGAGAGAGGATGCTTCCGACCAGCCGTGGCATGTCCCGTGCCGCGCATCTGCATTACGGCGCGCTCATCTTTGAATGCGGCGTCGACGGATTGGCTTCTTGACCATGTCGCACATCCCTACAGACTCATTTTGCAGTAGCTTAAAGGAGCTGCAAGCCTCATGAACTACCGGTACACGAGCCTGCGTCTCGTGTCATTGTGATGGGGTTGACGGGCCTCCCTCTCTCATATACGGATACAGTGGGACGCTTTTATGGAGCCCGGGTGGAGGCATTCCACAATTTACGGTCGTCTTGCTGCCATGGACCAGTACATCCTCGACGCGCCGCTCGCAAAGACGGCTGCTGGCAGCCACGTGCTCGTGTGTCACCACCGCCAGACGCACTCGCGGTGTGTCATCAAGCGTACTACAGAAAGGTCGTCCGAGGCGGCGCTGGGGACGGTCGAGCGAGACGCCTACTACCTTCTTGCTTCGAGTCACAAGCCACCTTTGCATGGCGCGCGCCATGTCGTCCGGCTCTTGCACGCGTTCCAAGAAAAACAGCACCAGCATCTCGTGCTCGAGCACTGCGCCAACGGCGACCTCTACCACGCCCTCCAGACGTCCCGTCCCGGCGACCGGACAATGTGCGCACACAAGTACTTTTCCCAAATCGCCGCCGGCCTCGGCTACATCCATAGCTGCGGCCTTGCGCACCGCGATCTCTCGCTCGAAAACGTCTTTGTTGACGCCAACGGCAATCTCAAGATCGGCGACTTTGGCCTCGCCATGCCGCTCCATGGGATCTCGACCCACGCCGTTGGCAAGTCGTACTACATGGCGCCCGAGATGCACGGACCACACGGGTACAGCGCGGCTAAGGTCGATGTGTGGTCGTTGGGTATTTTGCTCTGGATGCTCTTGACGGGTGTGCCGCTGGTCGAGGCGTCAAGCGACGACGACCAAGCATTTGGGTACTTGAAGCGGTGTGGCGTGCGCGGTCTCGTGGACGTGTGGAAACTGGAGATGCCGAACGACGCAGTCGAGATGCTCGAGATGCTGCTGGTCGTCGACCCGACGCGGCGACCTGATATGGCGACCGTCCTGCAGCACGACTATTGCACCGCATGTAGCCCTGATGATCGAATTTGAGTAGTATGCGTCAAAGTGTACATCATGAAACATTAATAAAGTTACGAATCTTGGTATATATCTTGCAACAGAGTTCTGTGTCTCTGGACGTCGCTCGTGGCAGCATGATGCATTCTTTAAGGGTTCGCTCATGGTATTATGCCCTGGATCGTATAGAGTGGTCAAAGTGTGTCTCCGCTGAGGCTTGACTGTGCGGGAGTAGTGGGAAGAAATCACGAGTTGCCGGTCGATCAAATAGCTTGGCGATGGACCACATAGTAAACTAAACCCATAACGTTAGGGTAATTCCGGTGTAATATACCGCCTGAACAGAGTGGTCAGGGTGGTAATGGCTTCTTCGCCTAGACTCGCGTCGCTCAGCACGCTGCGCACAAGACCCGTAGGCTCCTCACATCATCCCACACAAGCCATTAATGCACCTCGCACGACGCAACAGCTTGGCTACACGAGCACCTTGGCTCCAGCGTCTGCTACCCATTCTTTGTCAGTACTAGTACGTCATTTTAAGGCCAATTTATCAAGCGTCCCTCACAATGGAATATAGGCATGTGTATTTTGTCTATCGAGCGACACACATCCTGAAACGCACTCGATGGTATCCGGATAGGTCTTGTTGAAGTGACGCGACCGAGATCTCGTGTAACTAAGCCAGGGGCATCGTCGCCACGCGTGCTGCGGAGTTGCAGCTTGAGATTTGGGGGTGTGAGGAGTGTGGTTGGCGCAGGCCGACATGATGATGTGGTCTTCGTCCGGACGTGATGCACACGGTTGCAATTTCCCGTTGCTGACGCCACGATGGACCGGTCATCTTTCTCTTCTGGCGCGTCGCTGGATTGCGATGGGCTGAGTCACGAGCTCGTTCTTTGAAAATCGTTCGGGCGAGGTCCGTCGTGCGTGCGCTTGCGTCAGCTTACGATCGTACGCAGGCGCGGACGACGATGCGCCCGTTGCAGGTGCACTTCTTCATCTGAGCTCAAGATACTTGGAAAATGCTGCGTTTCGCGTCAGAGAGGATGGCGAGCAGGATAAGCAAGTGGCAATCGCCAGAGGGTACGACTGCGGTGCGAGTCCCACGTCCGTCAAAGACACGCCACCACCGCCGCATGTCTTTATACCGCATGACGTGGCAAGCGTAGAGGAGCGCACACATTCTGGACGATGGTCAGGACTTGGTACCAACGTTGCAGCACATTACAGGGCCAATTCGAGCTCCATCTCGAACGAGCGACACCCATTTCCTTGCATCCTACGCATCGCGGGCCGTTGGTAGCGTCATGACAGCGGTCGCTTCTGGAAGGGCACCAACGGCTCGCCCATGGTGACGCACAGCGACTGGTGACGCAAGCAGAGGAGGTGTCTTCGCTCGTTGTACGCTGTGTCGAGAATGGGTGCGCTGAGATTTTCAGTGCAAAGGCGATCGCGCACGTCGACACGGGCGAAAGCGATATATGCCAGAGGTGGACCCTGTCTATGACGTCGGCGTCTCATACGACGAGGTGGGATCGCAAAGCAAATGTACAGTAGTCGTCGCTGATGCAGACTCGATGATGCTGCGCCCGGATCGAAGGACCCGCGAATTGGCGTTGAACCCGGCTATCTGCGGGACGCTCGAACGCCAGAGATGTTGGCATTCTCCGCCTTTTTGCGAGGCTTGGAGCCACCCATTTCTCGTACGCGGCTGGAGATTACCAGCGACACGATGGAATGCGCTAGGGTGCGGTAATAGTAGAGTGATCGAGTTGTCGTTGATGTTACTCTAAGATATGCGACCTCGCTGCGTTGGCGAGTTCGCCTGCTGTGTCAGGCGCAGCGCTCGTGCTGGCATCCGATTTGCCCGTCTTTGCCAATCAGAAACCGGCGCTCCAAAATGCACCAATCATATCGCGGCATTTGGCGGCCCAAAGATCCAGAGTGGGCCAAATATTTCTGAGGCATAGCGTGTTTTAAACAGCGCGCGTTTCCAGCGTGTCTGGGATTTACATGGGGTTTGTCCCAATCATGGAGCGGTCAGTCCACCCCACACGCCCATTTGAGCTGCATCGATGCTATCCACGCCATGGATGGATCAAATTATACTAGTAGGTACTAAAAGACTGCACACGTCATGTATATGTCTCTTTCGATAGTGCCGGTACACAACTCGATTGCGGGCGTTCGTTTAGAGGCCAGACGGGTGCTTGGTCAATGGGGGGCTTGGTCTGTGTGCGAAAGGCCACTGGTGGTGGCCATTCTTGAGACTTGCGTGCTTCCGTGCGTTGCAACGCCATCACCCGATATCCAGATCGTCTCGCCGAGTGGTTGTCAACGCTTGCTCGACGGTTTCTCTATAAACACGCAACCTTTTTTGCGATTTGGCGCTTGGCGGTGGCGCGGACGGCGCAACCATCAAGTGCAACGGACCGCTCGGACCTGTCGCGGGCCGTGTCACCAACCATTCCCGTCCACACGACCCGTTCGTCCTACGGCAACGACCAGAGACTTCGTCTTCCTTCTCTGACGCTGCTTGCAACCCGTTTGCATAACACTCGCAGCGTGTGTTGCATTGCCCCTCCACGATGAGTCCGAGATCGCATCGTCTCAGACAGTATAGGCATGTGCTCCAATTTCTCTGTGGCAATGCGTTTTGTCCTATTTGAACCGCCCCAACCGCAAGAAGCGTCCGTGCTGTGTCGACTCTAGTACGTACATCCCATGATGCGCCTTGGGGGCAAAACGGGACAAACGGGACAAACCTTGCAAGCATGTTTAAAACCCAGGTGGTCGCATCGAACATTCTTTGCCACGGGCGTAGAAAACACACACCGCGACGTGCGTAATGGAGTGTACAAAGAAACAAGGGATCGCAACCGCGTTCAGTTTGCACTTTGGAATTTGCCTCGACTAAGAACACATATATTTGGTCGGGAGCATGAACGCATACAGCATCGACCGGATCCTTGCGCCGGCCATTTACGGCCAGATCCTCCTCTGCACGCACAAGGCGACGGCGGCCAAGGTCGTCATCAAGCGCCTTGACGCCAAGACCGTCGTCAAGTCGCCGACGATCCACGAAAGCATTGGCATGGAGAAGCTCACGTACCACACACTGTACCGCGCGTCGCCGTCGAATGGCGCCGAGTTTGTGCTGCGGCTACTTGACGCGTTCGAAGAAGACGGCTGCGACCACCTCGTGCTCGAGTACTGCCCGCGCGGCGAGCTTTTCGATGCGCTGAAGGCGTCGCCGAATGGCCGCTTCCAGCCCGTTGACGCCCAGCGCTACTTTCGCCAAATCGTGCGCGGCCTCCAATATCTCCACAGCAACGGGTTTGCCCACCGCGATATCTCGCTGGAAAACGTCCTCCTCGACAAGAACGGCGACTGCAAGCTCTGCGACTTTGGCCTCGCGGTCCAAGTGCCCGTCAAGGACTTTGAGTTTGCGGCCGTTGGCAAGACGTACTACATGGCGCCCGAGATGTACACGGGCGGCGGCTACGACCCGACCAAGGTCGACGTGTGGTGCCTCGGGATCCTCCTCTTTATGATGCACACGGGCCTGCCATTGCTCGAGCGCGCGCGCGACGACAACACGATTTTTCAGTACGTCAAGCAGTACGGTGTCTACGGCGTGATTCGGTCGTGGCAGCTCGACCACCTCTTGCCGCCCGTCGCGCTCGAGCTCCTCGAGCTCCTCTTGACCGTCGACCCCACCCGCCGCGTGACGCTCGATAAGGTGCTCGCGCACCCGTACCTGACGTCGCCCGTCGTCCTGTAATCTTCCCATCTATACTACTATTTAATTGATTTTTTCGCGTTGCGCAACTCAAATAGTAGCTTCAGGATGCAGTGTCCGTGGCGCAGCTGCTGCGTCTCTATTGGCCCGTAATTCTCTTAGACAAGTCGAGTTGAAGGATCTGCACCCATGGGTGGGTTCATTGACACTCGTTGCTTTGCATCAACACGCTGGCATCAACACGCAACGTTTACGAGCAGCATTCGACACGCGACGTCGCATTGCAGTCATGTCGTTATGGTCGCCGCCGCTGCGACGTGCTTCTACCAGTGTACCGGGCAGGGCACGGTACCACTTCGTACCGTGGAGTAGCAAGTCGGTAGCGAGCGAGTGCACTTGATAGCGCAGCTGCTGAGCGCCGGCCAAGCCACCAAGAGGCCGTGACGACGATCATTCACTTACCTTTCCGCGTCGACATTGTCTTCGGTTGTGTGACGCGGAGGCTGTCCATGAACCATGAGGTATGTACAACCGTCTCGCTCGTTGGTTCGTGCGTGGGACGACCGGAATCGCAGGATAGAACGTGCGGCCACCCATCGCGACACGTCAGCAGTGACACCAACTTGCAGCTTCGCAGACGCCACCCGCCTCGTCGTGTAAGTAGAGTCCCTCGGCATATCTAATGCGTCGGCCAGAGATTCCGTTCTCGCTCGCCCATGAACGGACAGGACAGCGCGAGGAATGACGGTCGGCATGTCGCAGCACCTGGTCCGCCAATCAAATCGCGCGTGCGGCCGGTTGGGGCCAATCAAAGGGCCCATCGTGACCGTTGCCTTTCTTCTCGCTGCGAATCCAGCTGCAGCCAGCAAAACTTTCGCCGTCAACTCATACACTGTAAGCGGCGTCCGTCCTTTCTTTGAGGCAAACACGAAGTTGGCTCATTTTCCGATTTGCCGCCAAGCCGCACATGATGAACGAGTATACGATCGACCAAGTGTTGATCCACGGCTTGTATGGGGACCTCCTTCTCTGCACGGCCAACGCCTCCAACGTCCAATACATCATCAAGCAAATGAACATGCGCATGGCCGAGCACGAGACGACCGACGCGACAAGCGAGAATGGCATTGAGAAGGAGCTTCAGGCGTACGCACTGATCCAGTGCGCGACCAAATCAAAGAACGCCAAGAAGGGCGCCAGTGCGGTGGTCGGTCTCGTCGACAGCTTCACCGAAGACGGCTACGTGCATCTCGTGCTCGAGTATTGCGTCCAAGGCGACCTCTTTGAGATGCTGCAGAACAGTCCGCGTGAGCTCTTTTACTGGGACGACGCGCAGCGCTACTTTGACCAGATTGCCCACGGGGTTGCGTTTCTGCACAACGAGTGCGGCCTCGCCCACCGGGACATTTCGCTCGAAAACATCCTAATCGACGACGTCGGCGACTGCAAGATCTGTGACTTTGGCCTCGCGAGCATCGACTGCAAGCGCGAAAGCCGCCCGGTCGGGAAGCGCTACTACATGGCGCCCGAGATGTACGGCGACGACGGCTACGACCCGATGGCCGCTGACGTGTGGGCCCTTGGCGTCCTTCTCTACATGATGCACACGGGCTTGCCCCTGGTCGAGAAGGCCGCAACCTCCGACCGCATTTTTGTCTACATTCAGACACACGGCCTTCGCGCCATGGTCAAGGCGTGGCGCGTGCAGCGGCTCGTGCCCATGCAAGCGCTGGACTTGCTCGAGAAGATGCTCGTCATCGACCCGACACAGCGCATCACAATGGCCGACGTTGTGCATCACCCGTACGTCGCATCGCCCTTGGTTGCTTAGACCTAAAACCCGCTTTTTTAGTAATTTATTCAACAATTTTCGTTGGAACGTGTAAAGAAGAGACTCCTCGCACCCAATCAGCATTAGCATGGACACGGACGGTATCATACTACGCAGCGAGAGTGCGCGTCTTTGGCGTCGTCTCGAGAAGGTAAACAGCATGTGCAAAAGGCGTCAAACGGACGGGTCCTGGGTAAAACGCTCGTGGCCGTCCGATCGCGAGCCGTGAAGTACATATGGCGCGTTACACACGCGTGCGGTCGCCTTTAGCCCACGCGGTGGGTTATACGTGGAGGCAGGTTTAGCGCGTTGAACCCGCACGGGGGCTGGGCTGGGTGCCAAACGAAGCTACTGCAAATCGCAAGCGAATGGGCAGTGCGTGCTGGCCTATTCACCGGACGCAGCTACTCGGCGCCGCGCACGAGATTCAAGCACCTGCGCCTTGCAGACTTCCACCAACACAGCTGCACCACGCAGCGTGGATTTATTTGAATGTCGTGACGCCAAGGCCGCACCACGAGCTCGCTACACCTCAACACTTTGCTGCTGAATATTTTAGTGTTGTTCCCATCATCATGAACGCGTTCCGCCAAAATGAATGGCTCCACGGCCACTTCATTCGGGCCAGAGTGACCCACACCCAAAGAGCAGCACCACTGCCGTCCGCGTCAAGTAGAAGATTCATCACCGATACTACCAGTTGAGCAAGTATCAGCATCGACCCACCTCCATGGATTTCAGCGAACCGCCCCGAGAAATTACCCCCAATTCATCGAGGCGACGAGAAAACAAGAAACTTTTCACACAAAATTGACAAAAATGGGATCGTCTTGCAATAACCACGTGCAGCGACGCTACAACTATTCTACTCGTTTGAGAATCAATCGATTTCTAAAGCTCAAAAACATCGTCTCTACCGCGACGGAACATTGCTGCCGGACGATAAACTCCTGCACGTTGAAGAGCGTTTAGCTGCCGAAGTTCGACACATTTCTACCACGTACTAGTAAATCTTGGTAAGTGGAGTCTTTAGTCTGTACAAAGGTATCATCAATCCATATCCTATGAGCCCACTAACAGTGGCTGGCATACAATAATGGCTCCTGACAACCCCCCATGATGGCTCGAAAAATACAGCCAATGGGTTGGACGGATTGAGACTCAACGCACTCTTCTACAACTCATGTGTAGGCAGATTTACGAACTACCTAGCTTAGAAGTTGTACAAGGGTAGCGCTCATGCTCAACCGAGTCCACGTTTCGATCGCCCTCCAGCAGCACAAGCCCTCGCACCATTGCACCCCGCGCGTGCTCCGCAAAGCCGCACTGCGGAGACGTTACCACTAACGTGTCATCGATTCGCATGCATCGAGGTCGCCCCGCAGGTCGCCCCGTGTGATCCGCACACTGCCCGAAAAACGCAAAATAAAATGGACTCCGATGCTCTTCTCTCTCTTGTTGCATGCTGTGTACAAACAATGTTTACTCAGCCCGACTTGTCGTATGCGCAAAGCCCAAATTCGTGACGTCGATCGATCATTGGCGATCACTTAAATCGCCGGGGCTCGTGATTAGTACAGTAACCGCCCCGCTGTCCCGCTGCGGAGCATAAACGAAGGGTCACGCCTTCTACATCGTCGCTACAGGGGATACACGGTAGGTGCTGCCTGACACGAAGTCGTTGCTTGCTTCAACGTCCTTTTTTGTGCCGTTGGTTTGCGACGCGATCGCGCACCCGGTGTCTTATCGTCTTAAAATGTGTAGACGTCAATCGATCATCGGTGATCAAGTACATCGCCGCAACTCGTGATTCGTACAAGAACCGTCCCGCTGCGTAACGTCATAACCGCAGAAAAATAGAGACTATGGTACCCTGCAACCGTAGGGTCCCGTCATTTTGGGGTCCCGTAGTCTCTATTTTTACAACGCCATGGCTTTAGTCAAGAAGGCTGAAATCTAGTCGACATCTTTTAGTCTAGCGGTATAGACACTGGTTTACCACCAGGTAGATCCGGGTTCAAGTCCCGGTGAGATCCCTACTTTCTGACTGGTTATGAGCCCAATATACGCACTTTCCCATGCGCGTGTACCACACTCTTCCTCACTCTCATACTCACTTGGTTACACTCTCCTCTGTTACGGGGCAGTACAGACGGCAGATGGCTTCTTGATGTGACACTCTCTCTTCTCCTCTCTCACTACTCCCATCGATCAATCATTGGCGAGCGCCTGAATCGCCGCTGCTTGTGATTAGTACAGAAACCGTCACGCTAGTCGACATCTTTTAGTCTAGCGGTATAGACACTGGTTTACCACCAGGTAGATCCGGGTTCAAGTCCCGGTGAGATCCCTACTTTCTGACTGCTTTCGTGATCTTTTCTCTCATACCACACCACTATCATTTTTCAACTCTTCGCACAACATGCAACGCTTTGTCACGACCTCGACGCTAGCAACCACGTCGGACGGCGCTGTCCTGCTTGCCTACGACACTGACCGCGCCACCACGTGCGTCATCAAGCGCACGCGCCTCTCGCGCTCGACGCACGCCGCCATCGCGAGCGAAGTGCGCGCCTACGACGTCCTCCACGCCAAGGCATCCGACCACATCCTGCGCTGCTACAGCAGCCACATGGATCGCAAGCGCGCGCACCACTACCTCCTCGTCGAGCACTGCGCCAAAGGCGATCTGTACAACCACCTGCATGATCTACCCATGCACAAGTGCACGCCCGAGCTCGCGCAGCAGTATTTCATGCAGATCGCTCGTGGTCTCGCGGCCATCCATAGCTGCGACCTCGCCCACCGCGATCTCTCGCTCGAAAATGTCTTTGTCGATGCCAACGGCCAACTCAAGATCGGCGACTTTGGCCTCGCGACGCCACTCGCAGCCACGGCTACACATGCTGTCGGGAAGAGCTACTACATGGCGCCCGAGATGCACACCAGTGGCGACTACAGCGCGGCGACCGTCGACGTCTGGTCCCTCGGCATCGTGCTCTGGATGCTGCTCACCGGCGTCACGCTCGTCGAGTCGTCGTCCGAGGCAGACGAAGTGTTTGGCTTCCTCCAGCGCGTCGGTATCCGGACACTCGTTCGCGCATGGGGACTGGCACTGCCAAGCGACGCTGTCGAGATGCTGGCGCTGCTCTTGGTCGCGGACCCGGCACTGCGTCCGTCCATGGCCACGGTGCTGCAGCATCCATACTGCCAGCCGCGTACCACTGGCGATGTGTCGTCGCGGTAGAGATGACGTTTTTGAGCTTGTGAAATTGGTCGTTTGTCGTTCCGATAGAATTGTCATATTGTAGAGTGATATAACAAGATATGGATTGATACCTTTGTACAGACTAAAGACTCCACCTACTAAGATTTACGTCTTGAATATTTGTCCAAAGTCGGCAGCCATAAGCTCTTCAACGTGCAGGAGTTCATCGTCCGGCAGCAGGACATTCCGCCCGTCATTGGGCGCGAGCTTGTACAAAGGATCCGTGGCTTGGTTGATCTCGCGAGGGTGGTGTTCGCATGTGCACGTAAAACGTGCCGCGAGCTCCCGCGCCTGCACATGCAGCTTCTTCGAGCATTTTGGACCCTGAAGATGCGCTTCATTTGCTGCATGAGCAACATGCTGTCGCCGCGTGCCGCGAGGTGTGTCGCTTCCAGTCGCTGATCTAACTGGAGCGCCGTGATCAGACCGTCGTACTCTGCCTCGTTGTTGGTTGACGCGGTAGCAAGGTAGTTGCTTTGGTACACCACTCACTGGCGTGTCGCAGTCAAGAAACGAGCGAGCCACTGACGCCGCAATGCGGGTCTGTCCGAGCAGCGCCGTCAAAAAGTACGCGGCCCCTGCAAGCGAGGTCTCGTGGAACACCGTGTCGAGAACAGCGTGCTCGCCACGTTGCTGCACGAGCGACTTGAAGCGCCTCGCACGAGTCCAAAGTGACGAACCGAACGTGCGCGTGGTCGGGAGCGCGTCGTCAGGAGCATGAAGCTTGCTGCATCTTTGGTTCCAGAGCTTCCAGAGCATCTGCGAAGCTAGCTGCCCAACGCGATCGAAAACAGGGCCGTGTAAGCGCCGAGGGCAACAAATATTTTATTGCCCTCGGCGCCAATGCGGGGCCTGCAGCAACCACGCCGGCGCGCCCAGCTGCTCGTGCGAGACAATCGAGCGTACATGGTCGGCGACCACGATGCGCTGCGGAAATCGTTATCGTAGGCGAACAGATGAACTATGCAACACAGCACGAGCACTGATTGGCTTGCACGTCCGGATAAGGGGGTAGGGGAAGAGGGCTAGTGAAATGGTGTAGCTGAAAATCAAAACCTTATGGAAATCGCAAATTGCCTCGCCTACGATCAACGCCGCAACACGCTGCACCTTCAACACTTGCTGCGTAAGATATTGGCCATGTACGTCGACCTCGTTCCCATCATCATGAACGCGTTCCGCCAAAACGAATGGCCCCACAGCCACCGCATGCAGGCCAGGGCGACCCGCACCCAAATAGCAGCACCACTGCCGTTCGCGTCAAGTCGAAGATTCATCACCGATACTACCAGTGGAGCGACTATCAGCATCGACCTACCTCCATAGATTTCAGCGAACCGCCGCGAAAAATTACACCCAATGCATCGAGGCGACGAGAAAACAAAAACTTTTCACACAAAATTGACAAAAATTGGATCATCTTGCAATAACCACGTGCAGCGACGCTACAACTATTCTACTCGTATGAGAATCAGTCGATTTCCCAAGCTCAAAAACGTCATCTCTACCGCGACGACACATCGCCAGTGGTACGCGGCTGGCAGTATGGATGCTGCAGCACCGTGGCCATGGACGGACGCAGTGCCGGGTCCGCGACCAAGAGCAGCGCCAGCATCTCGACAGCGTCGCTTGGCAGTGCCAGTCCCCATGCGCGAACGAGTGTCCGGATACCGACGCGCTGGAGGAAGCCAAACACTTCGTCTGCCTCGGACGACGACTCGACGAGCGTGACGCCGGTGAGCAGCATCCAGAGCACGATGCCGAGGGACCAGACGTCGACGGTCGCCGCGCTGTAGTCGCCACTGGTGTGCATCTCGGGCGCCATGTAGTAGCTCTTCCCGACAGCATGTGTAGCCGTGGCTGCGAGTGGCGTCGCGAGGCCAAAGTCGCCGATCTTGATTGGCCGTTGGCATCGACAAAGACATTTTCGAGCGAGAGATCGCGGTGGGCGAGGTCGCAGCTATGGATGGCCGCGAGACCACGAGCGATCTGCATGAAATACTGCTGCGCGAGCTCGGGCGTGCACTTGTGCATGGGCAGATCCTGCAGGTGGTTGTACAGATCGCCTTTGGCGCAGTGCTCGAGGAGGAGGTAGTGGTGCGTGCGCTTGCGATCCATGTGGCTGCCGTAGCAGCGCAGGATGTGGTCGGATGCCTTGGCGTGGAGGACGTCGTAGGCGCGCACTTCGCTCGCGATGGCGGCGTGCGTCGAGCGCGAGAGGCGCATGCGCTTGATGACGCACGTGGTGGCGCGGTCAGTGTCGTAGGCAAGTAGGACGGCGCCGTCCGACGTGGTTGCAAGTGTCGAGGTCTTGACAAAGCGTTGCATGTTGTGTGAAGAGTTGGAAAATGAGCTGAGGCGTCGGTGGTGTGACCGACGCCGACGAGAGATAAGATCACTCGTGTCACGTTTTTTGTGGTAAAAATACAAAAGACGGGACCCTGCGTTACGTCCCACAGCGGCTGTACTAATCACAAGCCGCGGCGATTTAAGTGATCACCAATGATCGATCAACGCCCTAATCATCGCCTAGAATTAGCGACAAGATGCTTGATGGGCGACCCAGTAGCTAACGAGCAGCACAAAAAGGTGGTTAAAGGGAGCAACGACCATGTGGCTGGCAGCTCCTACCAAGTATATCGGCTCCAGCGTCGTGCGCGGAGGACGACAGACACGGCGAAACATGCAGCGATGACCAGAGTGATCATTCTGCCGAACGTTTCAAGGCGTAAGAATAGCCACACCGGCGTGTGATTAGTATAGCGGGCCCGGAATTCAGCCATCCATCATCGTCGTCTGATACCTTTCTCTCGGCCGTTTCAAGCTGTCGGTGAGTGCAATGTCGCTAACCGCCAATCACGTTGCTCTTTGGGCTTTAAGGCTGACATAAATCATGCTTCTAATGTGCATCAACCAAGCAATATACCTGGTGATATTGTGATGCTCAAGTTCACGCCTTCACCGACGCGCGTCGAGCTCTACCGAACCATGTCGTGGTCAATCGCAGCAGATCTTTGACTGGTAATCCGGCTATTGTTGGCGGTGATCCCGCTCATGTGATACACTGCCCCACCACCGAGACTTCTGTAGCCTTGGCTCCAGCGCACCCTTTGGAGCTGAAAATACATACCGTGCGCAAACCACGAGCCAGCGCACATGCAAAGGCACCACGAGCCAGCTTTGTCACTACGACTGTAGTGTGAGATGGAAAGGACGCACTGGGAACGCTAGGATCGCACAGCGAATCTCTTCTTTGGCGTACATACGAGCTAGCTTGTCCGCTCGTATTTGACGGTTGCAAAAGATTGGCATAAGGAAAAGTGTAACTGTTAGTGATCACAGCCGACGCCATGACAAGCATCCGGATATGTGGCGTAGAATCCGGATGTCGGTCGCGATCGATGCAACGCACTCTTATCGGGTGTCCTATACTACAGGTACATGTAGTGTCCTCGTTGATTGCTGCTCAAAGTTTGACATGCTGCCGTCACTATAGCATAGCAGGTGCGATGGGCACTCACTGTTGCTTGAGCTGAGCAACCGCGCCGTCCGAGGTCCCACAACATGTCCGTGGCCACTGGAATGATCCCAGCGTTGTGGCTCCGCGCATAGAGCGGGGTTGTGAAAATGCTATGTCATTCAAATGAATTCATCGCAAAATCACCCAGTGCCCAGGGATGCCACAAATCAGCACGTTGAACCTCTGCCCACCACTAGCGACTTGATGTTGTTGAACTGAGTTATAGTACATGCAATTATTAAGATATGGTGGACTTCCTAATGCGCGCGTGAGGCGTGGCCAGTGCGTCAAGCGAGGAGCGTTATTGGTCGTGATTTGGGATTGTGCAAGGGACCAGGTAGCGTGCACACCAAGGATTGCCTCGGAGAGCGATGAGCGACGGGTCAAGCGAAGGCACCACAGCGCAACGAGCCAAGTGCCGGACATGTGCTTCCAGTGAAACACCTTGGCGTCCCCGAGACCTTCTACGGGCAACCGGGCCGAGTGGCCTCGTTTGAACCTTTACGGCAGCCAGCTCACGTCCTTTCGCGGTACGGTGACTTTGTGTACAGGATCGCGTTGCAAGCCGTGGTTGTCCGATCCAGCTTGCACTTTCTCGGCCACGATGCTCGACACCGCCTTCTCTGCGATGCGCAAGCCCAAGAAACGTACGACCATCTCTTGGTGCGCTGCCCATACGTCCGCGCGATCTGCACCGGTGCGGGACATTTTGCAGATACAACTCCCGATATCGGTTGCTAGCTTTCTCTACAACGACGTCGCCGCGCTGTATTGGGCCCACAAGTCGTCCATTCGTGCCCTCTGGCCGATCTTACGCGCTTGCGTCTGGTATTGCCTTTGGCTCGAACGCAACAACCGCGTCTTCCGCACGACGCAGACGCAACTTCCCGCTGCTGCGCTCGCGATCCGGGCCGCTACTACCGCACGACTGCAACGCCAGTCAAATTTCGGTCGCTGGCGGTTGCCGGTCAGTCAAATCTCCATCGTCGCCGCTAGAGCGGCGCGGGGTCCGAACTTGACGAGCCATGGGGGGCACTGGGTATGATGCGAGATGAGCGATAAGCAGCGAACAAGAGCGGTCTCGAGCAGCCGGATCCAGCGACGAGCTGGCTGCAGCGCTGGAAAAAGTCCTGGTAGTTGTTCGTCGAGTTCAGCGACTGTGAGTCCAAGGACTTGGAAGCTGTCTACGTGCATGTAGCCTTGAGCGACGAGCGTCTCGATGTGCACGTCGCGATCTTTGGCGAGCCACTTGAGCTTGCTTGACGCAGGAAGATGCGCGTTGTGCCAGAGCGGAAGACGATGAAGTACGAGCGGAGCTGGGCGAGGCGAGCCATGCATGGTGTAGACGTGTGAGAACCATTCGATGAGAGCCGATGGTCAATGTTCTGGAAAGCTGGGCGATGCGAGGAGAGCCTTGACTGTCGGGTGATCCTTGTTGGCGTGGAGGAGGTCACCAAAAGCCCCCACGGTTGGTACGCCTCCTCCATGAGCGCGACACCTGCCGTGGTTTATGGGGACGGGTCTTCTGGTTGACTCAGCCATGCCTTGACAAATCGAAGCGACGTTGAGCGAATGCGCGATTTCCAAAGGTCGTGCGCGTGCGAGAGGCCGAGGCCACCATGGCGCTTGGCTAAGAAGACAAGTTGTTGAGCAAAGTGCCGATGCGTCCGACGTCGAGCGAGCGTGAGTGGTTCGTCGTGGATGTACTGGAGCGTGAGCCGATCGACTTGAGCAGCAAGCGAGGCGTTGGGAGGAACCCACGCGAGCTGATACCAAAGGACTGGCAGGCAGACAGCCTGCAAGATGACTACCTTGCCAACGAGCGAGCGCATTCGGTGCGACCAAAGCTGTAGATGGTCTCGAAACTTCTGTAGCGCGTAGTCGTAACGGGCTTGCGGAGCTAGGTGCAGCGCGACCAAGATGCCTAGCGCTTTCGCAGGCGCTATCGGCGTGACCACGTGTCCCTTTTCACGAAGGGGCGTATCTTGCGAGCCGTTGTAGAGCTAGTATTCTTGATTTCGACGCCAACAAAGCAACCCGCCTCACGTCACCCGAGGTCATGGCAGTCATGAAGGCATTACGCCCTTTGCCACCAGAGCAAGCTCGCCATTGCGAAAGGTGGCTTCGAAGAAGCGGCGCCGTTATGTGCACGACAGCTAGTACGTGGTCGGCTTCAAGAGGATACGATAGTTTCTCTGTCCTGCTAGGTGCATGCGAGACGTCCGCCACCATAACAGGCGACATTGACGGCAAAAAAGTGAGTAAGGTGGAGAGCCACGGCTCCTTTCGCTACATTTGAATATCAATAAAACATATGATGGCAAAAATGTCAATGATTAGATCTTAAAGCTTCAACTACGACGTAGTTATCGAGTACGTAGTACTCGATAACTATTCTATCTGAACAACAAACGACCAATGTCACAAGCTCAAAAACGTCATCTCTACCGCGACGACACATCGCCAGTGGTGTGCGGCTGGCAGTACGGATGCTGCAGCACCGTGGCCATGGACGGACGCAGTGCCGGGTCCGCGACCAAGAGCAGCGCCAGCATCTCGACAGCGTCGCTTGGCAGTGCCAGTCCCCATGCGCGAACGAGTGTCCGGATACCGACGCGCTGGAGGAAGCCAAACACTTCGTCTGCCTCGGACGACGACTCGACGAGCGTGACGCCGGTGAGCAGCATCCAGAGCACGATGCCGAGGGACCAGACGTCGACGGTCGCCGCGCTGTAGTCGCCACTGGTGTGCATCTCGGGCGCCATGTAGTAGCTCTTCCCGACAGCATGTGTAGCCGTGGCTGCGAGTGGCGTCGCGAGGCCAAAGTCGCCGATCTTGAGTTGGCCGTTGGCATCGACAAAGACATTTTCGAGCGAGAGATCGCGGTGGGCGAGGTCGCAGCTATGGATGGCCGCGAGACCACGGGCGATTTGCATGAAATACTGCTGCGCGAGCTCGGGCGTGCACTTGTGCATGGGCAGATCATGCAGGTGGTTGTACAGATCGCCTTTGGCGCAGTGCTCGAGGAGGAGGTAGTGGTGCGTGCGCTTGCGATCCATGTGGCTGCCGTAGCAGCGCAGGATGTGGTCGGATGCCTTGGCGTGGAGGACGTCGTAGGCGCGCACTTCGCTCGCGATGGCGGCGTGCGTTGAGCGCGAGAGGCGCGTGCGCTTGATGACGCACATGGTGGCGCGGTCGGTATCGTAGGCAAGCAGGACAGCGCCGTCCGACGTGGTTGCCAGCGTCGAGGTCTTGACGAAGCGTTGCATGTTGTGTGTGGAGAAATGTAAAATGAGCTGAGGCGTCGGTGGTGTGACTGACGCTTACGAGAGTAAAGATTACGAGTGCCACGCCGTTTGTGGTAATAAAATATAGAAGGTGCGACCCTTCGGTTACGTTCCGCAAGGGAACGGTTACTTTACCAATGAGAAGCCGCAGTAATTAAAGTTCGTGTAAATGACTGACCGATGTGGCTTCTCACCTACATTTTGTCGCTGAAATGAGCTATTTCGATGCGAATATAGAGATAGTAAACTTCCTAATGCGCTCGTGAGGCAGGCCGGTGCGTTAAGCGAGCCTACAATTTGATGGACGACAAGATGCTTGGTGCGCGATCCAGTAGCAAGCGAACGACATATAAGGTCTTGAAGAAAGCAACGACTTCGTGCTCTGCAGAACGTGCAGCGAATCACCTCCGGCGCCAGTCCCGAGGATGATTAGACAGGAGCGAAACATACAGTGATCACTGTGCGGGACATTCGGGGCGTAAGAATAGCCGCCTCGAAGTACCAGTGCGCCTTGTATTACAATACTGCAATCCAGCCATCCACCATGGTCCGATCGATACCTTTCTCTCGGCCGTTTTCCAAGCTGTCGCAGAGTGCCGTTTCACCCGCAGCCAATCGCGTTGCGACGCGTGCTCGAGGGTTCTCATGAATCATTATTCTAGTGCGCCGACCAAGCAGAAACCTGGTGATTTCGCGATGCCCAAGATCTCGCCTTCACCAACTCGTGTCGACCTCTGCCGAGCCATGTCGTGGTCGGTCGCAGCAGATCTTTGAATGGCAGTCCGGCTATTTTTGGCGGTGATCCAGTCCCTCCTGCTCATGTGATACACTACTGCCCCGCCATGATCACTGTAGCCTTTGCTCCAGCGCACCTTTTAGAGCCGAAAAAATATACTACCGTATATCTAATATAGTATATCGTACGCAAATCACGAGCCAGCGCACAGGCAAAGGCACCGTAACATGCTTGTCAATACAGCTTGAACGTAGTGTGAGATGGCAAGAACGCACTGGGAATGCTAGGGTCGTACGGCGAATATCTCTTTTGGCGTACGGACGAGCTTGCTTGTCCGCTCGTTTCAGACGGTTTCAAAAGGTCGCGGCAAAGAGATGTGTAACTGTCCGTGATCACCGGCCATCACTCGACAAGCATCCGGATACAAGTTGTGATATCCGGATAGTCTACCTGGACCACAGCTCTCTCATCGGGGTTACAGTACAGGTACTTTCGATGCGCTTCAGTCGCTCAGGCATAATACGTGAAATGGTCCTTAGTGTCGCTCGAGCTCAGGGATTGCTCCGTTCGGGGTCGTAAATGTCGGTCGAGTCGCAGATCCATTTAAATATCCGCCGGAGGGTTCAGCAAGCATGCTCTTCCCTGCAGATATTCAGGCAGGCGACACAAGCGCAGCGTAGGACGACACCAAGGTCGCTGCTTGATGATGGACGTAACAACTCACTCCAACAAATGTGCGGTACCGGTACGAGTAGCGTTCGCGCGGCCTCGAAGCGTGGCCTTAAGGATGTCATTTGTGCCGAGTTCGGCCGACGCTTCATGGCGAAATGAAAATGATAGATGAAGACACAATGGCCTCTACTAGTGTGGTCGATAAACGTTGCTTTTCGATCGAGCAAGCGTGTGGCTCCAAGTACGTTGTCGACTGCAATGAGATATCTGTCGAGCTGGGTCCATGCGAGGCATCCGCCACCATACCAGGCGACATCGATGGAAAAAAGACAGTATGGTGGAGAGCCACGGCTCCTTTCGCTACATTTGAATATCAATAAGAACATATGATGGCAAAAATGTCAATAATTAGATCTTATCGCAACAACAAATCGATAACTATTCTATCGGAACAACAATCGACCAACTTCAAAAGCTCAAAACGTCGTCTCTACCGCGACGGAACATCACCCGAGGTGCGCGGCTGGCAGTACGCATGCTGCAGCACCGTGGCCATGGACGGACGCAGCGCCGGGTCTGCGACCAAGAGCAGCGTCAGCATCTCGACAGCGTCGCTTGGCAGTGCCAGTCCCCATGCGCGGACGAGTGTCCGGATACCAACGCGCTGGAGGAAGCCAAACACTTCGTCGGCCTCGGACGACGACTCGACGAGCGTGACGCCGGTGAGCAACATCCAGAGCACGATGCCGAGGGACCAGACGTCGACGGTCGCCGCGCTGTAGTCGCCACTGGTGTGCATCTCGGGCGCCATGTAGTAGCTCTCCCCGACTGCATGTGTTGCCGTTGCAGCGAGCGGCGTCGCGAGGCCAAAGTCGCCAATCTTGAGTTTGCCATTCGTATCGACAAAGACATTTTCGAGCGAGAGATCGCGGTGAGCGAGGCCGCAGCTATGGATGGCCGCGAGACCACGGGCGATTTGCTTGAAATACTGCTGCGCGAGCTCGGGCGTGCACTTGTGCATGGATAGATCATGCAGGTGGTTGTACAGATCGCCTTTGGCGCAGTGCTCGAGGAGGAAGTAGTGGTGCGTGCGCTTGCGATCCATGTGGCTGCCGTAGCAGCGCATGATGTGGTCGGATGCCTTGGCGTGGAGGACGTCGTAGGCGTGCACTTCGCTCGCGATCGCTGCGTGCGTCAAGCGCGAGAGGCGCGTGCGCTTGATGACGCACATGGTGGCGCGGTCGGTATCGTAGGCAAGCAGGACGGCGCCGTCCGACGTGGTTGCAAGTGTCGAGGTCTTGACGAAGCGTTGCATGTTTTGTGTGGAGAAATGAAAAATGAGCTGAGGCGTCGGTGGTGTGACTGACGCTTACAAGAGAAAAGATCACGAGTGCCACGTCGTTTGTGGTAAAAAATATAGAAGGCGGAATGAGACGGTTACTTTACTAATCACAAGCCGCTGGGACTTCACGACCCACCAATGACGGGCCGGTGTTTACAATTTGTAGCACGTCAATCCGCTTGGGTCGAGTCGCAAACTAAGGGCGCAAAAGGTCGTGCGATCGCGCAGGTCATGAGCGATGTCGTGCCAGTCAGCACCAAGACTACATATATAACTGGTTTTTATGTACTCTTGGGCAGCACCTACGGTGTATCGCCTTGAGTGGTGAGGACGACAGACATGGGCGAAACTTGGAATGATTATGGTGGGATATTCTGGGGCGTAACTAGAGTCTCATAATCCATGGTATCTCTCTCGGCGGTTTCAGGGCACATTGTCGCAGAGGGCAGTGTCGCCAGCAGCCAATCGCGTTGCTCGTCCAGCGGCCCACAGTCCTTGCTCTTGACACACGAAACATTCTTCTCGTGCGCAGACCAAGCGCTGTACATGGTGCTTTCGTACGATCACGCAAAGACACGTAGCAAGCCGATGCGTCCATTCTCTGCCGAACATTGCTGTAGCCAGTCGTTGGCCGCTGGACCGGCGGTGCTCCTTGCGAACCGTAGAAAACGGTTTTTTGATACACAACCACAGTGCAATGGTGCCGTATTCGCTCCAGCGAAGCATCGAGTACTTTTTAAAACAGAAAAGATATACTATCTATACCGTGCCCAACCGTGCGGCAAAAACATCCCAATACAGTCGAGCGATACAACGTGAACGAGTTTCGAGTGCGAGATATCACGAACGCAGGAAGATGAAGGCGATCGTCGCACGGTGTCGATCGCCTTCCGTCCCTATGTCGTATACTTCTCCAGCTGTTCCTTTTGACTGTTTCACCGGCCGAGAAAAGTGTAACTGATCGTGATCCAGTGGAGGCGTACCACAGCAAGTCCATGGACGAATCGGCGACATGAGTCACCCCACTGCACGTGCACGACAGCCTCGTTCAAGAGTCCGAGCAGCCCGCTCTTCGTCGGCTTCTCGCACAACACGAATGGTCGCGCGGACGTCCCGCGGATCGCGCTCCAGTCTCCGTCTGCCTCGACCAAGTCCCGCCACCGGACAAAAAAAGTCGACAGTGGTATTACTGTATTTCGTTTCGAATGATCTGTATTTTACTTCACGACACGCGTGAACCATTGCCCGTGATCACAGCCGATGTCACGGCGATGTCATGGCACTCGACCAACATCATTCGGATACATGTTTTAATATCCGGATTTAGGATTTTGTCCGCTCCACATTGATGCAGCCGCCGCTGAATAACTCTACTGCCGGCAGTACATTCGGGGTACCGTTAGAGCGAAGGTCGTGGTCGAGACTACCGCGCTGTCGCTCGAGCTCAGTAATAGCGTCGATCGAGGGTCGGTACCTTCCTCTACGTCGTTCGACTTGTTGACCATCAAGGCAAGCTTGCTTGCGTCAAACGAGCCGATGACTATGGGTGCTTTGCGCCTGCAAGGAGTCGAAACGGACTTTCAATAAGGCGACTCGGCGAAACCAACGACTGGTCGGCAGAGCCTAGCATACTAGTGCGCCCTTTTTTTCCCTGAGCGTAGAAGCCATGGGAAATGCATACAATACTGCAATTGTACGACGAGGTTGCGGTACTGGTGTACAACTGTCGAAGCTATCTCGTGACCTTGCTCTGAGAAATGGTGCCACCTTCGTGCCCTACTGAGTGTCGGGCGACGGTGTTGATCTTCAATCAACACGGCACAATCGAGGACGACGGCAATTGCTGATGCGACGACAAGACTCCTTGGACGCTGGCCTCGCTCGCGTGGTCACCACCACACACGTATACTCCTGCTGTGGTGGCTTGACCACACCAGACACAACATGTCGTCGTACCGGTGTAGTTGGGTGTAGCTCGGTGGCAAGGACCTTCGTTTGACAGAGCAAATGCGAGATGATGATGATGATGCAAGGAGTTGTATTAAATAATAAATAGACGCGACACATGCCGCTACGCGACCGACGTCACGCTGCAGTAGCGGTGTTTCAAGACACCTGGCATGCTCAGTCTCTTGGCCGGATCCGCGACAAGCAAGCGCTCGAGCAAGTCGAGCGCATCGTCGGGCACGAGCGCGGACAAGTGCCACGCACTCACAAGTGCGCGCAAGCCATGGCGCTGCAGAAACCGAAAGGTCTCGTCGCCGACACTCGCGTTGTGGACCAGCGGGAGGCCCGTGAGCAGCATCCAAAGCACGATGCCGAGCGACCACAGGTCGACCTTGCTCGGATCGTAGCCGTCCGGGTGCGTGTGCATCTCGGGCGCCATGTAGTAGAGCTTGCCGCACGCTTTCGCAGCGACACTCGGAAACGAGACTGCGAGGCCAAAGTCGCCAATCTTGAGTTTGCCGTTCGCGTCGACAAAGATGTTTTCAAGCGACAGATCACGGTGGGCAACGCCGTGGTCGTGCATGTAGTAGAGCCCCGCGGCGATTTGGCCAAAGTAGCCTTGGGCCAGCGACGGCTCGCAGCGTGCATGTGGCAGCGCTTTCAAAAGGTTGAAAAACTCGCCGCGCGCGCAGTACTCGAGCACCAAGTGCACTTGCTTCTTTTCTTCAAAGACCTCGGCCATCTGGAGGACGTGGGCGGCGCCGAGGCTGTGTGCGTCGCGTTCGTGGAGCAGCGAGTACGCCTGCAGCTCCATGGCAATGTTGTCCTTCGTGGACGATGTGCGCGCGATGCGCTTGATAACATACGGGACGTGGCTGCATTTGTGGCGACAGAGGAGGATGTCGCCGCCTTGCGCCGGTGCGAGGATCGTTGCGACCTGGAAGCGGTCCATGTCTGCGGAGGCTTTGGATGTGCACGGCACGGGACAAATCGGAAAGTGAAGACAAACGCCGTCCGATTAGTGCAGGTGGTCGCGGACAGCCGGTTTTGCTTGAAGTTGCAATTGGCGAATCGCGACGCGCCTCTGGTTTGGTCAGTCTGTACTTCGAATTTTACGGCTACCTGGTTTTCGAATATCACGAACCATCGATTACTTTTATTCGTCCGACTACGAGGAGTAGCTACTACATAGCTAAATGGTAGCATTTCTATCATGGACTACTGTACGCCACTCTCACCGATTGCAAAGCAGAAAATGCATCCAGAAAATGAGTCGCTCTCCTCTTGCTGCTCGTGGCTCCTTGGACTTTTGTCGTCGTGTGTCTTGTTAAAATCTCCGGAATCCCAGGGGTTGGCAGGCTATCATCACGCAGTGCATCCGCCTCGTTCTGGGTGATATGGTGCGCCATCTAGCCAGCTCCACTTTCCAAGATCGGCGCTTTGGGACATGCGCCTGCGAAGGAGCAGTTATTTTTGGCGCGCAATTTGTGGCACTGGCCCTATGCTGCCCAGCTTGGCACGTCTACGTTGGTCACGCAATTCCATCCATAGGTTGCGCGCTGTTTTTATGCTTCGCCGTCCTCAGTACGATGCTGCGCCAGACTTCAAGGTGGCGTAGCCACGGCTTGAAGCTCCGCAAATGCAAGTCGAATCTTAGTCTTTTCCACCTGTACTGTGGTAGGAACCGTTTCGGTGGATTTCGGAAACGTGCTTCGACGCCGGCGCCCAGAACGAGTGGTGAAGTTTCTGCTTCTCCGAACTATTGTGGTGTCTTTCGATTGTGACGCCTGGTTTGACGATGCAGTATATTGCGCGAAAATAGAGTGACAATATATTCCATCGTCCCGAAAAATACAACGTAATGTAGAATATGACGATCGGTCGACACAAGTGGTGTTGCAACGTGGTCACCCAAGAAAGCACGTGCGACGCGCCGAGAGATCAAGAGCGTTGTAATTCCAAAGGCAACCTCAGGACTGCTACTGCCATCTTTCGTGCGGCAAGGCGGCAAATTTTACGCTGCCTGCAGTACGACGATTACCAACTTGGTCGTCAAAGCAATGGACCGTTGGTCAAAAACACGGCGTCGAGGACGCGACAGTGAAGCGGCGCGTGTTGGTTAAACCATGGGTTGGGTTGCAGCCCACTCTGTTGACCTCACGCGTGAGTCGCACGGTTGACATGCGTGTTGTTGGTCGTGCTTGTGAGAATCCACGTGTGCTAACGGTACCCAGTTTTACACGCCACGACGCAAGGACGTCGCCGCTGCGAATGCACTATGTCGTCTTGTGGACCCACTAAGATCTCATTTCGCACAGTTCAGAAAACACCGGTGGTCGCTGTCGTTCCGAGTGGGACCAGGCAGACCGCGACTCGCTACTCGGTGTCTCTCGAGACCGGGGCAAAAAACTTACTGTCGGCGTCGACGTTGGCCAATCGCTGGCCATGGTGTCGTCGACGTCGCAGCGTCACAGCCTGTGCCTCCACCTGCCTGTTGCGTGACTCTAGCAACGCCACAGCTTGCGGCCAATCCCGTTATAACACCATATAAGCTTGCCGTGCGATCTAGAAAAAGGCCGCGGGCCCGGCCACGTGTGATTGGCTTCTTTTTATTCGGCGATTAAACGGGTCATAATCCAACGCATCTTCAAGTACCAAGACAACTTACAGCATGGAGCTCGTCGCCCGCCATGGCCGCGCGCTCTTCAGCGGCGCTCTCTTTGGGCCCGCGCCGCTCCCGCCGCTCCCGACGACGCCGTCGCCGCCATCGTCGCATCGCCCGAGCATGAACCTCGACCTGTCGCCGCAAGGCGCCGAGATCACGCTTTCGTTCGAGAAGAAGCCGCTCGGGATTGGCCTCGTGCCCTCGACGCAGCTGTACGGCACGTGGGAAGTGAGCTTGGTGCCGCCGACGGCGCCGCTCGGCCTCGAGAAAGGCGACGTCTTGATGGCGGTCAACGACGACCGGTCCGTGACGAGCCTCTCGAACGAGGCCTTTCGCCGCCTCCTCGCCAAGGCCAAGGTCCCGCTCACGATTACGTTTCGCAAGCCCAAGCTCTATGGCCACTGCGACTCGCACTCGACGTCGACCGCGCTCTTCCCGCAGTCGTACGAGTACAGCAATGGCACGCCGCACGGCCGCAAGCAAAAGTCGTGGAACACGCGCGTCTCGGCCGACCAGTGGCGACATGTACGCCTTGACATATTCTTCATGCGCTTCTCATGGTCGCTGACGCTGCATGCGACGACTAGGTCATGGCCCGCGACGACCTCGACGAGAGCGAGCCCCCTACCGGTACGACGCTGTCCCACCTACACCCATCATCCTCCTCCTCCTCCAACAGAGTATACTCATGGTAGCCTTCTTCTTCTTTATAGATCGCGACGAGCTCGGTGAAGTGACCATCACGTTTCCGACCAAGCCACTGCATATGGCCCTTGCACCGTCGACGCGCATTTACGGCACGGTCGAGATCTTGGACCCAGAAGCCCACTTTCCAACGCTGCGGGCCGGCGATGTCCTTCTCGAGATCAACAACGAACCCTGCACGTCGTGGTCCATCGACCAGCTTGACCGCTATCTTCAAGTAGACATGTCGCACAACGCGCTTGATCTTTCTTCGCACCAAAATAATTGTATCTTGGATGTAGGTGACGCCGGCGCCGCTGACCATGACGTTCCGGCATCCCGAGCTCTTCCAGAGCTACTTGGCGACAATGGCCGCCTCGCCCAAGCCGGTCGCGTCGGGCTCGACAGTCCATGCGATGTTTCCGCATTCGCGCGAGTACAAGCAACACAGCGCGGCGCTGAGTCCTGTCCACACGACGACGATCTATGACGTCCAACACTGGCAGAAGGAAGCGCACAAGTTGAACCAGAACGGCTGGCTGCAGCTGCACCCACGCTCCGAGATTCTCAAGGTAAACCACGTCGAGTGCCTCCGCGACGCGCTGCCCTTCCACTTGCAAGACACGAGCCTCCAGCTGCTGTACAGCACACAGATCCACGGCTTTAGCCTCCTTCAACTCTTTACGCTCGTGGCTGGGAAAGGCCCGACGATTTGCGTCGTCAAGGACACGTGCGACCGCGTCTTTGGAGGTATTTTATATCGACGATTACGGAGGGTGGCGATTGATATTTTGATATTTTGTATAGCGTTTTCGTCGTGCTCGCTCCAGCAAACCAAAAAAGTGTACGGCAACGGCCGCACGTTTGTCTTTAGCTGCGCCCGGGGCAAGAAGCCGCGCGTCTACGCGTGGTCGGGCGGCGACAGCGCGTTCATCTACAACGGCCCCGACTGCCTCGTCTGGGGCGGCGGCCCGAAAGGCCTCGCGCTCTGCTTGCACATGGAAGACGAGCGCGGCTTTTCCCAGCACTGCACGACCTTTAACAACCCGCCGCTCGCTGGTTCCGACGAAATGTTCAAGATTTGGGCGGTCGAGATTTGGGGCTTTAAAGGCATCCGCCTCTAAGTCGTCGTCGTCTCATGTCGTTGCTGTCCTTAGTATGTTTCCAGCCCCTTTTCTTTCTATCTATATATTCTTTTTATTATTCTCGCACGTGGCCATTGATCGAGGCTAGGGCAATAATTGACTCGGATGATTCTACCGACTAAGATTTGAAGTTTGTTCAATAGAGATGAACGATTGTCATGTTGAGCGCGCGATTCAATGCGTCTTGTGTGCTGTGGAGAAAGGCGTTGCGATCCAAGCCTTTCGGGGTCGAGACAGGTACAGCCGAGTAAAGAAACCCCTCGCTCGCGGCATTGAAAGTTGAAGTGCAACGTGTGGCACCCGCTTCGATACCGATACCGGTGCAACGTGTGGCACCCGCTTCGATACCGGCCAAGCATCGTACCAAGTGCCAATAAATGGATGATTCTCTTGCGAGCGTAATACAGTGGTAGAGAAGCAAGGACCAATGGACACGCGCTCCGAATGCGTGGTGTCGGCAGAGGGGTCGAAAGAAACCGCACGTTGCCACGGCATTGAAAGTTGAAGGACAACTTGCGTGGCATTAACTACTACTATGGTGGACGCCGTGTCTATGCCCCGAGCCGCGGCAGATTCGTGGCTGGATTGTCGTGCCCAATGAAGAGGATTTCCGGCTGGATCTGGTTGAGACCCGAGTACGGCATGGGCTCGGACACGCGCGGCAAGACGTTTTCCGTCACTTGATTGCTCGATGGACCTAGGAACCTTCTATAGACAACCTGTCCATTTGAATAGAGACACGCACCCTCGAGACGCACCCACGGCGTCGGGTGCGGCTTGGTGCGCAGTGGCACCTTGGGCTTGCGCAGCCGGCCGTCGAACGGCTGGTTGGTCACGGGATCGAACCCGTGCACGTACGCTTGGCTGTTGCGCGCGTGCGTCGACCGGTTCAAGCGCAGATCGAGCGCGTGGTCTTCTTCTTGGAAGGCGCGCACTTGGATCGCCTTGTTGACTTGCTACATGGTTGGAGCATTGAGAAATCCGTCGAAACTCAAACAAAATTAAACCGTGGTTTTCATGCAATTGAGTCGGCGGTTGACGACGTTGGTGACCTTTTCATACTTGTCCGGGCGCAGAATCTTTTGGTTGATGATATTGTAGAGGCGCCCGGCGCTGAACTGCTCGCCGTGCGGCAGCGCATCGTCGCGGCCCGCACCGTGTACCTATCCCGTCATAAAACATGTCGTACAACAGACAATAATGGACACCCACTTTGGCATGTGCGTCCCGCGCCGCCAGAAACGACATTTCTTTCTCCGCATTGTAGTAGCGCGAGAGGAGCGGGTCGAAGTCGCGCGTCTTGTTGAACTTGGCGATGGCGTTGGCTTTGGCGGCCGCGGCTTCGGCCAGCGCGCGCGTCTCGTGCTCCGTGTGGTACCTACTCCACGCCATAAAACAAACATCCGACGACCCGTATATCGTTCGAGACTTGTTGCTAATGACGCTAAACGGCCTTGAAATGTGCTGCGACTCGACCATTTTCTTGCCCTTGTACGCGTCCTCGGGCTTGACGACCTTGCTCGGCGGCGTTCTGAGCGCCACGTTGGTGACAATGTTGTAGCCGACGCGTGTGTTGGGCGGTCGGTGGGTCTCGACCACCGGCTCTTTCTCGGCGCAGTAGTGGTTGATTAAATTGTGCTTCTGGACGTATTTGCTCTGCTGGGCCTAATATACCAGATGCATTTTTGATGGACGATATTGTCATCGCGGGGGACCTTGGCCGCAATGACGTGGTCGAGGCGCGCCTTGATCTCCGTGTCTTTGGCGGCAGCTTCCTACGCCGCTGTGAAAATCACGTTCGATTCTACCCGGTCGCACCCGCTGGACGTCGCGGTATTCGGCCCGCACGAGGTCGTACTCGCGCTCCTCTCTGGACTTTTCGTACCGCGTCACGTGCTTGACGGGTCGCTGGTCCTCGGTGCGCCATGGAACGACCGCCTTCTTGGCCTAGTACGCTTGCAAATTCGAGGCCAACTCCAAGCCAGCATCGGAAGACGACCTTGTAGATCTGCAGGTCGTCGCCCCATGTGGCGCCGCCGTAGCCCGGGTCGCCCATGCACGCGTCGAATGTATTTTTACGCCGCGGCGTTATGACGATACGTGCAACCGGCGACGTTGTATCATGTATCAAAATATCAGTATATCAAGTTGCCTTTAATTGCAATCCAGTCGAAAAAAGGGGCTCTAGTCGCTGGCGCGCTTGCGCGCATAGTACTCGTTAAAATCAAGCCGGAACGTCAGAAACGGGAGGTTCTCGGACCTAACGACAGCATTCAGGTCCGTCTTGAACGAAACAGAGAGGGAGGTACCCGATCGAGTGGCTCTTGAGGATCTCGAGGAGCGACTGAAAATGCGCGTTGTAGTCGGTGGCAATCGTGCGCATTTGCGTCACATACGCCGAGTGGGGCGCAAAGACGGACGGCGTCGACCGGTCGTGCACCGAGATGCCCCAGTCGCCCTACATCGTCATGCAGCAGTAGATAGTAGTACAAGCACGTGGGAAGAGGAGGAGGGATGTACGTGGCGGTCTTTGGCCTGTTGTCGGAGTACGTGGGCTTCCCGCATCGCGGACGTGTAGAGTGAGTCTTGGAGCTTGCAAAAGGTAATGATCGTGTCGAAAATGAGCTTGAGCTGGAGCAGCATCGGCTTGCTCTCGTCCATCAAAAAGGCCTACATCGCATCATGGGACGAAAGGATCGATGCCACGACCACGTGCGTACGTTCTTCTTGATCGTGTACAAGTACGCATGATGGGCCGCAATGAGCTCGTCCAAATCGGACGCGGCTTGGACGTTTTTGAGCAGTGTGTGCCACGACGTCTCGAGTACCTCGAATAAGAAATGATTTTTTCGCATTCCTCAGACAGCATCGGGGAATGCAATACCTCGAACATCATGTAGTTGTGCAAGTTGGTCGTAAAGTGGATCATCTCGGACCGAAGCAGGTTGCAATGATGCATGACCGCCCGCGCTTCCGGTAGCGTCTTCTACGCGGCCATGCATGATGAAATCCTCCGAAGAGCCAAGGAAGACGAACGCTAATGTCGTTGAGGAGGTTCATGTCGCGGCCCCAGCACGACGTGAGCGAGTGCTCGACACGCTTGACGCGAAAGAGGAAAGAAAACATGCGGAGGTACTCGGACATGGTCGTCTCTTGGATCACGGTATTGAGCGGCGGCTGGAGCTTGTAATGCAGCGCAAAGACGTCCCAGCCTTCGTCGCCGGCCGCTGCTTGGTGCAGCTTGACGTCGAGGCGGCTCAAAATCTCGGCCGACTGTAGCCCATCCATGTGCAAATCCATATCAATACAGAAGGAGACGCACCTCGTACTTGGCGTTGGACGCATTCAGCGCTGTCTCGAGCACGTTCATCAGATTATGGCGGTACAGCTGCGACGCCCGCTTCGAGAGCTCCGGCCCGAGGAGGTCCATGAGGCACTGAATAAAGTCACCCTACACAAAATATCGTAAAAATCGCTGAAAACGACATCAAAAATGGGCTGAAATCAGAAAAAATATGAACCTGGCCAAGGAGAAGGTACTGCTTGAGCGCGCGGCAGTGGTCGAGGAGCTGGTACTTTTCCAAGAGGATTTTCGTCACATACGCGTTCGTCTCGCGCGCCGCACGGTCGATCCACGCTTGGAATTCGATCCTATCATCAATGTATCAAGTTGCCACGTCGACTCCGCGCACCGCGTACCAGTGCTCGAACGTGAGCGTATCGTTCTGCAGCTCGGTTTCGAGGACCCACTAGACATCGTGTTAACAAAAAGTGTCATATCGTTCCGACCTCGGTGTCCCCACAGCACGTCCGGATAAAGTTGAGACTCTTGCCAATGACAAAAATGGTGTGCGCGAGGTCCCTGCAATCAAAAAGATGAGACACAGGCAGCGTTAAGACGAGTACTACGTACTTGGAAATGAAGTGCGGCAGCATCTTGTACTCGACGTGGTACTTGTGGCTCCAGAGCTGGTCGTCGGGCACGGTCGGGTCGCCCGCCACAAAAACTCATTCTACGCAGAGTCCGTCGATCGTCAAGCGCTGCTCATCGTTGTGGAGGAGTGTGTACATAGACGTCATCGAGCGCGCCTTCGAGCGTCCATTTTTGAATCATGCTCAGAATCGGCGCCGCAACTTGGTTGAGGATCGTCTGGATGAGACTCTTGACGAACGGGTCGCCGTGCTCCATGTACATGTGGATGCCGGTGGCGAGGGCGCCACCGCGAAGCCCCTCGACGCTGATCATTCGATCATCATCAATACGGTTCCATCTCGATACATCGTCGTTCTCGTACCTATCGACGAGGCAGGCCATGACACGAAGCCGATCCAATGGGTCTTGGGTCCAGACGTAGAGTCGCTTAAGCGTCAGGTGCGGCGTGCTTGTCGTGTCTGCATCCATGTCGACCTGCGCCGAGAGAAGCGCGACGAGTCGGTAAAAGTCCGAGAGCTCGGTTTGGAGTGCGTGGCAAAAGCTCTGGCAAATCTACAAGTGCAACAGAATGGTAGGAAACACGCTCATTTGATACAACAACCACGTACGACGCCGTTGGCCTGGACATCGCTGTGGCGCTCGATGAAGCTCGCGAGGCGCGAGTAGAGCCAGCCGACTTCAGTGAGCTTGCGGATCAAGTCGCGCATGGCTACAAGCACATGCGCAATGAGGACATAAAGGAAGGAGGTTCGTACGGAGGGGCACGCCGACGTGCCGGGCGACCTCGAAGCGCTCGATCGCTGGGTTGAAGTAGATGTACTTGGAATCGATGCCCTGGAACGCGTAGAGGACTTCCTTTAAGAGCACCGACTCGGGGATCTCGCACGACTGGTCGTGCTGCTTGGTGAAGGCGCGGAACGTTGCGTCGTCCGAGGGCTTGGCCTTGGCGGCCGGCTCGGCGCTTGTCGGCCGGGCGTCCGAAACCTGTCCATGCGACGATGTATCGGTGCAAGTAGAGGCGTTTCGTACCAGAGGCGGCGCGGGCTTGGTCGACGGCAGCGGCATGGGCACGTAGAGCGTCGAGACGTCCGGGTCCGTGTCGAGGCTGAGCTTGAGGAGCGTCGTGAGCAGCGCCGCCTTCTTGTGCAGCATCGCATGCGTGAGAAAGTCCTGCTGAAGTGCTTGGAACCGGTCGAGCGCGCGGCTACGGTCGTACGTCATCGGTATCTCGGACAAGTGGCGCTGGATCTTCTGCGTGATGCTGAGCTAGGAGGAACGCATCGCCCGAGCCTCGCCCTGACCGCCATCGTACCATGTCGTTGGCGCTGTGGTTGCTGGCGCTGCCGAGTCGGCTCGAGAGGATGCGCAGAGAGAGCGACGTCAGCGCGGGGTTGGGCTGCCATGGAGGCAGACCACGAGCTGGTCCACGAGGCCTGCAACGTCCATCGTTTGCTCAGAATGAAACGCTTTTGATTGGACAAAAAGAAGCCAATCGTCATGCAGTATCACAGGATTTTCATGGCGCTGCCCAAAGGCCATGGCCATGGGATGCGGACGACAATACTACCAACACATCCTACAACAGCATGCACAAATTGTCTACTTCTGCAGCGACTAGGTGGTGCGGCCCGGTTGTGTTCTTGTGGCACCTGGTGCTAGAAGCTGCTATGGCTGGTTATAAACCACACGTGCAGACAGAGTCCGAGCAGCAACGCGGAAGAAATACCGACATCTCCTACGGGGTATGACAAAGTAGTTGTACAAATAGCTCCGTAGGCACCTCTCACCAGCCGCACCGCCGCTTCTTAGCTGCATCGCGTCGACCATGCTGCCCTTACTCGTAGCGTCGTGTAAAGCTCGCAGAAGGACCGAAGGACAACGCCTGCAGTACCTTCTCGGTACTATTTATACGTACGGCAGCCACGACTGCTAAATGAACGCCTCCGACTACGTCCTATTTGCTTAAACGAGAGAGCTGAACGAGAGGGAATAACCGGCGTCACGAAGCTTCTCGTGAACAGAGACCGCGCACGTGAAGGTTCGCGAGCCAAGGCCATCTGCGATGCTGTCGAGTCGTAGGGTAGCATCACGCATTGGCCACGTCATTCTCGTGCAATCGTACCGTATTTAATGCGTATTTTTCCGCAATTTGCTCAAATATTCGCGAAATCCCGCACTTGAGGAAACCACGGGGATATGATTGGCTTTAAATGGAGGGTAAAGGGGGGTGATTGGTTGGATTTGTGAGTTTGCGGGGTTTGCGGGAAATTCCCGTATTTACGATAGTAGCGTCTCTTGTAGTATGACTACAGCGTCATGCGCGCGACAAGGCGCGCTCGATTCGTTACCGACCGTCTCATGGTCATCTCAACATCTTCGTCGACGCAACCATCGCCCATGATTACTTTAGATCGCGTTATCGCCCAGAAAACACGCTCGGCTACCGACCTACCAAGCCTGGACCGAGGTCCTTACTAGTCCTTGTAGCCTTGACCCGGGCATCTCATGCATACCTCTACTGCACTTTAAGGAGAGTCGTCTTCTTTTAGTTTGACCAGTTTGGACTGTATGCATGAAGCGTTTTGTGGCCTTTCTGTGTGGAAAGGCAATCTCACATTTGACTGGCCACTTCCAACCGGCTGGTTTTGGTCCCAACCGTGTAGTGGCCGAACACAACCGAATTGTACCGCGAAATGGACGAAGCGTGGACCGACACGGCGTTCGACGGGCTCGACTTTAGCGTCGACGACGCGCAGCTGCTTGCAACCATGCTGGCACAGACGCCGGCGCCGGCGCCACCCTCGTTGCGGGAGCGGCAGCGCCTCTCGCTGCAAGCGCACCGCAAGCGCCAGGCCGACGAGCTCGCGTTCCTCCAACGCACGGTCGACGACCTCCAATCGCAGCTCTCGCAGCTCAACCAAGTGCAAGTGCTGCAAGAGATCATGGCGCCGCCGACCCGGTGGGAGCGACTGGCCAAAGACGAGCGGCGGCGGCAAGTCGAGGCGTCCCAGGAGAACCGCCGCCTCAAGGCCGCGCTCGAAGAGCAGGTCCAGTTTGCTGAGTCGCTCGCGAAGCTTGTGCACAAGAAGCCGCGCCTCCAGCTCTACGCCGACAGCCCAAGCGACGCATGGAAGCAGTTCAAGCTCGTCGCCGACCCCAGCGTGCGCCACGCCGCGTTCCATGCGATCGTCGACCGGGACTACACACGGACCGACAGCGCGTTCGTCGAAGCCCGCTTGCACGACGCCACCGAGCCGCGGCGCGAGCACGTGCCAACGATCGAAGGTGGCATTGTGCTGCTTCAGACGACCGTGCTCGTGCGATGGCAAGTCGATTTCGACATCACGGCCGCTGCGATCTGGGACGTCCTCCGCGGCGTCGTGCCCATGTCCCACGTGCCGGGCTCGTATACCCAGCTCACGAACGTCGACGCGCACACGTCGTATGTGAGCAGCCTGCGCCATCTCAAGCTTGGCCGCATGCAGCGCCGCATCATCACAAAGCGGTACATTGAGTCGCCAACGCGCTGGATCATCGTGTGCCGCAACGTCCACGAAGACGAGGTCCTTCCGCTGGATCCAAACGCGGGCATTTCCGACGAAGTCATGTGGGTGCTCATTGAGCGCGAGCGACACGAGACCGTGATCAAGTACTTTCGGAAAGCCAAGCCGCCGCTCGTCATGCAGCCGAGTGCGTCGTTGGATGCGACGTCCATCTGCGAGTACCTCATCGAGCTCAGCCAGAAACACACGGTGGGCTTTGAAAATACCATTCTAGATTTGATTGAAGTGAGCGCGCTACAAGCGGCGTCCTTGGTATAACCCAAACGCATCTCTGGTATCGTGTCGAAATGTCGTCGTTGGACGTGGGCGAGTACGTGCAACGTTGTGCGTGGCAAGAAGCAGAGGGCACTACTGAACATCCTTTTGTCCAGTTGGTGGATTCTTCCTTCATACACAGGAAGTACAGGGTTCAACTCCCGTAGGTGTTGTCCCTTAAGTCGCTTTCCCACTCTTGGCGTTGGCATCGGAAACACTTAAGAGCTTCTTCACAGGCAGCCAAAAGAGACACCCAAGGCTCAACCAGGCTCGGAAGCTCGACAGTATTGTACGCCAAATTGCGCCACGCAGTTGGCAAGGGGGTGTAGCCGCGTTGTAGCGCCGTTTAGCTCCAAGACGTAAGACGTCCGAGCCATGTCATTAGGACGAGACTTTGTCATGGGCGGTGGTCCTCCATCGACATCCAGCACGTGTGCGCTCAAGGGACAACCATGCTACCGCTCAAGAGGTACACGCATGTCAGTATCGAGCAAAACAGGCCAACAAACTGCTGTGGTCCGATGCTCCTTGGTGCGTCGTTTCCCCTACCCCTACCCTACCCCCGTCGACAGGTAGCAATATCAACGCCCCAGGCCAGGTCCAGGGACGGGGTCTGTGCAAACGACAGTTCCAAGTACGCAGAACTCCCCTCCTAGTGATCCGCACGACGCGACCTCGGTTTGCGCCAAAAAAGCATTCTCAAAAACACACACATCTATTTTTTCGTTCCATTCTTGAACATCCTAGCACTGCGGCTTCTTGCCAAGGACGCAGTTGGCGTAGTACGTCACGGTCGCGGGCCAGTCGGAGAACAAGCCGCTGATGCCCACTTGGCGGAAGAGCACGTCGAGCGCCTCCAACACGTCGCCTTCGCGGTTCACCAAGTCGTTGACCGTCTGGTAGTACCACCCACCGTGGCTAATGGCGACGACACCCGACCGCTCGAGCGTCCACGAAATGAGCTTGAGACCGGCGGCCTTGGCATCGCGCGCGGTCTGCGACGGCACAAACTTGCCGTCCTTCTTGTCCAGAAGCGCCCAGATCGGCGGCGCATATGTGTTGATGCCGTCGGCCTTGAGCTGCGCGAGCGCGGCAGCATTCGGGAGCTCGTTCACCGTGTCGGCAAAGTCGAGCAAGACGGCGTTCTGACCAAATGCCGGCGCCGCCTTGAGCCAGTACTTGATGCTGGCCTTGTCGACGGTCTGCGCAAAGACGTCCGAGAACGGGACGCCCGCGGCCACGTACTCGTCGACGATCTTTTGCGCAAACGCTTCCATGCTAAAGTTGTTGTACGGCATCGGAACGACCGGCATCTTGAGCTCGGGCGTCATCTTGACGCCGAGGCTCTTGAAGAGCGCGATCGAGTCCTTGTGGCTCATCATGGTGCCGCTCGTCGGGCCGTTGTAAAAGTCCGTGCGCCAGCTGGGCGTCGACATGACGTACTCCATCACATTCTTGGCTTTCGGGTTGGAGCTGTCCATCTTGGCCTTGAGCGTCTTGAACTCGGCAAGCGTAATGTCGGTGAGGCGGCACTCGGCCGACGCTTCCTTGCCCGTCGCCGGGTCGTACGGCGTGAACGGCTTGGTGCACTTGGCCGCGAGCGGCGTCAGCAAAATGTTGGTCGACGTGTGGAGGTCGGCTTGGTCGTGGCGGCACACGAGCTCGAGGTCCTTGGTGAAGCCGACGTCGCACTCGATGATGCCAGCGCCCATGCGCGCCGCGGCAAGGTACGACTCCTTCGAGTGCTCGGGAAACATGAGGCACGCGCCGCGGTGACCGATCGAGTACTCGGTGCGCTGCAGGTCCATGTCGGCGCACGACTCGAGCTGCGTCTTGAGCGGGCTCGGCCGCATCTCGTTGACGAGAAAGTACGGACGCTCACCGACCTGGACCTGCATGGCAGACGTGGCGGCGGCGGCGGCGAGCGAGAGCGTCAACGCGAGATGCATCGGTGGCAATGGAAATGGATTTGTGAAAAGACGATGTCGGACGACATTTCGTCAACTTGGTGCATGGATGGGTGGAACGTGGGAGGAACTTTACAGTACAATTGAAATGGCAAAGTTCAAGATGTCTTTAGCACATGGACGGGACTACTCAAGATGCTAGATTCATTGTCTATGAAGGCATTTGTATGGGGGCAGACGAGCCACGGCATCCGAGGCGCGTATCGCAGGCAAACATGTAGTCAATCGCGGGCAACTGGTGGTATGAGGTGCGCCAGCTGCTTTTGGCGCGTGGCGACCGCACGTCTGATAGCACTCGAATAGAATCTGCAAGTCTACAAGTCGACTCAGCCAAAAGCGTGAAGACCAGATTCGACCAACTCAGATCCGCCACACCGTCTGGAGAACGAAGGACCACTCCTGCGACAAACAATACCCCGATACGTGGACCTTGCTGGACCAATTATCTTGGTTTGAGTAGGGTGCTGCATGGGTGCGAACACTGCGGGCCGTCCGTTGCACGTTCCCGCCTGTCACGTTGCACGAGACGTCGCGCATTTTTGAAGGATGGAGTCAACAGGTACCGTAAGTTTTGTGAAAAAGCATAGCCTGCGTCAGTTTGCCTTTTGATCTGGATCCCGACACCAGAATGGTCCTTCGCGTCACATTGGCCTCCGCGGTCGTCGCGGCCACCTCGGCTGCCCGCGTCGACGTTGGTGAGCGTCCGTTCTTTCTCGTCAACGAGATGCGGCCAAGCCCACTCAAGACGCAGCTCGAGTCGTGCGCCAACAACAAGTGGGAGCGCACCGAGTACTCGATCGGCCACCGTGGCGCGTGCCTCATGTTTCCCGAGCACTCGAAGGAGTCGTACCTTGCCGCGGCGCGCATGGGCGCTGGCATCATCGAGTGCGACGTCGGCTTCACGAAAGACCTCGAGCTCGTGTGCCGCCACGACCAAGCCGACCTCCACACGTCGACCAACATTTTGCTGACGCCGCTCGCGGCCAAGTGCACCAAGCCGTTCACGCCGTACGACCCGGCCACGGGCAAGGAAGCGTCGGCCGAGTGCCGCCTCACCGACATTACGCTGGCCGAGTTCAAGACGCTCAAGGCCAGAATGGACAGCTCCAACCCGAAAGCCAAGAATGTGATGGAGTACGTCATGTCGACGCCCAGCTGGCGCACGGACTTTTACAACGGCCCGACGAGCGGAACCATGATGAGCCACAAGGACTCGATCGCGCTCTTCAAGAGCCTCGGCGTCAAGATGACGCCCGAGCTCAAGATGCCGGTCGTCCCGATGCCGTACAACAACTTTAGCATGGAAGCGTTTGCGCAAAAGATCGTCGACGAGTACGTGGCCGCGGGCGTCCCGTTCTCAGACGTCTTTGCGCAGACCGTCGACAAGGCCAGCATCAAGTACTGGCTCAAGGCGGCGCCGGCATTTGGTCAGAACGCCGTCTTGCTCGACTTTGCCGACACGGTGAACGAGCTCCCGAACGCCGCCGCGCTCGCGCAACTCAAGACCGACGGCATCAACACATATGCGCCGCCGATCTGGGCGCTTCTGGACAAGAAGGACGGCAAGTTTGTGCCGTCGCAGACCGCGCGCGATGCCAAGGCCGCCGGTCTCAAGCTCATTTCGTGGACGCTCGAGCGGTCGGGTGTCGTCGCCATCAGCCACGGTGGGTGGTACTACCAGACAGTCAACGACTTGGTGAACCGCGAAGGCGACGTGTTGGAGGCGCTCGACGTGCTCTTCCGCCAAGTGGGCATCAGCGGCTTGTTCTCCGACTGGCCCGCGACCGTGACGTACTATGCCAACTGCGTCCTTGGCAAGAAGCCCTAGAAAAACTGTGTTGTGTGTGTATAATGAATGAGCTCGTACTTTGTGGGGCAATGACAACTTGACCAGAATCGGAGGTGCGGACACGCCGCACTTTCTAGTTACAGCGAAACCGACGATGGGAAGAGAGTAAACGACTGCATTGGCATACTTTGGTTAAACCGTTTTTTGGTAGTAACGTGAACCCACGCTACGTGTGCGCGGCCTACTTGGTACAGAATCGTAATGAAGCTGTCCAAGGCAACCCAGGAGCAATGACATAGAAGTGTGGCTTTGTGTTCAGCATCATGCTGCGTTCCCAGCACTCGCCACTCTTCGAGAAGACGAACGCTTTGCACCATGATGACGAGCGATCGCACCAGTCAGGCACCACGATGACCGTTCGGCGAGTACCCTACGATCTGTGGAATCGATCTGTGGAAATGTCAACTACAGTAAAGCGTCTGGTGACATCAAGAAGAGGAAGTCGAGGCTGGATGATTCATTGTGACACGCCTCCTACAGCAACACTCGTGCCACGGCACCCGTTCGGGCACCTCAAGTTCGCCTACGACACGGTCTGCTGGACTGCCATTTGTGAGCATTGGAGTCCGAGTCCTTGAGGTCGCCCCTAGCTTGACGCCCACCTTCTGCAACAAAGACGCGTGGTGTCTTCTTGCGCCTACGCCGGACCATATCACGATCCAAATTCTAAAAGCATGGGCCGAAAACGTTCTCATGTACTTCGGTCGTAGGGCGTAGGGTGCTCTCGACATTTGTGCCTGCGACGGAATCAAAACAAGTAAATTATCGCATTGGATGCGGCTCGTATTCTACCTTATACTACATGGCACGCTCAATCACTTCGAGCCAGGCGAGGTCGATGGCGTCGAGCCACTGCGGTGTGCACGCAACGACGACGGCGTCGAGGCTTTCTCTGCAGAGCTCCAGCGCATACGATGTTGAAGAGGCCATCATCGGTGCGTGGTTGTAGTACGCAGAGACGCTGCTTGGACTGTACGGCAAGGATGCCGGTGATGACGATGCCTTGGGGGACCGCCAGACGTGGTGGTCGGAACACGCGGCGTAGCCCTGCGTGAAGGCGTGGCATTTCGGGAACGAGCAGCGCTTGCGAGCACCGTGCTTGACGCAGAGCTTGCGGGCGTAGACTTGGTTTTCGCAGCCAATGACCGAGCAGAGGCGGCGGTTCTTGTGGAAAGCACACTTGTGCGAGTCGGGCAGCACGGGCTCGGAGCAGTCGCGAAAGACACAGTGCATGGGATTCATAGTGGTGATGAAAGGAAATGAACAATGCGTTAATGAAGGTCATCCCTGTATAGCCATGCGCACATCTGTTGGCGGTGCGGTGCATCTGTGCAGATGGATGCGGTCGACCGCGTGGTGTGGGCCATGAAATAGGTCAACGGTTAGCGGATAAAGAAATTCCACGAGACAAAAGATACAGGTACCATGCGAGGACTCATGCAAGTCCTCAACTTGCGTCATCGGAGCGAGCGACAACTGGGCCAAGGGTCGCAAATCGAACATCGCCTTGAAAGATAAGTCTAGCTTCTGGATCGGATCGTGATCCGCAGGACGAAATGCCAGTACCATTCGTGTTGTGTTACACAACACTCCGGCGATGGGGCTGCTCGGGTTTAAAATAAGGCTGTGGTGCAGAAGCCAATACAGTTTTGCCGTGAACGACGCTCGAGTGGGGCAATAGACGACTCGATTGACCGCTAGCCATTGGGAGTGGCGCGGCGGGTTAGGTTCGACAAGGCTAAAAGCAAAATGACTCTCATAGCCTTTTGGAGTGGCGTGGCGGGTTGGGATCGACAAGGCTACAAGCAAAATGACTATCTAGCCTACTGTCGACTCATCGCGTCTATCTGGACGGCAAAAACTGAACTTCCTTGCGGCGCCTGGAAGTACCACTTGCCCGCACCATACCAAAACATCATCTCTCCGGACCATACACTTTGTGGTTTCTTGTGGCCCAAAACATGTGACGCTAAACACATGCACGTGAATTGATGGCTGTCATCGCCCCTCCATGGGACGCCCTCTCTGGTCGAAAGTGCGAAACGATGTCATCACGATTTCACAGTGCCCCGTGCCAACGTCTACAATGAACCTTTACGGGATGATCGATCAGTGGTGCACATTACTCCGCAGTAAGCAGCAAGCACCATTTTTGTCGGCAATACGCAAGAGATTTTAAAAATGACAAATAACTTATTTAGGCTTGTCGTTAAATGGCTTCAAGCCAGGCAAGGTCAATTGCGTCGATCCACTGCGGCGTGCACGCAAAAACAGCAGCGTCGAGGCTTTCTTTACACAGCTCCAGAGCATACGGCGTCGAGGCCATCATCGGTGCGTGGTTGTAGTACGCAGAGACGCTGCTTGGACTGTACGGCAAGGATGCCGGTGATGACGATGCTTTGGGGGACCGCCAGACGTGGTGGTCGGGACACGCCGCGTAGCCCTGAGTGAAGGCGTGGCATTTTGGGAACGAGCAGCGCTTGCGAGCACCGTGCTTGACGCAGAGCTTGCGGGCGTAGACTTGGTTTTCGCAGCCAATGACCGAGCAGAGGCGGCGGTTCTTGTGGAAAGCACACTTGTGCGAGTCGGGCAGCACGGGCTCGGAGCAGTCGCGAAAGACACAGCGCATGGGATTCGTGGTGATGAAAGGAAAATGAAAATGAGGGACGATTGGACGGGCACAGTCGCTTGTACGGATCCGGCTGTCTAGTGCTTCGTTGTTTGCCACCAGCTGGTGTGGTCTCGCACGAGCGATGCTATCAAAGAAAGACCACAGATGTTTTAGAGTCACACGAGGTTAGCGAAGAAAGAAAGTGATGCAGCGGCTCCTTTAGAGACAGTCTCCCGACGTGATGCCGGCGTTCAGCAATCGAATCATCGCGCCTCCCTCTGGCGCGAACTCTGTCGTTTAAAGAGGCTTCGCTTCCGTAGAGTAGGAAGATAGCTCCATCAGCCTCCAACTCCGAGAAGCTCCCAGATCCAGCAATATGCAGTCAGGACGACGCAGCTCCAGTGTAATGGCGGCAAGGGAGTATAAGGGTGCTACTCACAACAAGTAGGCGAAGAAACCAGATCCGACGTGTTGATTCGACAAAATGAGCAAGGCGCTTGTACTGTGGTCTGGGGCGTTGGAACAGCCGACGCTCGCATTTGCTCTCTCCATAAAGTTGCGTTCTTACGACGACGTCCTTGTACCAAGCGCGCTATCTGGACTAAAGACACGCAGCGAGGCCGGGCTGGAAAGCAGTTCTAGTACTGTCCGAGTCCGACTTGTTCAGTGTTGGCCATGCTTTTCTGTCGACAGCTTGCGCCATGCGTCGTGGAACCGTTGGCAACGCAGGCGATCTCGGGGTGGCACTGCGACCACAGCGGTTCGAAATGAGTAAGCGCGCTCAGACGCGACCAGTAATCGACGCCGACGACGCCAACATCCCACCGCTTGCTTGCACACACCGCGTCGACGCATCGTCCGAGCAGCTTCGGAGAAAGGGGTCTGTATCATTGGCACTGTCCATACGCGTCTTCTCTGGGATTACGTTGATTACCACAATGTGTCGAGCGTTGCTGCACTTACCACGCGAAGAATCAGATGTCCCTTGGATGATGAGTTGATGGGCACCGATCACGGCAGCTTCTCGTCAACAGCAACATCCCCCTTCTTTTTGTGTGTCCCAGAACGAGAGCAAATCACACTGTGCATGAGATTTCGGGGCTCGGTAATCTCTTCTACACGCATGGATTGGATTCGCTGTGCTTTGTTATTGCATGTCCGTGCAGCTTCTTGAAATGAAAAGGAGGGCATCAGATCTGGCTCGATCACACGGGATGCGACGCTGTCTCTTGCAAGACGTCCATGCGCTCGAAAAGTGCCCTCGGGATTCCGAGTCGGAGAAGGCACGACCACCGGTAGCTCAGCGATCAAATCGATGCCAGCGCGCAACCGGCTTAACCGGCTTCGCAACTCCGTTGAGCTTGATAGATAGGCAATGCCGACGGCGTGGTAAGGCGAGATGAGCAACGGTGCACCCATGCAAGATTCGATTGAGAGTGGGACGCTTTGCCGATAAAGAAAGCGCTGCAGTTAGTGAAGAAAGAAGAATAACCCTGCGCCATACGGGCGCAGAGGGGACGAGACAGCGGCCGGCGCTGATGACTCGCAATGATGCGATGACACAATGTATGCGTCTGTCTGTCTGGGTGTACCTTCTGGATTGGCATAACGCGAGGTACCTAGCTTCGCACACGAGGTATGTGTGCCGCCGACATCGACACCGTCCCACCGTCCCATCCTCAAATCCTCAAATCCTCCAATTTTTAACGCGAGCTCCGACTACCAACATCGCCATCGTACTAGACGAAAAGTTGCCATCAAGCCCAGACAGTCGACTATCCAGCGAAATATTTAAAGAAAGCATAGCTGGTTTCTGATATATATCTCGAGCTATTTGCTATGGCATGTGTCGCATGGAGCATTACTGCGTCCGTGGTAAGCCGCCCACGTCGCGTCGCCAGCGTCACGAGTTCGCCCCCGTCGGGCTGACTCTACACGAATGCTGGAAGCAACTTCCAGAGGTGCATGTGCCGCGGAAAGGAGGTCATCGATGCGGACAGAGTCCCACGCGCGTCTTCAGAACGAGCAACAAATCATAGCATTACCATTCCCATCGTTCTCAACTGCACTTGGCAAATAGAAGTCTCGCTACAGTACACACGAAAGGACAGACCACTATGGACAAAAATGTTGGCCGTGTCCAGGCAAGGCAGACATCGAATCCTTCCTATTACAATTGTACATGCAGGCATCCCTCCACGTCAGTGTGGTGTGATGCGACTCGCTTCGGCTTCTTCCGGAGCCTTTAAGAACCCTGTGACTGGTCGCCATTCAAAAAGAACGCCGAGGCACATGAATGTAGTTCGAGCTGGAAGCAATGTGGATAGAGAGCGGAATGGATGGTCAAATGGCCCTCAACAACAGAGGCGGAAGTGCTGTGCACCGCTTCGCATTGGGTTCTGGGTGCTGCCTTACCACCAAGAGGTGGACGATGCGCTACCTTTATCAATATAGACAGTATCCTCCACGGCTCTCTACAACCAGCGCGTTGTTGCGTGAGTGGGTCATATAACGAATCGGCACATCCCCACGTCTACTTCGATTCCGCGCACAACATTCAAGGAACACGATGAGTAGGTCGGAGCAGCTGGCACCAGTGGGACACCAACCGGCTGACCTACTAATCCGAAGGACACGGCGCGGCTACTCCGACCGCGCCACGTCGTCAGTCCAATCTAGACGCATCAGTTTTCAATTTCAAGCCTCATGCGCTGTGTCTTTCGCGACTGCTCCGAGCCCGTGCTGCCCGACTCGCACAAATGTGCTTTCCACAAGAACCGCCGCCTCTGCTCGGTCATTGGCTGCGAAAACCAAGTCTATGCCCGCAAGCTCTGCGTCAAGCATGGTGCTCGCAAGCGCTGCTCGTTCCCAAAATGCCACGCCTTCACGCAGGGCTACGCCGCGTGTCCCGACCACCATTTTTGGCCGCAAAAGTCATCGCCCAAGACGCAGCAGCAGCAGCAGAACCATGGGAGCCCGTACAGCTCGTCGTCCGACTCGAGCGCAAGGCCTCACCGCCAAGTGCCCCACCGCAGCATGCATGACGCCACCGAAAACAAGGGCCCAAGGAAGGCATGGACGCCTTCGTCCTCGCCTTCACACCGCAGTGGATTGAGAGCTACGACCTTGCGTGGCTTGAAGCCGTTTAGCGTCGACGACAGCGCGTTGTGACTTGCTTGTTAATTATTGTAAGCGTCTAGAGAATTCGAAATCTCTTGTTTCAATCGGATGATGGCTCTTCCGCGCTTGATTGCTCTTGGAGGATGGAGCCACCGCGCGTGCGGCGTGAACACGCGTCGTCCGTCGAAACCATGGTGCCAGAGTGTAGAGTACCACTGCTATTGGACTGTGTATGCAGGCAAGTGGCGGCTGCCAATGAAACGAGTTCAAGAAGAGGTGCACGCGTCGGCGGAGTAATTTGGTTCGATGCGGCGAGCGGCCTGATCGCCGCGTGCCATTACTCAAGGGTCCATTATGGACCCTTATTATGAACCCTTGCCATTACTAGATCACTAGAGCTCGCGCCTTTGTTGTACTCGCTGGTGGACGTCCACGTGGATTTATAGGCCAATTGAGTTTCTTTCGTTCTCATTTCCTTGACCCCCTCTGTCTTTTTAATTGCAGTGCAACAGCCGTGGTGCGCCGCTGAAGTGGCTCATGCCAGGCACACTGAAGAAGCTGGCTTGTAAAGCAAAGGTGATGCGTCATGCGAAGTGTAGCCTGTTGTGGGATCGCTCAGAGCGATTTATGGATCTGCGTGCAACGTGCTTGTCATGAATGCAGATGACCACCATTTGTCCAGACGGTGGATTCCTGCTCCACGTGCAGGAAGAAGGGGCATCTCCTACGGGACTCGAACTCCGCACCTCTCTTTCCCATTCGCAATCCATCAACTTGGTTCTTGACAGAACCGCGCGACGTCCATATATCGCATCCGCGATAGAAGAGCTGCTTTGATCGCGACCGGATGGACGACCCTTGCCGACGGGCAACACTCTAGGGCTTGCGGCGGCTCCTCGATCTTTAAGACATGACATATCGTCTCTTTCTTCATATACCTCTACTATGGCTGCTATGTGCTGTGCGACGAGATTGTGGCAGCCGTTCAGCCATTTTTCGCCCCTTGCGCACACCCCATGGTGCACACCCGCTTGTCGAGAAACAAGATGGTATTACAGGTGTTTAGCAACTAATTCAAAGCGGATCGGTGTCCAATTTACACGCACGATAATGTCGTTCCCGCCATATGCAGCATCTCGACTGACTGTCTCCTGTCCGTGTCTTGGCCAAAGAGGATCACGTACGACGCGATAGTATCAAGGGTACCCTTGACAGTATACACCCCGCGTGTTGCGCCGGTATCGCGACGCATAGCTTTCGTGGGCGTCATCACGGGGTCGTGGCCAATACGTACCGATCGTCGTTGATTTTACTCCCGCTCTGCCCTTGCTACATGCACAGTTTCGGTTCTCGCCACCAATAGATGCTGTTACCTTTCATGCGAGTAAAGCCTCAATTCGTCTGCACAAGCCGTCAATGGCGCCCGATCCTTGCGCTTGTATCTCGGGACGTAGCTACACGACGACCGCGTTCGCCGAGTCGCTCGACGCGTTCCCAAGCATTTGCTTTTTCCTTTGCCGCACGCCAGAGCATGCATGAGAAGGATATGCGCTTCGTGCTCGGACTCTCGAGTGCGTCGTCGCTGGGCAGAAATGACGCACGAAGCTCTGCAAATTGCAGCTCTTTTCAGCGATTGCAGTCTGCAATCGCTGAAAAGAGCACACAGGCTTGACGCACGATTGCAAAATGGGGCTGCATGCTTCTTGCACGCTATTGCTTTGCCCGAAACACAGTCGGCAGTCCATAAAATTGACAAAACAACACTGCTCCATCAATTTTCATGGCGTCGTCCACACGACCAACTCGCCGTCATTGAGCTGGTCATTGAGTGGCTGTCGATGCACGTACGGAGAGCACGTGCAGCCCATTCGATGACCCCTATCCTATTCTTACAGCGCATCAATCGTGCATGTAATGCTCGTGCGCACGTCCACGGATCCCGCTCCTTCCGGCGCCAGAGCAATTCTCGTCTTCGTCCTGGCTAACAGTGTATTCGCGCTCTATCATCACTGAGAAGAATACTAGTCGAGTAATTTTTGCTGGACGACGTCTTCTTGCCATTTTACCGCCGCTACTACCGCCGCTACTAGAACACGGTGGAGGAGGACACTTTCTTCCTTGTTCTGGATTTTTCAAGGGATTTTGGATAGTTGGTGGGATAGAAATGCAATCTCACCCACATACGTGGCAGCGCGACGTGGATGTATGGCTGACGGCACAGTGCTAGTCAGGCACTCGCGCGCGAGTAGCACCTTGATGGCAGCGCATATCAAACCTTCCTTGAAGTGCCAAATCCATCTCGCAGTGGCCAATATGGCAACGCTTTTGATTCGTTTCGTCTTCTTCCTTGGTATAGAAATGACAGACACGTCGCAGGGTGCAAGGGTGTGTACCCTTGGCAGCAGGTGCGGCGTCTTCGCCTCTCTGGCGCGCTGACAAGAGGCGAGCGTCCGCCATCGCAGCTGGACTGACCACCTGGTTGAAATATCCGTCGATGTGATTGGTCACGCGGCGTAATGGTGCATCCGGGCGTCCAACCTAACGCGTCCATTACGGAGGCACCCACATGTCCCGGCTTGCGCGGCAATGAGGATGATCATTCTCGTTCTTGTATCTCACTTTGCCACAGGATGTCGTCGTCGTCGTCCGACGACCTCAGCTATCCGCTCTCGAGCACGTTCTTTGGCTGCGCGCCACTCACGCCGCAGCGCCTGAGTGGCTTTCGCGACGACGGCGATGCGATGATCGACGCCTTTGCCAGCATGGTGCTCACGCCCGACGACCGCTCCATGCTGTGGCGAGACATGGGCACGCACGACGGCGCCCAGCTCTATGAAGGCGACATCCTCGGCCTCAACCTCCACAAAGGTACGAGGTCGCACTCGACCATCCATTCTTATATGCCGACCGCAGCCGGCATCACGCCGTTCCGTGGCGTCGCCAAGATCTGCGGCACGACAATCGACGAGGTCGCGCAGCTCTACCGCTTCGAGACGCGCGACGACTGCATCGAGTTTGTCGAGCTCCACCAGCGCGACGTCCTCCTCGACCTCATGACGCTGTACACGCTGCACGAGCGCACGCCCGAGTCGCCGTTCAAACAGACGTACATCCAGTGGGCCGCAGCGTCGAGTCCGCTGCCCGCGCTCATCCGCGCCCGCGACTTTGTCTTTCTCGAGGTTGCCTTTTCCAGGTCTGGCCTGTCTGGTACAAAACGCGTTTTTACATTAGGCCCAAGATGAGATTTTGCTACCGTCGGGCCGCCGCGCATGGGTCTCGTGCCAGCAGTCGATCACCCTCGACAGCGTACCGTGCCTCGCCGACACGACGCTGCAGCTCGCGCGCGGCCACTTGCACCAGTCGGGCCTCCTCGTCATGGAGACCGACCGCGTCGGCGAGCTCGATGTCATCTACCACTTTGCCGCCGACCTCAAGGGCCGCATGGCCTCGTGGGCGCGCAAGATGCTTTTCAAGCGCCGCATGCTCGCGATCTCGTCGCTCTATGACTCGATTCAGAAGCTGCGCTTCTCGCACCAGCCACTCAAGACGCAGCACGAGTGCCATTGGGAAGTCCCGAAAGCCGCGTCGTACTTTAAAAGCTGTGCGCTGTGCTTCGCGACGAGCCGGTTCAAGAAGCTCGAGTGCTGTCAGTCGTGCACCCAAGCCGTCTGCAACAAGTGCAGCCGCGTGTGGCAGCTCCAGAAAGCTGCTGTCCATGGCGAAGGCAAGGCGCGCATTTGCTCGGCGTGCGCGACCTCGTATCGCTCGTATGCGCTAAGTCGCCACTACACGATCGCAGGCTCGCCGTACTACGACTCGACGGCGTCGTCGTCGATGGGCTGGACCAAGAACACACCGCAGGCCGGGTCGTTGGCTGGCGCCGGCTGGAGTCGCCCGACGGCCACGTCGACACCGTCGTCGTCCTCGTTTGTCGGCAACTGGCCCAAGCCAACGACGCCCATGTCCACAACGTCACTCGTGGGAAAAGAGCCCAAGCGCATGGCGTCCGACTCGTTCCTTAGAGCCGACACATCGTTTGTGGGCTTGCCAAAGATCCCATCGATGCAGGCAACGTCATCGATTTCGCTTGTCGACAGGACGAAGCCCAAGCGCATGGCGTCCGACTCGTTTCTCAAGACCGAGGCAGCATCGTTTGGCGGCGGCCATTGGGAGCCCGACGTCGTGACGCGCCCCGCGAGCAACTCGCGGAGCTACTCGATGAGCAAAGGCACGCCACGCAACACGGACCTCACCGACCTCTCGTATGTGAACAGTGTCATGGAGCGCTCGGAAGGGTTGAACCGGACACTCCTCGGCGATGCACCGCTCGTGCAGCTCGTCGACGAGGACGACATTATGATGTTTAAGGACCCACCACCCCTTGGTCTCGCCACTGTACAATAATAACAACCCCCTTACACTACCACGCTTGTATTGTCGTCAAGCTCGAGTGTCGTTGCACCGTCCTTGGTACCGGGCAGCGTCTATCGTCCGCCACACCCAACCCGTTTCCATAGTTGATTTTTTCTAGAACAATCAATCATACACGTCGGGCTTTCACAATCGATTTGCAGCTTTCTGGACAGCCGATGCAATGACCTACTAGACTTAGTATGTCCAGCATCTGCCGTCGGCTCGAGAGCATGCATCATGCGACCTCGACGTCCCCACGCTATTGCATAGCACACAGAAGGTCCACGCTCGTGCAGCTAAGCGCAACGCGAGCTGGAAGCGGCAGAGCTTGCTGTAACATAGTGTCCTTGGCCTCTGCCGCGAGCCGCGATCGAACCTAAACAGAGAATCAGTCGCACTTTACAGAGTGCATCGAACTTAACCGAATAGTCTTGCGATCGTCACGGCGCTCGTGGCGTCAGCTCAGAAGATTCTTGGTGGATGTCGTCAACGGGATCGCAAAAATTCTTATCGCGAGCACGCAAGTGCTTCGACGACTGTGGGGGGAATAGAATCGTCGTGTGCATGCCCCTCACAATCCTTGGCGGTTTCAGCCACCCGGTCGCGTTCTCTTCCCCGCGCAAGTGTGCACGATAGGTCAAATTGTTGGTGGCGCCATCATCCACGATCAATCCTGCGCAAGAAATTTCATTTCGAGTCAACGTACAAACAAACAGCTTGACGTCGTCCAGCAGCGCCATGTTCGGCATTGTACGAGAAGCAGCTCTGCGTGTAGTTAATGCACAGTCGTCGCGGAGTCGCGTGCAAATCGGTGCAGCTGGTGGGCCCTTGTGGCAGACACTCTCGTTTTGTGTTTCGCGGGGGAATGCGAGTCGAGACGTGGATTGGCTCACGAAAGATCACAACGCTTTTCATTGGCCCACATCAGGCTTTTATCCAATCGCCTGTGTTGGTTTGATTCCAGCAAATGATATGACGCGTGCAAAGGCCGATCGGATTCTTCAACACGATGTTGGAGACGGATGCGTTCTTCTCTTCAACCGTCTAGGTACTCTAGCGACGTGATGGATTCGTCGGTACGAGCTCCAGTCTCATTTTTCAATTTGCCGACTTGGACAACCATGAAGCTCAGTCTCGCCTTTGCGTTGGTCGCCGCCGCCATCTCAACCGTCTCGGCTGCCATCTGCAAGGGCATCGCGCCCCCCTCGTACACGGCCGCCGTGCAAGCCAACCCGCAGTTCGCGCCGGCCATCAACATGATCAAGCAGTACCCGGTGGCCAACTGGTACGTCGACTGCGGCAGTGACTCGATCGATGCACTCATGGCATCTTGCCCCACGGACACGCCCGTCATCATCGTCTACGGTCTGCCCCAGAAGGAATGCGCGTCGAGCTACTCGAGCAACGGCAAGAACACCAACGCCGGCGAGTACAAGGCGTGGATCCAGTCGCTGGCCAACAAGATCGGCAACCGCAAGGTCATCTACATTCTGGAGCCGGACGCCATTGGACTCCTCTCAACCGGCGACGGCAGCAAGTGCGCTGTCAAGTACGGATATCAAGCCAATCTCGCCGCGGCCGCGAGCATCCTCTCGGCCAACAGCAACGCGCAGATCTACGCCGACGTCGCGGGCTGGGCCTTCCAGGCGCCAGCCATCGAGGCCCTCCAAGGTCTCGGCAAGCTCTCGGGTATCTCGATCAACACGTCCAACTACAAGCGCACGGTCGACATGATGCAAGTGTGCGAGTCGTACTCGCGACAGCTGGAAGGGCTCCATTTCATCATTGACACATCGCGCAACTTTAACGGGTCGCCGCAGAACGAGTGGTGCAACGCCAAGTCGGCGGGCATCGGCGCGCCGCCAACCGACCAGACGGGCAGCCCGCTCGTCGACTACTACCTCTGGCTCAAGGTCCCCGGCGAGTCGGACGGACAGTGCGCGGGTCAGTCGAGCGACTCGAGCGCGGGCCCCGACGCCGGTCTCTTCTTTCCCGACGGCTTTCAGCGTCTCTGGGACCAGGGCTACTTCGTATTATCGCAAGGTGCGCCCAAGATCGGCCAAGCCCCGGCGCCGGCCCCGACCCCCGCACCTGCCAACACCCAGTGCGCGATTGAAGCCAATATCGACTACTACGGCAACGACATGACCCGGCACCCGGTGAGTGGCAACACCAACGACCAGGTGAGCAACTGCTGTACCAAGTGCTCGGCAGCAAGCGGCTGTACCGGGTTTACGATCAACGGCGGGTTTAGCTACCTCAAAAACAAGCTCGAGAACAAGCGGTGGAGTGAGTCGGCGGTCTCGGGCAGCCGCTCCAGTACATCGTGCGGTGCGACGCAGGCCAACACTGACTATTATGGCAACGACATCACCCGGCACGCGGTGAGTGGTGACGCCAACGGCCAGGTGAGCGACTGCTGTAATAAGTGCTCGGCAACAAGCAGCTGTGCCGGCTTCACGATCAACGGCGAGTTTTGCTACCTCAAGAGCTAGCTCACAGACAAGCGTTGGAGTGCGACGGCGGTGTCGTGCAGCCGCTCCAGTGGATCGTGCGGTGCGACGCAGGTCAACACCGACTACTACGGCAACGACATCACCCGGCACCCGGTGAGTGGTGACGTCAACAACCAGGTGAGCATCTGCTGCGACAAGTGCTCCACGACGAGTGATTGTGCCGGGTTTACGATCAACGACGGCTTTTGCTACCTCAAGAGCAAGCTCGAAAACAAGAGCTGGAGCGGAACGGCGGTTTCGGCTAGCCGGTCGTCCTCGCGCCTGCGCCGTGTATTACGCCGCTCGTCGTCGCCGATGTAGCAGCCGATGTCATGATATCGCGTTGATAATGCCTCCAAAATGCATAATACATCGTCATTTTGACCAATTGTGTGGCGTCGTCCATGAAATCGACGAGCTATTCTACCCTTCAACTCTGTGGGGTGTCAATGGAGCTAACGTCTCGAATGGGACGAGGGCGATGGAGCGTTGGGAAGGCTGCAGCGGGACGCTGCGCAGTACCTCTGCTCAGTATCAGCGATATCCGGCTCGTGGAGGAGCCGCTAGAGCGTTCATTGACCAATTGTGTCTTGACCTCGTTGCGCGTTCCCTCTGTTTTGTATGAGTGCAATGCCATTGATGGCCACGTCACTGGTCAAGAGCCGCAAGGTGAAGAGTCGACGCAACGACGAGTGGCCCGTCGAGATGGACGCGACCGCAACTGTCTCGATGTCCAGCTCTCGAGCATGCACGCCTGCGATGACCCTGCAGCGCTTGTCATCAGACTCTTCGAGAGCAAACGAAAGCGCCTTAGCTACCGCAGTATGCTTCATAATGGTGGCTGTGACGAAAAGCGCTAGGTGCCCAAGTCTCATGCGCCTGTCCGAAATCTATCCGGATCCGGATAAAGATACGCCAGTATGGCGATCTTGAACAGCCGAAGTTTTCCCGACAATGACTCAGCGCGAAGAAGTCTCAACGGTGCGTCAAGACAAGCCTCGACCACGCTTCGATTCAAGCCACAGAGGCGACCATTGGGAGTGGCCTCGACGCATCCGCATTGCAATTACATTCTTGAATTTGCCTTACGATGCATCCTGTATTACCCAACACAAGGCGGCGCATGGAGGCGAGAAGCGCATCTCGTGTTGCAGCGACATCCTAAATTCGGCTAACTAAACAGTTACCCCATCGTCGTCGCATGCATCATGGACCCTCACAGCGTACGACGCGGTACTGCACTATAGTCGATCGTTCACCACTCCAGTACAAATACCCGAACCCAACGTCTCCTTCCACCACGAAAACGATCAATTCGAGTCCTGTGGACGACCAAGTAGAACTACTCAAACACTCGACGAGGTCGTCGTGTTTATGATCCAGTGATACCGAAAACGTGCCCTTTAGTCCAGCTGTCTGGATGGTCTTAGTAAGTAGAAGCAAGAGTACACTTGACGATCCTTATCTCTCGTACTCGTAACTACAACTGGCACATATATATATATATGTATAATCGACTTGATAGCTCGCTGTTTAGACATGGCGGAGGCGGCGGGTCGTGTCTTCATCGTCGTCGTGGTCGTCCTCGGTCGTCGTCATCGTCTCGAGGCTGCCATACTCGACCGCGGGCCGGCACTGGAAAAAGTACTCTGTGATTTCGCCGCAGTGGTACCCGTCGACGCACGTGGTTGCACCGATAAAGTCTTTGCCGCCGCACTGCATGTAGGCCGCGACCTTTTCGCTCGTGCCCTCCGAGTCGGGGCGGCATTGATAGTAGAAAGGGTTGTACTTGACGCAGTGAGCGCCCTCGACGCACTCGGTGTTGCCCTTGTAGTTGGCACCGCCGCATTGGTAGTAGAGAGCAACCCGGTCTTGGACGGCTTGTTGGTCGGTGCGTCCGTCGGGTACTCGGGGTCCGATGTGGGCTGCACCGTGGGCTTGGTCGTTGGCTTGGTCGTGGGCTTGGTCGTCGGCGCGGTGGTCGGCTTGTCGGTCGGGTATTCCGTGGGCTTGTCCGTGGGCTTGTCCGTAGGTGCGGACGTCGGGGCGTCCGTCGGGTCCTCTGTCGGCTCGTCAGTTGGCTCGTCAGACGGTTCATCCGTCGGCGCATCCGTTGGCTTGCTGGTCGACGGGCTCGGACCCGCACTGCCAATCGCGACACAGTTTTCTACAGACACGAATATCCGTTTTCGAGGCCACAAGGAGGTAGCGACGACGTACTGTAAGCCTGCCATTGCGGCGTGTGGAGCGCCATCCAGAGCATCGTGAGCTGCTTGGCGCCAGCGCACTTGGACGTGTCGATGGGCATCGAGCCGTCCGGAATGTTCTTGGCGCAGTCGTCGTTGTAGTAGACGCGCGTCTCATCGCACCAGAGCTCGCACGGACCCTAATCCATGTGAGTTCTCAAATCGAATGCATTAGTCGAGAGACCGTACCTCGTGGGACGGCGTGAAGCCCTCGTTGTCTCCGTGACGCCACTTGACGATGCTCGGCAGCGGCTGCGGGTTGGCTGCGTCGACCTTGGTGATGCCGCACTGGCCGCACTGCGCGCTCGTGTCCCACGCATCCAAGAACGCCTTGAGCGTCTTGTACTTGCTCGTTTTGAAGTTGGCAGCAAACTGCGCGGCGTTGTAGCCCGGGTCCTGGTTGTATGCCGAGCCAGGCAGCGACGTGGGACCATCGATCGTGCCGCAGAAGCGCGTCGGGTCGCTATTGGGCTCAAGAAACGTCGGCTTGGGGTCAAAGAGGCCGCCGTGGGCCGCCACTTGCGACGCCACCAGCGCCAGACCAACAAGAGTACTAGCAGAGACCATGGTGTCGAGAACGAGGCGAATTGGAAAATGACCGAGTCCATCAGCGTTCTTGCACCGCCGAGACGAGTGCTTTGCGTGATTGCAGGTGGCGTCGTTATGGCGCGATCGAACGCGGTTCCGTTCGTCAAGGTATCGTGAGTCACGTGGGACAGCATGGCTTTATGTGTGGTCGAGATGGACTTTCCATATGTTTCTGTGCAACGTGGCGGAGTCGAGATGGCACGGAGCTGCGTGGTATGCACATCAGTATAGTACATGTGCACAAACCATTCTCATGTCGTGTTTGCCGTGTGTTTTATGTGATAAATCCGGGCGACTAGCATGATCTTGGGACGAGATGGTAGCAGAGAATGGTACGTACTTCGAAATCCCCGAGGTGTTCCTCGCAAAAGATCAAGTTCCAAGATGCATCGTGGCAATTATCTGAGGGTCTCTAGCTGCCTTCTGCGACCATGTAACTCGACTCGTGGAGCGGCACTGAGCGTGGGGGTGCTTTGCAGCAAGTTGGAGAAATGTTTATGGTGCACTAGCCGTCACCGTCGCCACCTCAGGGCTTCGGTTGCCCGACGCCGTCTACTGAAATATGCCGACTTGGACGACCAAGTGGTGCCTGCGGCGATAAGCTCCAAGTCCATCTGCGCTGCCTCAACAGCGCAGACCAAGCGTGCCTCTTTTGACCCGCGTACTTCTGGTGGGGCAAATCGAGTCCTATGCTGCTCATGGCCTTCATCTTTCGGTACTAGATGGCCAAGGTACCATTCTCTGCTACCATCTCGTCCCATGATCCTGCTAGTCGCCCGGATTTATCACATAAAACACACGGCAAACACGACATGAGAATGGTTTGTGCACATGTACTATACTGATGTGCATACCACGCAGCTCCGTGCCATCTCGACTCCGCCACGTTGCACAGAAACATATGGAAAGTCCATCTCGACCACACATAAAGCCATGCTGTCCCACGTGACTCACGATACCTTGACGAACGAACCGCGTTCGATCGCGCCATAA